AGTCTTGGATATGCTGCCCAGTTACTCCGCCCGTCCACACCCAGACACCCTTAGCTAATAAAGAGGCAGACTCCGAGCGTTCATGGAGATGGAGCGTCAGGTTTTATAGAGCTTTGCCAGCAGCCGCCAGCTTTTTTTCCCCCTCCCTTCTGATAATTCTTGCTGTCATTCATCCTGTTACTACAAAGATTGGATGATTTGGACAAGAGGGAGCATAAGGAGAAAATGACTGACTATGTGATTTATTTTTAAAATATACGTATATGTTATTTCAGAGAGGAAGGGAGAGGGAGAGAGAGAGAGAGAGAGAAACATCAATGATGAGAATCATGGGTCGGCTGCCTCCTCCACGCCCCCTACTGGTGATCAAGCGCACAACCTGGGCATGTGCCCTTGGCTGGAATCAGACCCTGGACCCTTCGGTCCTGAGGCCAACGCTCTACCTACTGAGCCAAACCAGCTAAGTCTATAATTTAATTTACATGAAAGCAATTTACAAACTATACAATTACATATAAACTCAGTTTTTTATTTGTTTTTTGTCAATCCTCACCTGAGGATGATTTCCCACTGATTTTTAGAGAGAGTGGGAGGGAGGGGGGGAGCCAGAAAGAGAGAAAGAGAGAGAGAGAGAGAGAGAGAGAGAGAGAGAGAGAGAGAGAAACATCACTGAGAAAGATACATGGATTGGTTGCCTCCCCCACATGGGCCTGGGATGGAGCCTGAAACCCAGGTGTGTGCCCTTGACCAGAATCGAACCCAGGACCCTTCTGTCCGCAGGCCAGTGCTCTAGCCACTGAGCCACACTGGCTAGGGCGAGGGTTGCAGTTTTACAGAGGGGTCTCCAGGGAAGACTTCTTGGAAAAGATGACATTGCAGCGTGAGCCTGGAAGGAAGTGGGGGGTGATTCGTCCGCCTCTGGAGGGGAGGAGTGTTCGGAGGGAAAGACATTGCAGGCAGAGCTGTGTGGGCATGTTGGGGGAACAGGCTGGGCTGACTTGGTGGAGGGAGTGATGGGAGAGCAGTAGAAACAAATCCGAGATTAGGGGGGACGGGGGATCAGAGTGTAAGGCTGCAGGCCTTTGTAAGGCCTCGGCTTCCTCTCTGAGTGAGACTCCCCGCCTTGCGTGGAGACGGGGTAGGATCAGACTCGCTTTCTAAAGAGGTCGCTCTGGTGGTTGGATGGAGAATAGATTTTGGGGGCAGGCGGCGGGGATGGGCAGTGGCAAAAGCAGGGACACCAGTTCCGGGATTCTTGCCATGATCCAGGCCAGTGATGGTGCCCCTTGGGCCCTAGGACTGTTGGCCTGGTGGGCTTCTGGGTACATGGAGGGCCGCAGAGTCCACAGGAGACTTCCAGAACACCAGATTTTATCCTGAGCACGTGGAAAGATAGAGTAGGCGCGTACTGGAGTGAGGCTCATGAGGGGAGCAGTTGGGTGGGAGAAGGTTAGGAGACGGTGAGAAGACCCCCTTCCACTCCCTCTAAAATATCCCCAGTGAGGATTAACAACAACAAAAAAAGACTCTTATTAACAAACTGACCTTCTAATCAGATACAGAGAGTAAAAAAACATAGATTCTGGAGATTTTAGTGAGCTTGATCATGGTGAATGATCTTTTTAACATATTGCTGAATTTGGCTTGCTAATATCTCGTTGAGGATTTTTGCATCTATTTTCTTCTTTTAAAAAAAATATGTTTTTATTCGCCGAAATCGGTTTGGCTCACTGGATAGAGCGCCGGCTTGCGGACTGAAAGGTCCCTGGTTCGATTCTGGTCAAGGGCATGTACCTTGGTTGCGGTCACATCTCCATTAGGGGGTGGGCAGGAAGCAGCTGATGGATGTCTTTCTCTCATCGATGTTTCTAACTCTCTATTTCTCTCTCTTCCTCTCTGTACAAAATCAATAAAAAAAAAATACGTTTTTATTAATTTCAGAGAGGAAGGGAGAGGGAGAGAGAGAAAAACATCAATGATGAGAGAATCATTGATCAGCTGCTTCCTGCACGCCCTCTACTGGGGCTCAAGCCCGAAACCCGGGCCTGTGCCCTGACCAGAATAGAACCGTGACCTCCTGGTTCCTAGGTCAGCGCTCAGCCCCTGAGCCACGCCGGCCGGCCTGCGTCTCCTGCTCATCAGGAATGCTGGCCTATAATTATCTTTCTTCGTAATGCCTTCGTCTGGTCTTGGAGTCGGGGTAAATGGGGACCTTGTAAAATGAGCACGGAGCTCATTTTTTGGGGGAAGGACAGGTGTTACTTCTTCCTTGAATGTTGGGTAGAATGTACTGGTGAAGCCATCCTGTCAGGCCCCGTCTTCACTCTTTTTTAAAAAAAATATATTTATTTTATTGATTTTTTTACAGAGAGGAAGGAAGAGGGAGAGAGAGAAACATCAATCAGCTGCCTCCTGCACACCCCCTACTGGGGATGTGCCCGCAACCAAGGTACATGCCCTTGACCGGAATCGAACCTGGGACCCTTGAGTCCGCAGGCCAACGCTCTATCCACTGAGCCACACTGTTTAGGGCCCAGTCTCCACTCTTAACAGGGACGCCATGTGCAGGTTAGGAGGGGGCTGCCCCTGTCAGACCTAGCTTCTCATCAGATCTCTGACGTCATCACCGCTTCTCATCAGGTCTCTGACGTCATCACCGCTGCGTCTTATTCTCGGGTGCCGGATGGAGACGCGGAGCATGTGGGGGGCAGTTAGTGAGCAGCAGCAGCAGCAGCACTTAATCCTAAATGCCCGTGAGCAGCCCCACAGGGAGCCTCTACGGCTGCTTTTCCGACCCTGCGCCCACCTGTCAGCCAGCACCCCCTCCCCCTGGCCGTGACCTCGCAGCTTATTTCTCGGAGGAAATAGAGACACCCCCATCCCGGTCCTCCCCCCCCCAAACACACTCATCCCCTGCACCCGCGCTCCGGGCCCGGCCGTCCTTATTGCATTAGGTGACCGTCTGTTCTTCATGTGGACATTGGCTCGTCTTTACCCGCTTACTCACCGTTCCCGAAACGATCCTCTCTCATTCCAGCTTTTCACCTACTTTCATTTCCCACGCCATGCAAACGTGCTGTAACATTTCAGCTTACCAATACTCCATCATGTCTTTTCTTTTTAAAACATAGGCAGCTGCCAAAGCCGGTGTGGCTCAGTAGATAGAGCGTCGGCCTGCAGACTGAAAGGTCCCAGGTTCGAATTCGGTCAAGGGCATGTACCTTGGTTGGGGGGCATCGCCAGTGGGGGGTGTGCAGGAGGCAGCTGATTGATATTTCTTTCTCATCGGTGTTTCTAACTCTCTCTCTTCCTCTCTGTAAAAAAATAAATAAAAATATATTAAAAAAGAAAAACAAACAAAAACTCCGCCCTTCGGGACTGGGTTCGGCTGTTAGGGTGAGGCTGGGTGATTTGGGACGAGGCTCGGTCCTTAGGTGCTAGGATCATCCCCTCGGGACCAGCTTCAGCTGTTAGGGCTAGACTGGACAAAAAAAGAAAAGAAAAAAAAAAACTCTCTCCTATTCCCTGTCCCCTGAAGCTACCACCCATTTTTAGCCATTTTTTAAAATATATATTCTATTGATTTTTTACGGAGAGGAAGGGAAAGGGATAGAGAGCTAGAAACATCGATGAGAGAGAAACATCCATCAGCTGCCTCCTGCACACCCCCCACTGGGGATGTGCCCGCCACCAAGGCACATGGCCTTGACCGGAATCGAACCTGGGACCCTTGATTCCTCAGACCAACGCTCTATCCACTGAGCCACTGCCATTCTGTAGGACATACTCAGGGGTGCTAAACACGGGGCTCAGCCCTAGGACCTCATCTCTGCCCCCTTTCCTGTCTCTCTGGGCCCCCACTGTTCAGTACGTGAGCCCAGGCCTGGCAGCGCGGAGAGCGCTACTGGATGGCACTGCTCTGGGCCCGCTCACCCACCCAGTTCCTTTAAAACGCCTCCGCACGTGATGACTCCCAGGTTGAGTCACCCGTGCCAGCCTCTCTCCGGGAACCCCAGCTGCTGCACCCCGCTGCCCGCGTGACACCCTTCCCTTGGGGTCCGAGAGGGTGTCCGACTGCACATGGCTCAGCAGGATGTGGTTTTCCCTCCTCCTGCTCCTCACACAGGTTAAAAGACCTTGTGGCCTTTTGGGGGGGCAGGGGCCCTGAGGGCAGGCGGGAGGAGACTCCCATGCTTAGGGAGAGTCCGTTCCTGGGGACACCCCCCTTTCCTCTTTCCACACCTCTCTTCAGTCCCTGAAAGCAGGTGAGCGGCTTTCCTCGCTCCGCAGTCATTTTTACTTTTCCTCTCGTATTGGGCACCCGGAGCATCAGACACACGCTCATCTCAGTGCCCTGGAGTGCTCGTTGCCCAGTCCCTCCTGGCCCCTTCCTTGCTTTCTTCACATTCTGGCTCAGATATCGCCTCCTCAGACATTCCTGTGCTCCTGTCTAAGAAAGTCCGGATCTGCCATCTCAGCCGCCACTCACGAGTTAGTGCCCCTGGTTAGTGTGTGCACCTGCCCACGCGTGGTTACACTCAGGCATTTCACGCCCGGGACTCATTCCTGACGGGTATGAATATTTTAAAAAATACATTTTCATTGATTTCAGAGAAGAAGGGAGACACACACACAGAGAGAGAAACATCAATGATGAGAGAGAATCATGGATTGGCTGCCTCCTACATGCCCCCTACTGGGGATTGGCCTGCAACCTGGGCATGTGCCCTTGACCGGAATCGAACCCGGGACTTTTCAGTCCACAGGCCGATGCTTTATTCACTGAGCCAAACCAGCTAGGGCCGGCCAGGCATGAATATTTAAGGAGCACCTGACTAGGTCAGGGCCATGTCTGGAAGTATTACAGGGTTAAGTACCAGAACCTCGTCATTTCAAGTCAGTCTTTAGATAAAAACAAGCAGTGAAACCTCATCGTTTTAAATGCAAATTTTTGTGTTTCTGATCTTTTTTTTTTATCATATTAATCTCACAGCTTGGTCATGAGCACCGACAGTAACTCTTTGGCACGTGAATTTCTGACCGATGTCAACCGGCTTTGCAATGCAGTGGTCCAGCAGGCAGAGGCCCGGGGGGAGGAGGAGGAGGAGGAAGAGGAAGAGGAGGAGACGCACATGGCAGCCCTGGGACAATACCTTGTCCACGGCCGCGGGTTCCTTTTGCTTACCAAGCTGAACTCCACCATTGACCAGGTAACGCTTTCACGTCAAATAATTTCCTTCTTCGGTATGTTGTCGTTAATTCTGGGTACATAATTTCTGGGTTACGTAGTTTCTGAGAGTCTCTAGATAAAGAGACTGCCTCTCACATCTCTCCAACAAAGACAAGAAGCCCCATTTAAGTTCATATGTTTATTTGGATACTTTCCAAAATGTCTGAAATTTTTTAGAATTGCAAATGTCCTTTCCTCTGAAGTGGTTTCCTATATGCTATGTGTGCATCCTACTATCAGTGCAAGGATAACTGTGGTTATTAATCAAGTTACAAGATTACAATAGAGGAACATAGGGATTTGCACTTGCAATAAACATCAGCCATGCATTTGAAAAAATCTCGTGCAAACTATGTTTAGGCAGCTTGCTGGATGTGGGGTGAAAGTAGAGAACCCTTTGTGTGAACTAATAATGATCCTCTGGGTTGTATTCATGTACCTTAGTATAGTACATGTTTGCTCAAAGGATCGTATGACGGTGGCATTGTGCTGATTCCTTCTAGAATAAACATTGTAAAGCCCGTAGGAGCTACAGACATGTTTTCATCCAACCCCCATTTGTAGATGAAAAACTGAGACGCAGAAACAGTAACCTGAAGCCCAGATGTGATTTGTATCTTTATTAAATTTTAGGAGAAAACGAATATTTGTTTTATGAAAGGAAAACTCCACCACCTGCTTCCTGGGGACGAATTAATGTAGTTAATTGCAGTATTGCAGTTCACTTGAATTGATAAGATTATAAGGTCTCTGTAGCACCAGTTTGGCGGGCATGTCTAACCACTTTAAATGTCACTGGCATCAGAGGTACACTTATTCATTGTGAAATTTCTGAGATATGACAGCACATTTCTAATAAATGTATTTGTTGGATAAATACAGAGCCTAAAACTGAGCACCGCCTGTTTTCACTGTAAGCTCAGGAACCTAACAAATATGAGGAAGTATTTGTTCACTGTGGTGCTCACCTATCATGGAACATTCCGGAATATTTGCAGGTTTATGTAGTTTTATTCTTTTTCATAAAGGTGGTTTATTAAATGTGTCACCAAACGTAATTTAAGTTTTATATATTTGTGTGACCGGGAAAAATTATTTGTTAGACCACATATGGTGATTTTTTTTTTATTTTGAAATCTTGATGATTTCATTTTCATCTCATACTCTTCGTCTTTCCCCACATTAGAACAATTCAGTGCTTTCTCTTTTTAAAAGATACTATATAAATGACATCATAAAAATTGAGGAACAAATGTTGAGAGAAACTAAAAAAGACCCAAATAAATTTAGAACTGTGGAATTTTCATATAGTATTGGAAAAATCAGTATTGTAAAGATACTGTTTTCTCTAAATTGATCTATAGATTGCAGTGCAATCCCAATCAATGGCTTTTTTTAATCCTCACCTGAAGATATGCTGAGAGAGAGAGAGAGAGAGAGAGAAATTGATATGAGAAACATTGATTGGTTGCCTTCTGTACATACCTTGACTGAGGATCGAGCCACAGCCCAGGCATATGCCCAGACCAGGGACTGAACTGGCAACCTTTTGATGCACAGGATAATGTTCAACCCACTGAGCCACCTGGTCAGGCACAAAGGCTTTTCTTAATGACAGCATTATTGAGATATATTTCACATATCATGGAAGTCACCCATTTCATATGTACAAAATTCAGTGTACTTTAGTATAGTCACAGCCAGACAATTTTAGAATATTTCCATCACCTTGAATAGAACCCCTATCCCTTTTTCCTGTCACTCCTATTCCTTCCACTTCCCTGAGTCCTAAGCAAACACTAATCTACTTTGGATCGCTATAGATTTTCTGCTTTCTCTTTTTAAGTCATGAGATAACTTTTAATATATTATTCAATGACTCCAATCATTCAAGTCATCATTGAATGCTATGTTTTCCTATGGTGGTATTTTTTAATCCCTTCTTTTCCCCTTCACTTGCTTTTTGGAATACCTGTCGCAGTGATAATAGGAACAATAGAAGTAGAGTGAAATTAATAGGCTTATCAATATTTAACTGCTTACCCCAGGGAATGAAGCACGATCATTTAGGTCCTCAGGGGAATTTAATTGCACAAGATTTAATCATTTAAGGCGGAATCAGAATGCTGGGTCCCAGGCTGCACGTCCCAGGAGGCACTTGAGCTCGGACGCCCCCTTCTCTCTCACTACGTGCAGTAAATGCGCAGATTTCAAGGGTAGTACAGTGGGATGTTTTAACAAATATACTCACCTGTGTGGCCACCACCCCGTCACGTGTAGGACTTCCCCCCCCTCAGAGAGGTTGCCAGGCTCCTTTTCAGTCCGTCCCTCACCTCCCGGCCCCTTGCAAGATGCCACTGCTTTGTCGTGTAGCCTCCGAGGTTTTCCCGTCCGTCCGCATGAGTCAGCAGCTCTGCTTTCCGTTCCTGACGGGCGTCTGCTTGTCTGGAGGCCACGGTTTGTTTATGTTCCCCTACTGTTTAACCTTTGGCTCAGAGCCATCTGGCTACTCAGAGGAGACCTGCTGTGAATTAACATTTTTAAAATATATATATACATATATTTATTGACTTTTTTACAGAGAGGAAGGGAGAGGGATAGAGAGTTAGAAACATCGATGAGAGAGAAACATCCACCAGCTGCCTCCTGCACATCCCCTACTGGGATGAAGGCTTTGCAAGGGGGTAACGGGGGACTGGGCCAGTGCGCCCTGAACTCCGTGGGAAGGAGGGGAGACGCCCTGGCAGCGTCCTGCAGAGCCAGGAGCCTGTGCACGGAGCAGGGACGGTTTGCCAGCGTCCTGTTGGGGACCCAGGGCTCAGTGACAAGGACAGCATGTCCGGAGCACTTCACACATCCTTGGGGTTTCTGCAAGCTCCCTTAGAATGTTGCATCCTCGTCTGCTCGAGGGAAAGGGCCAGAATCGGCGTGAAGGGTTTTAAGGGTAATTTGCCAGATATTTTTGCTGGCACCCTGAAAAAGGTTGAGGTTCCTCCTGAGCCTGCGCTATGCATGGAGGGCATCTTGTTATTTTTTTAAGGAGAGAATACAGAAGTGGGCCCCTTGACACAATTTTACTTTGAATCCGGAATTCAAAGACTTCCATGCACATGGTGTTTATAAAAACCCAACCATGGCCTAGGCATTGGGTGCAGAGGGTATGACCGCTAAGCGCTGGGACCTGCACCCGGGGGTCCGGGCTTGGAGGGGGGCTGGGAAGTGTGTTTGAGAAGCTTCCCGGGGTGTTTGGAGGTAAATTCAACCTCCTGCATGGCGTGGCCCGCGAGGCCGTGATAGATCCTGCCTCGCTGACCTGCTCCCTCCAGCCTCCTTCCTGTGCTCTCTGCGGTCCGCTCTTTCTACACTTCACGTGCTTCCTAGGAGCTGTTGCCTCCACGTCTCTGCACGGATCCCTCTTCTCACCAAGGAAGTATCCGCTCCAGGGCCCCTCCTGCGTAGGCTGCACATGCCCCCCCCAATCCCTCTGGCACCCCCCCTTTATTCACGTCTCCTTCGTATTTGAAGCTGTCACCGTGCGGATCTGACAGGTCACCCCGGCCCGGCCTCACGCACGATGTGAACAATTACACTTGACCCGTCATTACTTCCTGGGCCACCATGGCCCAGGGCCCCGCTCCAGTCCACGCCTCTGACTGACACGCCCGCTCCTTTCTGTGCCTCCCGTCTGAGCACCCGTGCCACGCACACCCGGCTCACGCCACGTGCCTTCTGCCCTCTAACGTGTGTGTGTGTATCTTACGGACCAAATGCGGGGACTCCGCCAGGGCTCGGACCTTCTCCTCCAGGAAGGGCAAGACAGTAAGTGCTGTGGACATAGCGTGCCGACCGACCGTAAACCTGGATTGCCTGCACTAATAACGTCTTTCTCTTTACGTGGTATTGCTTATTAATGTCTGTTTCTCTTTTTGAAATCGTGTGCTCCGAGTCTTACCCTTAACTGCATGTAGATGTGTCTCTAATAACTGGATATTATCGGTGTGCTAATTAACAGGACTTAGCTTTTCATTTTCACCAGGTGAGGAATTCTTGCAATGTGCATGGTGCTGAGGCGGCTGTTTTTTTTGTTTTGTTTTTCTTAATCAGCAAGAACATGCTAAATACCGTCAGCCACTCTGACATTCTCCTGTCTTTGGAAAGGTTTATAAATTGAGGAGCACCACAGCTTTCATTGGATTTGAGACGAGTTCGTTTGGTTCTTAGCTTTCCAAACGCAGCCTTTCGGGGGGAAGGGTTTTTGGTTGAATGTGAGACAAGATTCTTAGGCATTACCGCGCCTCCTGCCCTCCGAACGTGAAGGGGTTTCTCGTTTCTGCTCCAGGCGCTGACCTGCAGGGAGGAGCTGCTCACGCTCCTCCTGTCCCTCCTCCCGCTGGTGTGGAAGATTCCTGTTCAGGAGGAACGGGCAGCAGGTAGGCTTCTGCTCTTTTTTTTTTTACCGCAGACAGTCACTATTACCACGCCACTCGTGTTATCAAAATTCCACGGGGAAAACGCGCCCCTGAGAAGTGGCTTCTGTACAGGTCGGTAGGAGCAGAATAGTCACGGGTGTGAAGGACGGCACGGGGAATATAGGCAATAATATTGCAACAGCTAGGTTCAGGCGCTCCGGAAATACCTCGTGTGATGGTCGCTTTTAACGTCCGTCTTCGAGAACATTTGGTGTCTGTTGTACGATTTTGAAATAATTTTGGGAAATCGTAAAGTTCTTGTTGCATCAGGCTATAACCTAAATACTGGACCGTGCGGGAGAATATAATAAATAAACCCCAGTCTCTTCATTGACTGCACTGCTGCAGGAGGCTTGTACAATGCGTGAACAGCGGTGCTGTACCGCCTAGTCTCTTATGGCAACGGAAAGACACAGTCATTTGCGGTTTTAAATTAGATTAATTTTTCCATCTCTGTTCTCCTTGGTTGTTTCCGGATCGGTTCGTTTCCTTTGAACTAATTGAATCTGGTACTTATCATGAGAAAGATAAGCGGGAAGGGGTGGAGGGGAGAGTGACCGAGGGATGGAACATTAGCTAAAAGGACAGCAGCCCAGGGCCAGGGGACTGGATTTGAAAACATATTATTAAGGCATTCTAAAACTTCCTTTTTCGTTTCCTTAGATTTTAACCTACCGTTCTCCGTTGACATAATCCTGACCAAAGAAAAGAACTCAAGTTCACCAAGATCCACTCAGGAAAAATTACACTTAGAAGGGAGTGCCCCACCGCCTCAGGTCTCCGCAAAAGTGAAAAGCAGGCGGCAGCGTAAGGCAGCCCACCCCTGCCCCGTGAGAGACGCGAGAAAGACTCAGCCCTCCACCTCGGGCTCGGAGGCCGACTCGGGCGACAGGAGGCCCCGGCGGCCCCCCCAGCTGCAGCCTTTGGTAGCCCAGGCTCCTAAAGAGGGGGGACCTGCAGCGCCCCCCACCCGCCTGTCCACCAGAGGACAGACCCCCCCAGAGAGCATGGCTTCGGGGCGTTTCCAACAGGCAAACGCGGACATTTTAAGTGAGCCAGCTGCCTTGTCTATCATCAGCCACATGAGCAATTCTCCGTTTGACTTATGTCACGTCTTGTTGTCTCTGCTAGAGAAAGTCTGTACGTTCGACATGAACTCGAATCATAACTCTGCCCTGGCGGCCAGCGTCGTGCCCACGCTGACCGAGTTCCTCGCCGGCCTCGGGGGCTGCCGTGACCTCGGGGACGGCTCGGACAGCCAGGCGGTTGCTGCAGGTTGGACGGAGGAGCCGGTGGCCCTGGTCCAGCGCATGCTTTTCCGGACGGTGCTGCATCTCATGTCCGCGGACGTCAGCGCGGCGGGGACGATGCCGGACAGCCTCAGAAAGAACCTCACCGAGTTGCTCAGAGCGGCTTTACGGATCCGAACGTGCCTGCAAAGGCAGCCCGACCCCTTCGCCCCGAGACGGAAGACGACCCTGCAGGAGGTGCGGGAGGGGTTCGCGTTCTCCCGGCACCGGCACCGGGCCCTCCTGCTGCCCGAGCTCCTGCAGGGCCTGCTGCAGCTGCTCAGCTGCTGCCTGCACAGCGCGGCCGGCAACCCCTTCCTCTTCAGCCAGGCCGTGCACCTGGTGCAGGAGTTCACCCAGCACCGCGGCTTCCACCTGTTCGAGACGGCGGTCCTGCAGCTGGAGTGTCTGATCCTGAGAGGTGGCGGCCCCGCCGAGGCCCCCGCCCGGCTGCGGGCCCTGGTCAGCGGCGTGCTGAGGATCATGGGCGCCGTCAAGAAGGTGAAGTCCGAGCAGCTCCACCACTCCATGTGCACCCGGCAGAGGCACCGGCGGTGCGCGTACTCGCACTTCATGCACCATCACCGGGACCTCTCGGGGCTCCTGGTCTCGGCGTTCAAGAGCCAGGCGTCCACCAACCCCTTCGAGGAGTCCCCGGACGGCGCCGTGCGCTACCCCGAGCGCTGCTGCTGCCTGGCCGTGTGCGCGCACCAGTGCCTGCGCCTGCTGCGGCTGGCCTCGCTGGGCAGCACGTGCCTGCAGGTGCTGGCCGGCGTGCAGGACGTGGGGCTGTGCTGCTGCATGGACCCCAAGTCCGTCATCGGCCCGCTGCTCCACGCCTTCCAGCTGCCGGCGCTGAAGACCTTCCAGCAGCACATACTGAACGTGCTGAGCAGGCTCCTTCTAGACCAGCTGGGCGGCGCCGAGACGCCGCCGAGAGCGAAGAAGGCGGCGTGCAATGTCTGCGCCGTTGACGCCGACCAGCTGGCCAAGCTCGAGGAGACGCTGCAGGGGCCCGCGGGGGACGAGGAGCCCGCCTCGGGCCTGCCCAGTCCCTACAGGTGTCCCGGCATCCTGCCCAGCAGCGGGTCCGAGGACTGGCTGTGGCGGTGGGACGCCCTCGGGGAATATCAGAAGCTCGTGTTTGACGAAGACGGGTTACACAGCGTGCCGGTCGCGAACCACATCTGCAGCTTGGTGCAGAGAGGCCACGTGGTGGTCCGGTGGAAGCTGTACGGCCACATCTTCAACCCCGTGCTCCAGAGAGGCGTAGAGCTGGCCCGGCGCTGCCGGCACCCGAGCGTCCCTCCGGCCCAGACGCACGTGTGCGGCCGCCAGAGCCAGTGCCTGCCTCGGGACGTGCTTCAGGTTTATGTGAAAACGCTGCCTGCCCTGCTGAAGTCAAGGTGTGTATGTGGGTGGGCGGGGGGGGGGGGGGTATTTTCCTTATTTTATGTTTTTGAGTCACCTGTGCCCTTTATTCTTTCGCTAGAGGCCTGGTGCACGACATTCGTGCACTGGGAGGCGGGGCCCTCAGCCAGACCTGTGCTCCCTTGCAGTCAGACATCCCCCGAGGGGTCCTTAGTCTGCCCTGGAAGCACAAGCCTGGCTTCTGGCTGAGCAGCGCTTCCCCTGTGGGAGCGCTCCCGCATTGAGTGTCTGCCCCCTGGTGGTCAGTGCGCATCATAGTGACTGGTTGAACGAACGGTCAGACACTTAGCATCTTAGGCGTTTATTATATAGGATATATATTTGGTGTTGAGAGAGGGATATGAAAATCATTAGAAAGTAACTTGAGAGATCCTGGTCACATCTAAGAGCTTAAGCCACGTGGTTGATTAATCAAATTTAGGTAGTGTTTGTTTAGCGCAGCGATGACATTTAATTACCAAAAATGTTTAATATTAAAACCAGTTTAAGTTTCGTTAAACTGAATAAACAGTATATGTACCTATTTATAAACGATCTGTCTATCTGATCTGTCTAAAACCTCTTGCATATTTTTTTTTTTTCTCTCACAGGGTAATAAGAGATTTGTTTTTAAGTTGTAACGGAGTAAGTCAAATAATTGAATTAAGTTACTTAGATGGCATTCGAGGTCATTCCCTGAAAGCGTTTGAAACTCTGATAATCAGCCTCGGGGAGCAGCAGCAGAGAGAGTCTCCGGTGCCAGGGGCCGAGGGGCCGGAGGAGGAACCGAAGGAGCCGGCATCCTTCCACGCAGGCGCCTCTGCCCACAGCCAGCAGGCGCTCTCCAACTGTCCCCAGAGCCTCAGCAAGTTCTACGCCAGCCTCCGCGAAGCCCACCCGCGGACGCGCAGGGCCGCCCCCCACGACGCCCACATCCACGCGATCCACCTCTTCCTCTGCGTGGCCTTCCTGTGCGTCAGCAGAGAGGCCGACGCCGACGGGGAGCCCGCCAACGACTCGGAGGACACGTCCGGCTACGACAGCACGGCCAGCGAGCCCCTGTGCCAGCAGCTGCCCTGCCTGCCCCTGGACAGCCTGGCCCTGCCGCCCCCCGAGCGCATGCACCAGGCGGCCGACATCTGGTCCATGTGCCGCTGGATCTACACGCGGAGCCCCGCCTTCCAGAAGCAGCTCTGCAGGCTGGGCGGCGTCCGCGTGTGCCATCGGCTGATTCTCATGATCATCCAGAGGCTGTCCCGGGGGCCCGGCCAGGAGCCAGGGAAGAAGGAGGGCGCCGCGGCCGCACAGGAGGACCCGGAGCCCGTGAGCACTGCCCCCTCGGAGGTCTCCGAGGAGGAGGACTCGGGGTCTTCGGCTGTGAGAGGCGCCCCCGTCCCGTCTGGCCCGGGCGGTCCAGAGGGGATCGCCGACGGAGCAGGTGCATCGGAGTCACGGCACGCTGCGTCCACGAACGGGGATCCGATGCCCGCGGCCGGAGCTGCGCCTGAGGAAGCAGAGGGGCCTGCGAGTGGAGCGAGTGAAGCGGCACTTCAGAGCGTCCGGCTGCTGGAAGCCCTGCTGGCCATCTGCCTCCACGGCACCCGAGCCAGCCAGCAGCGGGCGGAGGGGGAGCCGCCCGGCCAGGTAAGGACTTGCTGTCCTGCGATGTGTACTTTGCAAAGCTCTAAGTTCTGAGATGCGCCTGTGTGCTTAGCACCCCCGTGCCAGGCGCCGGGGAGGACACGGGAGCACAGGACCAGTCCTTGTCCCCAGGAAGCTCCTAGTTTAAGCTTTGTCACAGGCCAAACCCACACGAGTCACTGTTTCCAGTTAAAAGGCATTAGGTAGGCAGTAATGGGAGCTGAGTGATAATGTGTGTTTCAGAGTTCTTATTTTTAATATATTATATATAGTTTTATTGATCTCAGAGAGGAAGGGAGAGGGAGAGAGAGAAACATCCATGAGAGAGAGAATCATGGATCGGCTGCCTCCTGCATGCACCACACCGGGGATGGAGCCCGTAACCTGGGCATGTGCCCTGACTGGGAATCGAACCCTGACCTCCTAGTTTACAGGTCAACACTCAACCACTGAGCTACGCCGGCCAGGCTGTTTCAGAGTTCTCGCCTGGCCTGGACGACCTTCCGAACAACCTTCTGAATGAAGCCAGAGCTGCGAGGGCTGAGTTCCTTGCACAAATTTCATGCATCAGGCCTCTAGTTTATTAATATTAACTTATCTGTCACGGTTTCATTTTTTTCCTGAAACATTTTATTACTATTCTTAGTCTCTCTTGTATTACTTTAGAACTTGTCTGTGGAAAACATATTGTTTGAAATGAGGGACCACCTTTCCCGGTCCAAGGTGATTGAGACGGAACTGGCGAAGCCGTTATTCGATGCCCTGCTCCGAGTCGCGCTGGGGAATCACACGGCGGATTTCGAACACAGTGACGCTGTGACCGAGAAGGTACGAGCGGCATGCTGTGCAGGGGTGACAGCAGAAGCAAAGAGTGTGGGATGGGACTTCATGGATGAGTGGTTAGATCATATGGCCCGATGTTGGTGAGTTCCATGAACAGACATGTAAAAATAGAATATATTTTTACTAGTATCAAGTTGTAAGAAGTATAATTTCACCTCATTGTGGGTTTTAGTCATTTCCATTATTACTAGAATGTAATTTGTTAGGCTTCGTTTTCGGTAAAAGGGAAATGATCCTAGCTTACTATGCTAGAGAGACCTCCCACCCACGGTAGAGGTTAATCAAGTTGTCTGAGAAATTGTGCTGCATGAATTTAATAACCTACAGTTATTAAATATCAATTCATAGGATTTTTTTCTTAAAGGAAATACTGAGACTGTTCTTAAAATGACAGTTGCTTAATGAATATTAGATTCCTAAAGATGAGCAGCTGTCACACTTTTTGCCTTTTACTCGCACCCATCTTGCAGAGTCCTCAGTCTGAAGAAGAATTGTCATCCCAACCCGGAGCGTTTTCAGAAGACGCGGAGGATGCTGCATGTGGTGGTTTTAAACTTTTGGTTGAAGAAGAAGGTTATGAAGCAGATAGTGAGAGCAATTCTGAGGATAGCGAAGCCCAGGATGATGGTAAAATATCAGGAAGTACTTGTGATTCGGTTTGCAAGTCAGATTATTAATGAGCAAAATGGTTTATAATAATATTATTTTATAATCCGTGTTGCCTTACAATTTAAGAAGCACATTGCAGCATTTCACTGGGTCTTCACCATGAATCCTGGCCCTTGTTTGTGTCTGCGATTGGAAACACCGAGGTCGATTTTGTTATCACAGACATTGAGCTAAGAATGCAGAGGAGAGCAGTCGCTGCTTTCATATCTATCCCAGTGAAAAAGACAATAAGTGGCAGATACAGACAGCATGAAGAAAGACCTGGTGGACCATAGCAGGTGGTTTTGTTTGTTTTTACCAAACACAGAGCGGAAAGAACTAAGAAACAGCCCCAGATTGAAAGGATATGTGTGTATATGCATAGAGGGGTAGGAAAAATAGGTTTGACACTTGCTGTTGATAATATTTGTAGTTCTGTTGAAGATCAAAATTACTTTGAAGGCTGCTCATTCATCTTCAAAGTATCCATAAGACCTGATTACTCAGGATATTTGCCATAATAAAAAGGCACGTTGTAGGAAAAGATTTTGTGAACATCTTATAAATAGCATTTTCACCTCTATAAACTTCTGAATGACGAACGAGATTTGAAACACCTAGCCAGTGTTTAGGGAGTGAAAATAACCTTTTCTTTCCCCTTCCAGGGTTAGACATAAAGCCTGAAGCAGAAGGTTTCATTGCATTAAGCAGTCCAAGCGACTTACTTGAAAACCTCACTCAGGGAGAGATAATATATCCTGAGATTTGCATGCTGGAATTAAGTTTGCTTTCTACTAGTAAAGCCAAGCTTGATGTGCTTGCCCACGTATTTGAGAGTTTTTTGAAAATCATCAGGCAGAAAGAAAAGAATATTTTTCTACTCATTCAACAGGTAAAAGATGTATTTCGTTAAATGAGACCAATGATTATCCCACTCATGCCCCAAATACTCATTTCCTTATTTATAACCCAACTTGTCTGAAAATTATCTGAGGTGATTACTTATGCTTTATGATACCTTGCTCGTGTTTTTTAACTACTAGTAATATTCTAAAAATCTTCTAATTCCATAGTTCTCTAAAGTAGCATAAGAAGTTAATGATGTCGTTGGGTAACTAATAATGCCTCCTATTATATTTCTGAAAATGGGTAATGTTTTTTAAATTGTATTTAATTTTAATGTTTGGTCATTGTTTTGAAAAATTAGAAAACAAAAGCAGTATGAAAAATAAAATGAAACTTGTGTATGATCCTACCCCATAGCCTTCTCGTTAGTCATTTAAAATATTTATATATGTACATACAGTAGATATTCAAATAATGTATTACATTACAATTGCTTCATGCTTTAATGAGGTAAGAAATTTGATTTATTATGTTTTGTTTTTTAATCTTCAGGGAATTGTGAAGAATCTTTTAGGAGGGTTCTTGAGTATTTTAACACAGACCGATTCTGATTTTCAAGGTGCGTTGACATGTTAAGTTTTAAACAATCGTTTTGAAACTATTTGGTTGTTATGTGAGATAAAGGGTTGATAACAAGTGCTTCCATTCGCAGAGTACCTTATGGTTTCAGAAGTAGTTTATATGCATCGTCTCTCTGTTCCTCGGACCCGGACCCAGCAGTAGGCATGGCCCAGTGTCAATGCTTCCACTGAATGGGCTTCCCCAGGGCTCTGTCTCAGGCCTCTCTGCAGGGATATTTTATCACATCTCAAATCAAGATGGTATTTAATTCACAGGACTTTTTTTGGGGGGGAGGGGCGACATCACATGAGGATCACCTGAGATAATGCCTGTAAATATACTTTGAACGCTAATGTGTGCTACAGATATTAGCTATTAAAAGTTCTATGAATTTGTGTATAACTGACCATCATTTACTCTAAACCCCATAATGGAATAAAACAAACGTGCAGAGTACTTGTTGGTGATATTTAAGCGTGTTTATAATCTTCAGTATGTCTACTTTTTGTTATGTTATCTAATTTTATATTTAGAAAGCGAAAATTATAATTTAAACATTCTCAAGATGAGAAGACTACTTTATGGTCGTCACTTAACAAATACTGTATTAATTTATGCTTTGAAAAAACTAGTTAATTTTACATCTTACCAGTTGGGGTGACATTGGTTAATAAAATTGAATGCGTTTCAGGAGCACAGTTCTATAATGCCTCAGCTGCATATTGTATTGTGTGTCCGCCAACCCGAGACCCGTCTCCTTCCGTCACCATTTATCCCCCTTTACGCTCTTTTTCCTCCTCTTATCCTCCTTCCTTTTTCTCTGGTAACCACCATACTATGTTCTCTGTCTTTTTACTTAATCCCATCACCTTTTTATGTTTCTTTAAATAGTATTTCCACTTGACTTAGAGCCAACCAATCATTAAAGAAAGTGATTTTCTTGTGTTTTTTTTTGTCAGTTGGTTAGTTTGTATTTAATCATATATATTTCTTCAGCAAATTTTGGATTATTAGGTTGTTTATAATCCATTTAAAATGTGTCAGTAGTATTTTATCTTTCTCAGTGAAATTGTTTATTCGTTTCCTCCATTAGCTGTGCATTTGGCTATTTAACTTTTCCCTCTGTCTGTCTTTAACTCAGTTTGCCAGAGAGGACTGGTGGATCTGTTGGTGTCTTTGATGAGCTCAAGAACATGTTCGGAAGAGCTAACCCTTCTTCTGAGAATATTTCTGGAGAAATCTCCTTGTACAGTAAATATGCCATAATTTCATTTTTTTGGTCACTGATATTTAATAGAATATTTTAAAACGTATTTGAAAATCACTAGGCCCTCTCTTTTGTTGTGGTAATTATATACTCAGCTCTGTGTTGTTATTTGTGAAGTTTCCAATTATTTTGTTGCTAGAGGCCTGGTGCATAAAATTCATGCACTCAGGGGTCTCCCTTAGCCCAGCCTGTACCCTCTCGCAGTCCGGGAGCCCTCGGGGGATGTCTGACTGATGGCTTAGGACTGCTCCCTGTCAGTTGGACATCCTTAGCTCTGCCATGGAAGCGGAAGAGGCTTCCGCCACTGCCGCTGCACTCACCAGCCATGAGGCCAGCTTCTGGCTGAGCAGTGCTCTCCCTCTGGGAGTGTACTGACCACTAGGAGACAGCTCCTGTGTTGAGCGTCTGCCCCTGGTGGTCAGTGTGCGTCATAGCAACCAGGCGTTCCACCGTTCGGTTGATTTGCATATTAGCCTTTTATTATATAGGATTTACACATATTTTAACCATTTCACTTCTGTTTTGGCTAATCAGATATTTTGGATCATAGTCCACTTACCACAACCCACCCAATCTTTTTTGTGCTTAAGAAATGCTAAATAATTACTAAACATAAATTAATTATGAGTAATTATAACCATTTTGAGACTTGATTCTAGAAAAATACTGTCCACTCTTCTGTTGTCTTGTATCACTTCTCCTTTCCATGGGTGATTTTTAGACTTTTTTTGCTGAAAAAAATGCACTTTTTTTCAGCAAAAAACAAAACCAAAAAACAGGCCCCAGGCCCCTTTAGTCCACAGACTGATGCTCTATCCCCTGAGCCAAACCAGTTAGGGCTGTATTTAATTTTTAATACTTGGGCCAACTCATAACTGTCAGTTTGTACCATAAAAAGCATTTAAATATAAAATGTGATAACACATTTTAATAATGAAGTCTCATATTTTATCTTAACTATGATATATAAAAAATGAAAGCGTAATGACATGGTAGATAGGAGGTGTTTAGACAGGAATGCTGATATGTGTATGGGTATGTCTGTGTGTTCATGTGTAACCTGAATTTCAGGATTATTACGTCCCTGGTATGAAATTATTATAACATTTCATTCGTTTTTCTTGTTCTCTAGGAGATTCTTCTCCTGGGCATTCTGAAAATCGTTGAAAGCGATGTTGCTGTGAGCCCTTTACACTATCTGACCTTCCCCTTACTGCACGCTCCGAACCTGAGCAACGGCGTCTCATCACCCAAGTGCCCCGGGATCCTCAACAACAAGGCCATGGGCTTGCTGAGAAGAGCACGTGTGTCCTGGAGCAGGAGGGAGGTGGACGGGGACAGCGTCCCCCAGCAGCTGCTGTCCTCCTGGCACGTGGCCCCCGTGCACCTGCCCCTGCCGGGCCAGAACTGCTGGCCGCACCTCGCCGACGGGTTCAGCGTCTCCCTGTGGTTCCACGTGGAGTGCGTCCAGGAAGCCGAGAGCCGCCCAGAAAAGCGAAGGAAGATCAGGAGACGGAGGAAGTCGTTAAGTTTACGAGACAGTAGTTTTGATGGAGCAGGTATGGCGACTGTGTTATCTGTTATACTCGGCTTTTTCAGGTGGCGATTTTGGTTGACAGAATATAGCTCTCTTCTAACTTGCTCTTTACATGTTATTCTACTTAAATGTCTTAGTAATGGCAGGTCCTGACTTACCATAGCCGGGAGTTGTCAGTCAGCCTTGAAAACTCCATTTTCTCCTGTACTTTTCTGTGTGTACATGCGCGCGTGTGCAGGAGGGGGGAGAGCATCCACCACACATACTGCTGCTGCGGCGGTCACCAGCCCCACTTCCTGCCTCTTCCCTGGTGCCATTCCTGAATTAGGGGGGTCCCTGATGTTAGCCCATCCCTTTTATAAAGGAATCGTGGCTCAGATTGTATAATAGTAGTTTACTGTGGTGACATCACAGTTGATCACATCATTCCTGCAATTCGCCTGCAGTTAGCATATATTTTATTTTATTATTCTTTTATATTCTTTATTGATGACACTACTACAGATATCCCCGTTTTCCTCACCTTCGTTTGCTTCCACCCAGCCCCTGCCTCCCCCCCAACTCCCCTTTCCTCTGGCCCGCACCACACTGTCACACCGTTGTCTGTGTCCATGGGCAATGCAGATAAGTTCTCCGGCTAATCTTTCACCTTCTTTCATCCCCTCCCATCTGACAGCTGCCAGTTTTCCCCAAGTATCCAGGCCTCTGTTTCTATTTTATTTGTCAGTTTATTTTGTTCACTAGATTCCACATAGAAGTGAGATCACCTGCTATTTGTTTTTCTGGGACTGGCTTACTTCACTTAGCATTAAAAGTTACTAAGTATTTTAAAATATGTGATAACTGGAAGAACCATTTAGTAACTTTTAATGCACTCATTTACTATTTCACTCCCGGTGCTTAGTTTGGAGTTACTTAACATCTAAACTTTGGAAATCCTTTTGTTGAAACAGGCCATTCTGGGTAAATAATTTGCTACAAATAAACAAGCATGCTTTCTCTATTTTTAAAATTCACTTTCCCACCCAGTTTTTATCAGCTGCTTTGCTGACCATTCTAACCTGTTTCTTTCATAGAGAACGACAGGGCAGAAGGCACAGAGCACGTACATCCTGGTGAGAGGCTCACAGAAGGAGGCTGCATCCACGTGGTCTCGTTGGGATCCAAAGCGCTGATGATCCAAGTGTGGGCTGAGCCCCCCACTGGCACCTTCATCTTCCGGTAACGATCATCCCCAACCCCGTGGACAGGGCATGTGTTTCAACAGTCCATGTAATATAATAACTAAGCAGATTATGGCATAAAACAAAGACCTGTTGACTTTTTATGTTAGTTTAAAAATAGAACTGGCTTTCAATCTCACATATCTTTTTTTTAAATATATATTTTAAAATACATTTTAATATATTAAATATAATTAATATATTAAATATAATTAAAATATATTTAATATATTTTTAATATATATTTTTAAAATATATTTTATTGATATTTTACAGAGAGGAGGAAGGGAGAGAGAGAGAGAGTTAGAAACGTCGATGAGAAAGAAACATCCATCAGCTGCCTCCTGCACACCCCCTACCAGGGATGTGCCCGTAACCAATGTACATGCCCTTGACTGGAATCGAACCTGGGACCCTTCAGTCTGCAGACCGACGCCCTACCACTGAGCCAAACTGGTTTCGGCTCACTTACATATCTACACTTGTAGTTGTACACGAGCTAAAGACTGAGATCCGAAATTCCACGTTTGCAGCTTGTCCCTTCTCTCTCCCCTGCAGCCTGTGTGTGGATTCAAACGATGATGCAAAAGCTGTTTTACTAGCTCAGGCGGAATCACTGGAGAATGTCTTCCTCCCAAGCAAATGGCAGCATTTAGTGCTCACCTACTCCCAGCAGCCGCAGGGGAAAAAGAGCCTTCACGGGCAAGTCTCCATGTGGGTCTCTGGACAGAGGTAGGAAACACTTGTTCACCTCAGTTACAGTTTTATAGAACACGATCGATCAAATCCCTATGTTAACATAGGAACCTAGGTCAGAACTGGCTATTTTCCTATTTATCACTTCCTTACAAAAGCACTTTCCCATAGAAGTAATTGTTGGAAATTAACCTCTGGGTTTAGGGGAGCAATACAGAAATGTGGGCATTTAGACATTTGTGTGGAATATGTATTACATCAAGGCGCTATAGTTTTGTCCTTCAAGCCCATATATTATAAAATTAGCCCAGAAGGATTATTTTAATTGACCAATGGCTTTACTACCTAAATTAAAATCAGGGATTCAGATAAAATTAGAATGTCTAGAGAAAAATATAAACCCACTTATTTCTGTATTACCTGAAGGGACTTTTTTTTTGCCATTTGATACAAGTTAGTGGTTTGATCTGTTCACCGAGCAATGAGCAAGTGACCAAGGACAAACATATTATTCTGTTGACTGAAATTTGACACTGTCTTTATCACATTTAGAACTAACATAGAATGATTTCTACAAATAGTACACTTAAGAGACCATTTTAATAATATAGCATTTAAAAACAACATATTAATATTTTTTATTAATTTATACTTGATTAACAGCACACAAATCTGATAAGAAAATATAGTACATAGTAAATACTTAGTACTTAGTCCTCACTGAAGTGATTGATCTAACTTTGTTTTGATGTAGGAAACCTGATGTTACTTTGGATTTTATGCTTCCAAGAAAAACGAGTTTGTCATCGGATAGCAATAAGACGTTCTGCATGATCGGCCATAGTTTGTCATCCCAAGAAGAGTTTCTGCCGCTGGCTGGAAAATGGCACCTGGGAAATTTGCTCCTCTTCAATGGTACATTTCCCTTCAAAGCATTTCCTAATTTTTCTTTCCGATAACATGTGCTAAAATAAGTAAACTATCCTGGATAAAATATTAATCACTCTGTCTTTACTTGTACTTAATAAATACTGTATTTCCTTGATTTCGATATGACTTTTAAGGTATTTTAACATTTTTATAATCTAAATGTTTCTTATAATTATTATGTACATTTAATGCAGTAGTAATGTACTACTGCATTAAATGTACATAATAATTATAAGAAAGATGCTTATCTTAAATAAACTTTATTTTGTAATCCCAGAAAATGCAGTATTGTGACAGGTAAACTTAGAATGGTTTTCTCTTTTATAATTTCAGTATATTCTATAAAAATAGCAACATTTAGGGAAAAGAAATACATGGTTTAAAAAGCACATCTGACTAAAAGTACTAAACCTGACTCATAGTAGCATTCAGACCTGTTTATTGAATAGTTGGATGGGAGGAATAAAGATATCAAATCATTTCATCTTTAAAAGGAATCTATTGAAGTATACTTTCCATTTATTGAAAAAAATAAAACAAAAACCACCCTGTTTTCTATTTTAAGGAGCAAATAGGAACTTCATTATTTAATTGTATCAAGAGCTAACTTTATATATATTAATTCAACTTCCATCAATTTGGACATTGAGGCTTTGGTCAGTTTTATAAGATACAGTAAACAGCTAAGAGAATCTGGCATAAAAATAGTTGTTTTCTTGCTCTTTGTGGAAAATGCCGGTTGGAATGTTTTGAATCAGTCACTGTATCTTTTTGCTCTCCAGGAGCTAAGGTTGGCTCACAAGAGGCCTTCCACCTCTATGCTTGCGGCCCCAGCCACACCTCCATAATGCTGTGCAAGCATGGCTCGCCTGCGACTGACTACTCCAAATACATCAGCAAAGACATTCTGCAGTGCGACCAAATCAGAGAGCTCTTCCTGACCAAGAAAGATGTGGACATTGGTCTCTTAATTGTAAGTTTTCATCCTAGGTTTAACTTTATAGTAACTACACATAGGTATGTTTACTACAGTATATTGTTGTGTTCTGTTTTATTGTTGTTGTTGTTATTCTCTTACTGTGCCTAGTTATTAATATAAATAAAACTTTATCAGAGAAACGTTATGTATAAGAAAAAAACACGGTGCATATAGGGCTCAGTACGGTCCGTGATTTCAAGCATCCACTGGGGGTTCAGGGGTACATGCCCAGGGGTCAGGTGACCGGGAGCCAGAAGCTGATCGAAGTTCCTGTCTGCCCGGGAGAAACACTGAAAGTTCTATTTGGTTTTAGTTAAGCGGGCTGATGGTCTGGGATTTTATTCTCATTTAAAGCAACCTCTGATCTTAGAGTCACTTTTATTTTTTAAATGTTATTAAGTTGATTGAGGTGACATTGGTTAATAAAATTACATGGATCTCAAGTATAATTCTATAATACATCGTCTGTATAGTGCATGTGTGTAGTTACCTTTACATTCAAGCCCAGGAGCAAACTGAAAGGAGAAGAATTGCATACATTGATCCCAAGTTCCCATCTCATGAGGTTGTGACGGTATAATTGTAATGTTTATGTTGGTAGAACAGTGGCTGGCATGGGCATGCAGTGGGTGTTGTCAGTGGTGATAGTGAGTGTAACGATCAAAGCCGGAGCCTCAGCCTGGCTGAGGTTTTCACTGTTGGGCACTAAGCGCACACCTGTTCCTCTGGGGGGGCCGCCCTGCAGCTCCCGTTCACCTTGTTTAGTGTGTCTGTCCCTTTAAACAAAGAAAAGCTTTGCTGGCGTCCCTTCACTTTGGAGGACTTCCTTGCTCTTCAGTAACTGTCTAAGCTCTGCTTCCTTCCTGAGGGAGACTGTCTGTGTTTCAGGAGAGCCTTTCGGTTGTCTACACGGCGAGCTGCCCTGCTCAGTACACCATCTACGAGCCGGTCATCAGGCTTAAAGGGCAGGCCAGAGCCCCGCTCTCCCAGAGGCCCTTCAGCTCCAAGGACGTGCAGAGCGTCTCGCTGGAGCCCCACCATCTGAGGAGCCTCCGGCCCAGCCAGGGCGAGACCCTCCAGGGTGTCCTGCACGAGATCGGGGGCACCGGGACCTTCGTGTTCCTCTTCGCCAGGGTAGGAGCCCCCACTTTTATTATTATTTTTTTAAATATATTTTATTGATTTTTCACAGAGAGGAAGAGAGAGGGATAGAGAGCTAGAAACATCGATGAGAGAGAAACATCGACCAGCTGCCTCTTGCACACCCCCTACCGGGGATGTGCCCGCAACCAACATACATGCCCTTGACCGGAATCGAACCTGGGACCTTTCAGTCCGCAGGCCGACGCTCTATCCACTGAGCCACACCGGTTTCGGCTGAGCCACCGCTTTTAATTCCACCTGAAGAGAAGCTTCCTGTGATTGATACGTGTTGGGGTTTCTTTCTGGTTACAGAAAAACTATACATCACCTATGTTACCCTTTTAAGATGAGAAAACTTTTACTCTCAGCAAATCAGAAAAAAACGTACCCATTTTTTTTTAGGTTGTGGAGCTCAGCAGCTGTGAGGAAACGCAGGCGTTGGCTCTGCGCGTGCTCCTCTCGCTGATTAAGTACAACCAGCAGAGGATGCAGGAGCTGGAGAATTGCCACGGGCTCTCCATGGTGCACCAGGTGCTCACCAACGCGAGGTGCACCGTCGGCTTTCACATCCTGAAGGTGCGTCCTCGCGGAGTTGACTCTCGCGGTGTCCTGCGCAGTGAGATACTTGATGAAATTTAGAATCTATTCTACCCAGCGGTTTCCCTCTGAAGTTAATGTTGTGATTGCTCAAGTTGAAGGCTTAATGCTTCTGTTGAATTTTGGGGGCGACCCGATCATTAATGCATCCTGTGTTGGTGCGAATTGTCCATAGACCCTTCTGGAAGGTTGCTGTGGCGAAGCTCTCCTCCATGCCGACGAGAACGGCGAGTTCACGTTAGATGTGGAGTCGAAGGCTATCATCCAGGACGTTAAACTGCTGGAGGAGCTGCTGCTCGACTGGAAGGTCTGGAGGAAGGCAGAGGCACGTGCTTACGATTTCCTTCCGGTGAAAACGCGCAGCGGGGCTGTGCCCACTTAGTGCCGAGCGCCCAGGGCACGCAGTGTTACCCCATCGGGAGCGTCTCGTGTGCCCGCCTGAGGCTGGGCACATTCCTCCCTCCCCATCCCTATAGCCAGCATCCCACCTTCCGTGTCTATGCGTTTGGCTACTGGAGAGACTTCATGTCAGGGGAATCATTCTGTATCGTTTCGTGCCTGGCTTGTCTCCCTTAACATCATGTCTTCAGGCCCCATGTTGGAGCCTCTGGCGAGATTCCTTCCCTTGTTAAGACTGAAAAGTGGTCCAGTGTGTGTGTGTACCACATTTTCTTTATCCATTTATCGGTCGCTGGACATGTGGGGTTAACTCCCCCATCTCGGTGACTGTGCACAATGCTGCAGTGAACATGGCCGTGCAGCTGCCTCTGCCACGTCCTGTGCTCAGTGTGTTTGAATCTGTAAGCCCAGAACTGGGGGTGCTGAATCAGTTGGTGCTTCTGTTTTTCATTTTTGAGGACTCCCCACACTCTTTTTCTGTAAGAGCCGCACCATTTTACCATCCCACCAGCCATGTGCCAGGCTTCCAGTTTCTCTGCTCGCCAACAATGTTATTTTCTGTGTGAGGGGGTTGCTGTTTTTTTCATAATGGCCCCTCTTTTGGGTGTGAGGTGACACTGCGTGCAAATAACATTAAGTGCTCTAGACCAGTGGTCGGCAAACTCCTTAGTCCACAGAGCCAGATATCAGCAGCACAATGACCGAAATGTCTTTGGAGAGCCACATATTTTTAAACTTAAACTTCTTCTAACGCCACTTCTTCCACATAGACTCGCCCAGGCCGTGGTGTTTTGTGGAAGAGCCACACCCAAGGGGCCAAAGAGCCGCATGTGGCTCGCGAGCCTTGCTTTGCCGACCACTGCTCTAGACCATCAGCCTTCCCACGGCCTTCAAGGATGGACAGTATTTTCAAAAAGTGGGGCTCTCCCGGGTTGTGGGCTAAAGAGAAGAACATCTTTTCAACGTCACTGTCGGTGTGTCCGCAGCCAGGCGTGTGGGAGGCGCTGCTGGCGGCCCTGGAATTGCTCATCCGGGCAGACCACCCACAGCAGATGTTCAATGTCAAGCAGCTGCTGAGGGCGCGAGTGGTTCATCACTTCCTGCTGACCTGTCAGGTTCTGCAGGTACGTCCCCCGCCGCTTCACTCCGGGCGGTTTTATTGCCATCACTGTGTTTAGTAGCCAATCCTGGGAGCTCAGTACTTGTCGGGGGGATGTTTCTCCCTCCCCACTCCTCTCCTTTCCCGATGCCCTGCTTCCAGCAAATACTCCGGGGTTTTCCAACCCCTGCCGCTTACACTGTCGTTTTCCCTAACGCAGTGACAAACAAGAGAAACAGCCGCTGAGTATCTGAGACGCTCCGTTAGGTTGGATATGAGGATAATTGTGTAGCCTCTTGACCATCAATAATAGTGAAAGTTGAACTTGTTCTGAGCTTTGCACAGTGGCAGCCTCGTAGCCAGTGAGGTTTGCCTGATGTGTGATGATTGCTGACTAAACCTTGGTTCACATTCTTTTTTTAAAAAATATATATTTTATTTTTTTCCAGAGAGGAAGAGAGAGAGAATTAGAAACATCGATGAGAGAGAAACATTGATCAGCTGCCTCCTGCACACCCCCTACTGGGGATGTGCCTGCAACCGAGGTATATGCCCTTGACCGGAATCGAACCCGGGACCCTTCAGTCTGCAGGTTGACTCTCTATCCACTGAGCCACACCGGTTTTGGCCTTAGTCCACATTCTTAAATAACACCACCACCTGCCCTTCCCCTCTTTCCGGTGCGCTCTCTCTGCTCATGTATTATTTGTTAGTTTTATCTCGATTATGATATTGTGGTTTATTACCTCCCATAAGACCCCTGAGGGAAGGGTTGATCACACTACCCACAAGGTGGGCACAGGCCCCTCACTGACCGAATATTGTTGAGCCGTGTCTCTCAGTCACTGCCTTCGTATCTCCATTTACAAACTTGTTGGCCAGTCTGCAGTGAGTTTATCTGACAGTGGAAAGTTTTTCTTCAGTCTTTCCATGTCAGAAAAGTAACACATAAATTTGGATATTTCAATATAGAGTCTCACGTCGTATTATTTCTAAAATGCTGGAGTTAGCAACTCTGCCCAGTAGTCAACGGAGGCGCCAAACGCAAACCCGGGCAGCCTGCGTGCCTGGTGGGGATGCTGGGCAGCTTTCCTCAATCGCAGGATAATGGGCTGCAGTGAAATCACTGCTGGTTTTCATGAGCTCTAATAGCAGAATTGCTTGAATTGGGAAATGGCAACTCAATGTAATGGTGACTATGGGAGACGCAGTTCTGTCTTAAAAGGAGTCTCTGGCTTAAATGAAAAATGGAAGTTGACAGTTCTCTTTAAATCTAAGGAGAGTTTGGTTTTTATTTTTCCAGGAACACAAAGAGGGGCAGCTTACCTCCATGCCCCGAGAGGTTTGTAGATCATTTGTGAAAATTATAGCAGAAGTCCTTGGATCTCCTCCAGACTTGGAATTATTGACAGTTATCTTCAATTTCCTTTTAGCAGTTCACCCTCCTACTAATACTTACATTTGTCACAACCCAACCAACTTCTGCTTTTCTTTGCACATAGGTAGGTATAACCATTGTTGGTAGATCTTGGTCTCCATTCTTGTTCTTTCTTCCCTCTTCATCCACATTTGTTTGATAGCCCATTGAGTGGCCTCTGTGTGGCAGAAACTGCCCTACTTACCCCTGAGGGCTGTGAAATGAACCAGGCATGGCCTCTGCCCTCAGAGAGCTTAAATGCCAAGAGAGAGGAGGCATAACTCGGACAACAACAACAGGGCAGAAAGCTGATTCAGGTTTAGATCTGTCACGTTCATGTTGCAGTTTTAAGAAACCCAGCCTTGAAAGGAAGATTAAACTGTAGCTATCAATTCTATAGTCATTTGAAGCCTTGAAGAGGATACATACATATAAAAATATAAGAGAATCCTTTCCTCCGTGCATGGAGAGTCTCCTTAGAGAGATCAGATTAACATAAAAAGTGAGTAAATTTACTGTCCAACTATAGAAATAACCAAATACACGAGGAAAGCAGTAATGGTCTCACAAAGCTCCAGTAAGAGATTGTCCCGGACTCACACGTCAAATATAAAATATATTGTGTTTCTCACTTGGAACATCTTTTGTATTTTTGTAAAGGGTTGCAGTAAGATTTGCTTTTGATGTTACATTTCTGTTTTGCCCTTACAAATGTCACTGTCTCAACGGGTGTGTTTATTCTGACTCCAGATGGCAAGATCTTCCAGGAGAAAGTGGACTCGATCGTGTCCCTGCGACACTCCAGCAGCGGGGGGCGGGCCGGCCCGGGCCCGGGGCTGATGCCCATAAGTCCGTCCGGCTTCACCGCGTCCCCGCCCGAAGGTAGAAGCCCTAAGAATGCAGGCACAGCCCCGCGCTTAGCTCCGAATAGAGACAGAGAGAAACGTCGATGTGAGAGACGCACATGGGTTGGTTGCCTCCTGCATGAGCCCGACCAGGTGTTTAGGTGGCGTTTCTCTCCTCTCTTCTTCCCAGGACACGGCTCCTCAGGCAGCATCCCCCCGCGGACGGGGGCCAGCCTGCGGCGCTGCAGAAGCCTGCCCGTGCTCCCCACGTCCTCCCTCGTGCCGCCCCGGGCACTGGCCGGAGGCTCGGACGGGGGCATCGACAGGTGCCCGGGTGCCTCGGGCAGCCCGGCGGTTCCCCAGCCTGAGCAGTGGGACGCCCCCAGGAGCTCGGAGGCGCTGCAGCAGGCCGAGGAGGAGGAGGAGGAGGCGTCCATCAGCAGCTGCGAGTCCGCAGAGGCCGTCTGCGAGGTGGACGCTGCCCTCCCGAGACCGGCCTCCGTGGGTGACGTCCCCAGAGGGGCGCTGGAGGGTCCGGGGATCGGAGTGGATCAGCAGGAGCCGGAGGCAGAGCCCAGAGCGGACGGGGACAGCCCCGGGGACGAGTCCTGCCCGCGCCGCCCTGACTACCTGCGGGGCCTGGCCTCCTTCCAGCGCAGCCAGAGCACCGTGGCCAGCCTGGGGCTGGCCTTCCCCTCGCAGAGCGGGGCCGCCGCCGTGCGCCGCTGGCCCAGCCTGGCGGACAGGAGCGCCGAGGACTGGGCCGGCCTGGCCCTCTCTCCGGGCTATGAGCCCAACTACCTCCGCGCTGCACACGCTCCCAGGTAGTCAGTCACCCATGTCCGCGAGCCCTCCCTCCATGTCTCACTGCTCCTTTAAGAATTCTACGCTTCTAGAAACATATGTCTTCATTATATCACTTCTTTTTTTAAAAAATATATAGTTTATTGATTTTTTACAGAGAAGAAGAGAGAGGGATAGAGAGTTAGAAACATCGTTAAGAGAGAATCGTCGACCAGCTGCCTCCTGCACACCTCCCACTGGGGATGTGCCCGCAACCAAGGCACATGCCCTTGACCGGAATCGAACCTGGGACCCTTCAGTCCGCAGGCCGACTCTCTATCCACTGAGCCACACCGGTTTCGGCTCATTTTGTCACATTTTAATATAATGGATATAGATGGCAAACAGAAAGACACCTTTCTCCCTGTTTTAATCCTCTGTAATAACGAATTCCATATTTAACCAAATGCTAAACCATAGAGAGCTCTCAGAGAAAACGGTCTGTAGTTTATCTAATTCTTTCTCTTATTAGAGAAAAACACTTCAGATCAGGGAAACAATGACTTATTGTTTCCTGAAGCGCCTTGGCACAACAGACACTGGCCACGTGCCTGACAGCACTGAAGTGCGGCTGGTGCAGAGGAGCTGACTTTTTAACCTGGTTTTATTTTATCTTATTTTTAAATTATCTTTATTGATTTCAGAGAAAAAGGAAGAGAGAGAGAGAGAAACATCAATGATGAGGGAAAATCATGGGTCAGCTGCCTCCTGCACGTCCCCAACTGGGGATCGAGCCCATAGCACTGGGCATGTACCCTTAACTAGAATCGAACCTGGAACCCTTTAGTCATGGGCCAGTGTTCTATCCACTGAGCCAAACCGCTAGGGCTTTACCTGATTTTAAATAGTGCAGAGAGCACCAGTGGCTTCGGTGTTGGACTTCACAGGTGTAGGACAGGAGACTGGATGCCTAAAAGTATTGGTGACAAACCTGATGGTAAATCTGTGAATCGCAGTTCAATCAGGAAGCATTTCAAATGTTGACATTAAGAATGTTTCACACGTTAAAACCGCTCAGTCACGTTCCACGTGGCGACAGTGTAGGCACTAAGCGATCACAGGGACGGCCGTGGGGTCCACCCGCTGCGTGTGCAGGGCCCCCTCCGGGTGTGCGCTGTGCCCTCGGCGATAGCGGCTGGCATCACTCACGGCGGTTTCTCAGGCAGGACGCCTCCCGGCGGCCAAGCGGCTCAGGACCGTCCGCATCAGGACTCTCGGGAGCCGCGGGGCCCGGGCCTCCGGGCCGAGGAGTGAGAGCGCGCCCGCTCTGTTGCAGGGTCCCGGAGGACACCCTGGTCCCCATCTGCTGCGGGCTGTACGAGCTCCTCAGCGGGGTGCTCCTCATCCTGCCCGACGCGATGCTGGAGGACGTGATGGACAAGCTCATCCAGGCCGAGGCGCTGCTGGTGCTCGTGAACCACCCCTCCCCGGCCATCCAGCGGGGCGTCATCCAGGTGAGCGAGCGCGTGTGGGAAGCAGAGCGGGTCACTGGGTGGGGTGGGGGGGTGCGGCACCTTCTCTGCGGGGGGCACAGAGGTCCGGGGAAGGGACGGGTTCTAATGACACGGGGAGGCGGGACAGGAACAGGTTAGCCTGGTGGCCAGGGCGATGGCTCCTGGGCTCTGAGCACGGATCCAAGGAAGAAGCGAGTTCGGGAGGAAAAGAATTAATTTGGTTTTACGCATGTCCTGTTTAAGATGCTGGGGGGTGGGGAGGAATGGAGGCCTGTGGGCCGATACTTTCGCTTCAAAATTGGGCACAGGCATTCTACGTGCACTTGGCGAAGGCAGCCAGTCCACCAGGTGTCACGTTCAGCTAAAAAGCTAGTTTCCTGCCATAAAAGCATGAAGGTCTAGAGGTGGAGTCGTCACTAGCATTCTGTAGCCTTCAGAGACAAAGCGTGGCCCCTTTTGTATGGAGATGGCATTGTCCTTAGCTTTCTATGTTCGAGACACGTGAAATTGAACGGTGACTTACAAGTGCAACAACTGTCTGATGTGTACACACTACATAAAGTCTTCATACATTCTTTAACGCGTCTTCCTCTCCCCCCAGCTGTTAGATGTGTATTTCAACAGAGCATCTAAGGAGCAGAAAGATAAGTTTCTGAAGAACCGGGGCTTTTCCTTACTCGCCAACCAGCTGTACCTCCACCGGGCAACTCCGGAGCTGCTGGACTGCTTCATAGAAATGTTCTTTGGTCGGCACATGGGCCCCGATGACGAGTAAGTGGGTTCTTCCCTCCACGCCATTGAGGCTCTTTTGTCCTCAATGGAAAACCCAAGGAACCGTCTGTAACAAAAGCACGGGGTCTTCCTTTGTATTTCATTCACTAGCTGGGGACCAGACCGGTGAATGGGTATAAAGGAAAGAAAGTGGGAGTGGAGATTAGGCATCTCTGTTCTCAGGGGGCGGTCCCTAACAGACAGCAGGGGATGCCAGGGTCCCTGGAGAGGCCCCTCCCACCCCTCGCCTTCAGGCTGTCTGGGGGCGGAGCCAGCCCCTGGCCTGGAACCCCTGGGGCACTGATGCTGAGCTCTGGCCTGGCGCAGTGCTGAAGGATTGGCAGGCAAGCCCAAAAGTGAAAGAATACTTTCTTCCAAACCGGAAGTTTAGCAGGAAAGTTAAACTGTGATTTCTGTCTGATAGAGAGAAATGAGTGTCTCATTATTGTTTATTATTATTATTATTGTTACTAAAGGCCCAATGCATCGGCTGGCCCTCGCAGCCCCAGCTTCGTCTGGAAGGTCATCTGGCTGGCTGCTCGGTCTAATTAGCACATTAGCTGTTTATTATAGGATTATTCAGTAGACCGGTTCAGGCCTGGTGGACTTGCCTTATCGCCGTCAGGAGAGCAGAGCTTTTCATCTGTGCACAGCTTTGGGCTCTTCCAGAGCGGTTCTGCATCATCTCATTTGATTCCCACAACAGCCTTGAGAAGAACGGCAGAGATCACCACCCGTATTTGACAGATCAGGAGAAAAGGCACAAAATGTTTGAATAGTCTCCCTCCGTGACTGAGGCAAATCACAGGGGACAAGAGGTCCAGACTTTTTGCTAGACCTCGGTTTACTAGCTCATGTCTGTCAAATGCTGTGGAACTTTATTCTTATTTTCCTCTGCACCTGTTATAGAGATAACGAAGGGGCCGATGGATGAATTGAAGTGAGTCCAATAAAACTATGAAATCATTTCTGTGTTTCATTTGTTCAGGACAGACTTCTAACAACACCTTTTATCTTATTTTTGGAGGGGGTCTATAACCGAAAACAAGATGAACCACCCGTGTTCCACAAATTTATTTTATAGCCTCAAAATCAGGTTAACAAAACTGTCCTTATCGCAATCACTTTCCTTCTTTCGAAGTTAATTGTGCTCTTACCTGTGCATTATTTATTATAGGTTTGATCAGGAAGATGTGAAAAACCTGGGAGTGTTCCAGAAGTGGGCTGTCATTCCTGTCCTGGGGCTAATAGAGACCTCTCTGTATGACAACACGCTCCTGCATAACACTCTGCTGCTCCTTCTCCAAATACTGAATTCCTGTGCGAAGGTCGCGGACGTGTTGTTGGATAATGGTCTCCTCTACGTGCTGTGTAACACCGTGGCAGCCCTGAACGGACTGGAAAAGAAGTAAGTTTTAAAATCATCATTTGAAGCCAAACCTGATAAATATTTCAGAAATGGAGAACTTTAGTAATAGGTTACATTAGAGCATCCGGTTTCCCGTAATACTTTCAGAGAACTTTTTTTCTTACAAAACATTAAGTAAGATTAAGTTTGGAGGGGACATATAATAGTTTCCATCGTTTTCAGCAAAGTTTTGTAATAAGAAGATATTAATATGACTTTTTAGGGGTTTAGAACCTGAAGGCAAGTTGAAAAAGTAGGTTTACAGTTGTTCGTATGGAAATAATACGATAATTAAGAAATACTAATACGATAATTAACTGTCATGCACTCACAACTGCAAACCTACTTTTGCCCCACCCTGTATATTTACCAAGCTTCCACCATGGTCTTGTAAACATTACTGTGCCATCAGAAACAGGAGCTTGAGGATAGTCACATGGCAGCCACACAGGTAATAATGTGTGTGATTTTCAGAGAGTTAATCAACGGATCCAAGGTCATCTCTGAGAAGCCTTCTCAGAACGTCGCTGTTCATCCCTGTGAACTCTCCACCTTGCTGTGGGCTGAGAGTCTGCCGGTCTGTTCCCAGAGGAGCTCCTGTTAACTTGCTTTATTTTTGTTTTGCTTGTTTTTTGTTTTAATATAATTTTATTGATCTCAGAGAGGAAGGAAGAGGGATAGAGATGGACACATCAATGATGAGAGAGAATCATTGATCGGCTGCCTTCTGCATGCCCCCCGCTAGAGATTGAGCCCACAACCTGGGCATGTGCCCTTGATCGGAATCGAACCCAGGACCCTTCAGTCCCCAGATCAATGCTCTGTCCACTGAGGCAAACCAGTCAGGGCTTAGCCTGCGTTTTCACACTTACCACGTTTATCTCTTTAATTGACTGGTTCTTTGCAAGACAGTCAGCGTTTTGACAGAAGTCAGCGTGTGTCCTCACGGGTCAGTTTTCAGCCTGCGAGTCGCGTCGCCTGCCACAGGGTGAGCGTGGGTCAGGGGTGAGTGAACGCACGCTGGCGGAACAGAACTAACCGCTCTCTCTGTCTTAAACCCTCTCTCTGGCTCCCTAGCATTCCTCTGAACGAATACAAGTTGCTTGCTTGCGATGTACAGCAACTTCTCGTCGCCGTGACAATCCACGCTTGCAGCTCCGCGGGCCCCCAGTATTTCAAAGTCATCGAAGACCTCATTGTGCTGCTCGGGTATCTTCAAAACAGCAAGAACAAGAGGACGCAGAGTAAGGTTCCTCTTTTCGGGGTTCGGGGGGCCGTTGTATAGGAGCCAAAAAGCTTATTTGAACCGAATCGCTTTCTTCTTGGAAACTGTTTTACGGAAAGTTTAATTTTGTGATGATATGGATCAGCTCTAAAAAGAAGTCTTTTTAAGTGGTAAAAATAAAGAGTGATGCCTCTATGTAACTAGTGGCTGGCAGCATATTAAAAGAAGCCACTGATTTTTCTTACCAAGTAGAACTCAAAAGGCTTATATTGAATAATAATGCCCTTTCAGTTTGCTTTAAAGGCAAATCTTAAAGAGAGTATGAAACAAAAATGTGAGAATTTCTGGTTAAACGTTTACCTTATCTATTAAAAAGTTTGGTCTTTAAAAACAATTACATAAAATAAAATAAAATAATTGTGTGGGATAGTATTTTATAGCGACCATTTGGAAATTTGCTTTAAAATTGCTTTGAAAGACAATTTTAAAATGTTTACTACCATCAAGAACCCATGTTGATTTAAAATTTTTGAAAATATGTTTTTATTGATTTCAGAGAGGAAGGGAGAGAGAGAGAAAATCATCCATGTTAGGAAAGAATCACTCATTGGCTGCCTCCTGCATGCCCCCCTACTGGGGATCGAGCCCACAACCCGGACACGTGCCCTTGACCAGAATCGAACCTGGGACCCTTCAGTCTGCAGGCCGATGCTCTACCCACTGAGCCAAGCCAGTTAGGGCTGACCGAAATGCTTAATTCTGATAAAGCACTATTGACAGTTTCAATGCCGTGTAAATACAGAAACCAGAGTTGACAGCCACGTAGCTAGCAGACACTGTGCTGCCTGTGTTTCCAGGCATGGCCGTCGCGCTGCAGTTCCGCGTCCTGCAGGCCGCCCTGGAGTTCATAAGGACCACCGCCAACCACGACGCCAACAGCCTCCCCGAGTCCTCCCCAGCTCCTTCTCCCCATCACACAGCCTTCCCGAAGCGCAAGAGCATTGCTGGTGAGTGTTAAATTGTAGGCTGCTGGGCTTTCCCGTGTTCCGACGCCATTCACGTGTTTAAATGCTGTCAGTTTAGGAACTTAGGCTGTCACTATGAGGAAGTGTTCCTCCAGAAGAAGCTGCTCGCTGCTTTCTGCGCTGAGCTGTTCCCATGCAGTTACTCTGAGCGCCTGCCACGTGCTAAGCACTGCGTTCAGTAGGAGGTGCACTGACTTAAAGGCAGACACGGCATCTGCCCTGGCAGAGATGACGAGAGAGTAGAGAAGTGTAGTGAGACTGTAACAGGGCCGCCGCTTACATCAGGAGGCAGGGAAGTGTCTGCGGGGGTGAGATTTAAGGTCTTAAAGGACACAAAGGCGTCAGGAATGGAGAGATCAGAAGGCAGGTGTCCCAGGCAGAGGCGGGGGAAGGGAGGACAAGGGGGAGCTGAGGCCGGAGAAGAGAAGGAAGCTGCTGTCCCACTCCCAGGTCAGCCTGTGCCAGTCTGACTGCGGGCACCACTGCCAGGTCATCCCGTGTCAGTCTGACTGCCGGGCATGTGCTTCCACTCATCCCACCACCAGCAAACAAGGCCCTGGTTTCAGTGTGGTGCAGACATCTTTCCATGGACATACACATAGAAAGAACACACAAATGTTCCTTGTTTAACAAGTGCATACTCTGTGATATTGATTTGCCGTGACAGTCTTTCCTAACTTTTACCAATCAACGAAGGTGTTACTGCTTTTTTACTTTTCTGGTTTTGCTATTATAAAAAAAAAAAAATTGTTTTTATTTGCTTCATTTTTTTGTCTCCAAGGTGACTCAACCCACCAAAATGTAATAACTAAAAATGCCGATTATCTGAAAGAGTAGACAGTCTAAAATGCTATTAACATATTTAAATATCTTACAGGATGAGTCATTAACACTTGCCGTGTTTTAGCATGTGTAAGTCATGTTTAGAGAGGCCGTGTATGGAAACTGATCTGTGTCTTCATAATCTAAAACCAAGGTTCAATTCCGGGGAAGGGCGCCGCTCTTCCTCCCCTCCCGAGACGCCATTTTCGTTCCTATGGTCACCTCCCGATGCTCTCCTCCTCCCGCGCGTTCAGGCGAGACTCCTTCCCCCCGGGCTCCTCCGGATCCGCTCCCGGGGCGGCCCCACTCGGAGCAGGTGCAGTGGCGCAGCTGGATGCCAGCTCTCCCGTCCCCTGGGGAAGCATTGCCCAGGAAATGCTCTTGGGATTGAATCCAAGCGATGCATGTGCTGCAGATGGCTCATGGCAAATCACCGGGGCGGTGCTCACCTTTCTGATCTCCTCACCTTCCTCTGACTGATTTCTGCTGTGTCACTGTGTACACTTTCAGAACTGTGTTACCAAGTTCAGCAGTGGCAATCACCCGGAAATAGCAATGTTCGTACTAAAGCACAATGTTGATTATTTTAAAATACGAGCAAGTGCAACAGTACTTGAAAATACTTTGTCAGAACATTCTGAGCTACTTGCATGTGCCCTCCTAATTCCTGGAGTTTTTCAGGAAACTCAAATCTTGCCGAACAGTAGCCATCCTCCTAAGCGAGGTCACCTGGTCCCGCGTCCTTATTTAGGATTCTGCAATCGGAAGTACTGTCGCACTTCTTCAGAGAGGGGAAGCATCACTTTCTTGGAATCACTCTTTCCTCTGCAAATCAACTTCGCGTTAATAAGATCTGTTCACGTTCTGATGATCGAAAAGGGGCAGCAAAACTAGTTTCCTGGCTCTTGCTAACTCTGGCACCTGCTGTTTTAATGGATGCATTTGCAGGTCCTCGGAAATGTCCCCTTGCTCACACGGACCCCTTCCTGATGCGCATGCGCTCGGTGGCGAGCGACGAGCTTCACGTGATGATACAGCGGAGGATGAGCCAGGAGAGCCCCTGGCAGGCGAGCGAGGCCGAGCTGGTGCAGAGGCTGCAGAGACTCACCGTGCTGGCTGTTAACAGAATTATTTACCAAGGTGAACGTTATTCTGTTCCACGTGTAATATAATACCGAGAGCAGCCACTGAAAAGCTGTGCGAGGAAATGCACTCAGAAGCGCTATAGATAAGTCAAAATGAGATTCTTTAAAAAATTGTCAAATAATCTCAAGAAGACAGGAAACAAATGCACAGTAATTGTTAATCAATATTAGGAAAACCATACATTCAAGATTTTTTTAAAAAAATAGATATATTTTTACTGGTTTCAGAGAGGACGGGAGAGGGAGAGAGAGAGATAGAGAGAGAAACATCAATGATGAGAGAGAATCATTGATTGGCTGCCTCCTGCACGCCCCACACTAGGGAACAAGCCCACAACCTGGGCATGAGCCTTGACCAGGAATCGAACCCCAGACCCTTCAGTCCACAGGCCAGCACTATCCACTGAGGCAAACCAGCTAGGGCTGCCAAGATTTTTTTTTTTTAAATTTTTTAATTTATATTTGGGGCGCCTGGCCCTCAGGCTAAACTAAAACTGAACCACTTTCCTTCCTGGCCCCACACTGAACGAGAGAAACCGCTCTGCACGTCCACATATCGTAAGCATCACATGATCTTCACATGTGATTCATACAAGGACCTCGTGGCTTTAATGACGTCATAGTGTAGTTCCTCCTCTACATTAGTAAAATAAACCTGTAATTTAGAATTGCATGGTTTATATGCGTTTAAACTTCAACACTATTTTACGTGAGATCACTTTCTCTGTGTATTCAAATAATTCACTTACACGTCTGTATTATGACAACTGAATCAGCATCATTACATTTGTAATGGCTAGGTACCAGTGATTTAACGGCTTTTTTATTTACTTATTTATTTATTTTTTAAATTCAGAGTTTAACCCAGACGTTGTTGCCATTTTGAGTACTCCAGAAAATGCCACTCAGAGCAAGACCTCAGCTTCCCAGACTGAAATTTCTGAAGAAAATAGTCACTGTGAACAGATTTCCGTTTTCAATCCATTTCAGAAGGAAATACTGACATATCTCATAGAGGGATTCAAAGTATCTATTGTAAGTAAATGAATGAAATGGGGAATGTTCATGCCCACAAACGGAGTAGAGGGTTTTTTGTTTTCATTGTTGACACTATTACACATTCCCCCTCCCCCCCTTTCCCACATCCACGTACCCCCCGCTTCCCTCTGGCCGTCACCTCACCGTTGTCTGTGCCTATGGGCTCTGCACCGGTACATGTTCTTTGGCTAATCCCTTCATCTTGTCATCCAGTCCCCTCTCAGCCCTCCCTTCTGACAGCTGTCAGGCTGCTCCATGCGTGCTTGCCTTGGATCTGTTTTGTTCATTTGTTTATTTTGTTCATTAGATCTCACATACAAGTGAGGCCGTGTGGTATTTGTCTTTCTCTGACTGGCTTATTTCACTTAGCGTAATAACCTCCAAGCCCATCCATGCTGTTGCAAAAGGTCAGAGTCCCTTCTTTTTTTTTTACAGCTGGGTTCCCATGTTTTTGTTTATCCGTCCATCCATCAGTGGGCATTTGGATTGCTTCCCCCTTCTGGCGATTTGAACAGAGGTGGACGTCCACCTCTTTTAAACACTGTTGTATGGACGCGTGTGTCTTTCTGATTTAGACTGTCTGATTTAGAAACCTAGAATAAGACGGGTCACATGATCTTCGTTAGGATCGTGTGGAGGTTAGTATGTTATGCCTTCAAAAGTCTGATCCTAATTCATTTCTGTTCGGTTTAAGGGCTCCAGTAAACCCAGTGGTTCCAAGCAGCAGTGGGCGAAGATTGTGTGGTCTTGTAAGGACACCTTCCGCACGCAGCTGGGGAGGCTGCTCGCCCACATCCTGTCCCCAGCCCACCCTGCCCAGGAGAGAAAGCAGATTTTTGAAATAGTTCATGAGCCAAATCATCAGGAAATACTACGAGACTGTCTTAGCCCATCTTTGCAAGTAAGAATCAGTATTTCATACATTAAAAACTGTGCGTGAAACATCAGATTGCACAAAACAAGAATTGAAATTAAACTGTATTTTCATGCAAAATATTATAAGTACTGGAGGCCCGGTGCACGAAATTTGTGCACAGGTAGGGTCCCTAGCCCTCGCTGGTGATCAGGCCAATCGGGGGGCCTTCTGGCTGCTGGCCAGGGCCTTCCTTCATTCCACACTATCCTCTGGTGATCAGTGCAATGGATCGAACTCTTGGTCTCCCAGTCAAACTCCCGAGGATACACTTTGCATATTAGCCTTTTATATATAGAGAGATAGTTTTCCTACCAAGTGCCACCTGAGGTCTTTCTTCAGATGCTCTCCACCTGTCTTGCCTGGATCTGTTTGTTCCCCATTCTTTTCAGTGCTTAAGTGAAGGTCTGTATACAAGTTCCTACAAGTCATTAGAATCACTAAATGATTGATCAGAGGATGTTAAAATGAGTTATTAGAAACAACTTCAGCCGGGACCGGTTTGGCTCAGTGGATAGAGCATCGGCCTGTGGACTGAAAGGTCCTGGGTTCGATTCCAGTTGAGGACATGTACCTTGGTTGCGGGCACATCCCCAGTAGGGGGTGTGCAAGAGGCAGCTGATGGATGATTCTCTCTCATCGATGTTTCTAACTCTCTATCCCTCTCTCTTCCTCTCTGTGAAAAATCAATAAAATATATTTTTAAAAAAAAGAAACAACTTCAATGGCTATTCAAGGCGAATAAAAACATTTCTGATAGTTTCTCAAGATGATTTGAGAATACCAAACGGAAATATTTTCAGTTAATTAAGGACCTTGCCTCTAAGACTCAAATGTGAAAATACTCCCGTCATTTGCATTCCTCTTTATTTGCCAGCTCTCCAGGCCTTTTACTCAGAGAGCATCTGCGCTGCTTCCTCTCTGGGCCCGGTGGCAGCTGTCTCCCGATTCACTTAAAACGTCGCCTCGGCTGGGCGCTGCTATTCCGGTCCCGCACATGTTCCTCCCATGCTTCTAGGAAGTGGCAGGATGCGATGAGCGTGTTAATGTACATGCCACCCAGAATGCAAGAGTTTCCAAACCCGTTTGTTGACATTTAATACCATTCACAGTTTAAAATGTGAGCGGCATTTGTACTCATGCAAATCCTTACAGTAAAATTCTGCATCTTTAACTTGTTGGCACATTTAATGTCCCAGTAGCACACAGCGAACAGGAAACAACACGGTATAACTCCCAAAGCACGGAAGGGCCACCCAAAAATTCATGCGTCAGAGCGTGGTGTGGGCTCACGCTGTGAAAGGCAATCGCCATCGCCCCAAGTAGCAGCTCTCATGTCAGTCACAGGGTCTGCTCATCAAAGATTGGCCTAGCCCGGCCAGCATGGCTCAGTGGTTGAGCATTAACCTATGAACCAGGAGGCACAAGCCCAGGTTGTGGGCTTGATCCCCAGTAGGGGACGTGCCGGAGGCAGCCGATCCATGATTCTCTCTCATCTTATGTCATCATATATGCAATACAGAATCACATTTTTCCAGTTGTCCCCAAAATGTCTTTTTTTTTTTTTTAAGCTCATTTATTCCAGCCACATCGAACCAAATAAACCTAGCAGTATAAATTAATTGAACTACTGTTAAATAATTTAACTGTAAGAAGCAGAAGTTCTTCATGCCTGAAAAAAAAACGTACTGCTTCGTTTCCCAGCATGGAGCCAAGTTAGCGCTGTATCTGTCGGAGCTGATCCACAATCACCCGGATGAGCTGACGTGGGAGGAGCTGGACGCGGCCGAGCTGCTGATGAGCGCGTTGCAGACGTGTGGCCTCAGGGTCCCCCCGCCCGGTGCAGCTGCGAAGCCAGAGCTGCTCAGGACCATCAGAGAGGTGAGCCGGCGAAGCAGCACATGTCCTCAGGAGACCCCGCTGGCCGAAACGAAAGGGTGTGGAAGGCTTGGTTTTCATTATCGATGTCCGTGGGGATGAATCTGAAACTCTTGCTTTCTGTGGGTGGCTTTTTTTTTTTTTTTTTTTTTACCATGAGAGAGCCAGTAGACTCATTGAAGGACTGTTTTTTTTTTTTTTTTTTTTTTAAATATATATTTTATTGATTTTTTTACAAAGAGGAAGAGAGAGGGATAGAGAGTTAGAAACATCGATGAGAGAGAATCTTCGACCAGCTGCCTCTTGCACACCCACCACTGGGGATGTGCCCGCCACCAAGGCACATGCCCTTGACCGGAATCGAACCTGGGGCCCTTCAGTCCGCAGGCCGACGCTCTAGCCACTGAGCCAAACCCGTTTCAGCTAACGACTGTTGTATCCTCTGGTCATCCTCCTCTGTTACCTGCAGCGTTCAGGGAAGGGAAGACCTTCACCTTGACAAGCGAGTGGAGGAACCGGCCTTAGTTGCGGGTTCTTTAATGAAAACACAAAATAAGGAAGGGAGCCCCTGTGCAAACCCGCCAGGTGGGGCAGCCCAGGCTGACTCTTCCCCCTCCCTCCTCTGCCCACACTGCAGGGAATGAGCGCGTTATCCAAGGGCTGATGTCTTTCCTGTTCTGTCTCCTGAGGACAGTGCTTTTCCCGCGTTAGCCTGGCCTTCCAGTTACTTTATTGGGTTCTGTGCCAATGTCAGATGATAAAGGATACATTTCATATTAATACTTTTTAGGAACAAAAGAAATATGAAACAGAAGAAAGTGTGAGCAAAGCCACCTGGCAGAAAACCGTTAAAAATAACCAACAAAGGTAGGATTGTAAGTGTTGTCAAGTCACGTCTTTTAGGAATCCATTAGATTTCACAGAGGCTTCTAACTGTGTGTTTTTTATTTAATTTTATTTTTTTCCATTTATCCCCTCTATGCCCTCTTCCCCCTCAACCCCTCTCTCCCACCATCCCTGCACTGTTGTCCATGTCCATGAGTTCTCTCTTTTTTTTCTATTTTACTCAGCCCATCCCCTGCCCTACACCCTCCCCGTCTCCCACCAGAGCTGTCTGCCTGCTCTCTATCTCTGAGTCTGGCTCTGTTTTGCTTGGCAGTTCAGTAAATTCCACACATGAGTGCAATCATAGGTGGCTATTACAGTATCTAACAGTGGTCTTTCTCTGACTGGCTCATTTCACATAGCAGGATACTCTCCAGGTCCATTTTATGCTGTCGCAAAGGGGAAATTTTCCCTTCTTGTTCTGGCAGAGTAATATTCCATGTGTAAATGTACCACAGCCCTCTCCCTACACATCTCACGTTCCACATGCGCTTAACTTACGGGCAGTTTTGTCTGTTCAGTCTCTTCCAGCGTCTCGATTTAAAATCCAAGGAGATATCCAAAATCGCCGCAGACATCACGCAGGCGGTGTCCTTGTCCCAGGGGATCGAGAGGAAGAAGGTGATCCAGCACATCCGGGGGATGTACAAGGTCGACCTGAGCGCCAGCCGGCACTGGCAGGAGCTGAGCCAGCAGCTGACGCACGACAGGTGCGTGGGGGGGGGGGGCGGGGAGCCGGGAGACTTCTCTTGCACGTCAGCCTTTCGTCCGATGGATCTGTATTCCGGACGGAGCTGAATTATAGAAATAGTTTTGGGGTTTTTTTTTATTCTCTTTTTAACAGTTGGGTTTTTAACTGAATAGTTTTTTACTTATTAATAACTTGTAGTTACTTACATTTGGTATTCTCAAATCCATTTGGTATTCTCAAATCCATTTGGTATTCTCAAATCCATTTGGTATTCTCAAAAAGTTTTAATAACTTTTGAAAGCGACACGCACTTCAGGTTGCCGCTTGAGACCTTCTTTTCTCTTGACTAACAGAGCAGTCTGGTATGACCCCACCTACTACCCCACTTCCTGGCAGTTGGACCCCACGGAAGGACCGAACCGAGAGAGGAGGCGCTTGCAGAGATGCTACCTCACCATTCCCAACAAGTACCTCCTGAGGGACCGGCAGAGGCCGGAAGGTAACGGTGCCCCCGGCGCGGCTGCGCGTGGCCAGGGAACTGTGGTCTCCGGGGAGAGGTGACGTGCGCTCTCTGCCTCGCAGGCGTGGTCAGATCGCCCCTCTCCTACCTCTTCGAAGACAAGACTCACTCTTCTTTCTCCTCCACCGTGAAGGACAAAGCTGCAAGTGAGTCTATCAGGTAACGGAACCCGCTGGTGCTTCTGGGGAGGAGTTAAAGGTCCTACAGCCTGCTGGAGGACTTCCCGCTCCGTTACAGACAGCATGTGGCTTTAAGAGAGGGCTCAGGCGAGGACCAGGTTGGATGCCAGAGTCCGAAAGGGAAAGGCAGTTGGATGGGAGGGGCCCTGGGACTTGTGTCCCGATGCTCTGGTCTTATTTGCACACGGACGCTTCCTGTCCTGACAGCCTGTGAAATAGCGCCATCCACGGGCGACCAGGGCGGTGACGACAGGTTCAGGTTCCGGGCCTGCCAACGTGCCCTCTAGCTTTCTGATCGTGGCCAGTTCCTCACCTCTCCAGGTCCGTTTCCTTACCTGCTGTTCCATGAGGAAGGCGGTGACGCCAGCGTAGCTTAGCATTGCCCAGTAGTGATGGGTCAGTTATTGGCGTGCCCGTTTTATAGATGGAAAACTGAGACTCAAAGAATGTAAGTGGCTTGCCTGAAGAATAGAGGACGTTTTGTGACTCTAAATCCTGTTTTCCCTAGACTTTTCTTACGTGATTGAAGTATCTTCGATCAATGACTGTTTGCTTATTTACTGGGCAATATAAACTATTCAAGTCTCTCTTCATAACTGAATCCTGTATTCCGCCTGCAGGGTACAGGGGTTGTTAGCCTTTTCTAAACGTTTCCGTCATTTCCTTCCTCTACTAGAATGTTAAAGAATGAGGTACTATTTTTACGAGGGTTTTGACAGGACTTCTTGTGCTTGGAACTTGTCTGCTTTGCTGAAATCTTTCACAAGATAAAATCAAGCTTACACTTTCTAAAACCGCTCAAAACATTCACTCATCGTGATTTTAAATGTGTTTTGACAGAGTGAACCGACGGTGTATCAGCGTCGCCCCGTCTAGGGAGACAGCTGGCGAGTTGTTATTGGGTAAGTCAGGTTTGGGAGAGTTTTACTCCGACCCACTGCCTGTTTTCATTCGTGATCTGTGGTGCATTGTTCTGGCCACTGCCATTAAAGGCATTAAATTCGCCCTAACCTATTTGGCTCCGTGGATAGAGCGTCGGCCTGCGGACTGAAGGGTCGCAGGTTCGATTCCGGTCAAGGGCATGTACCTTGGTTGCGGGCACACCCCCAGTAGGGAGTGTGCGGGAGGCAGCTGATGGTGTCTCTCTCTCATCGATGTTTCTAGCTCTCTATCCCTCTCTCTTCCTCTCTGTAAAAAATCAATAAAATATATATATTTTTAAAAAGAGACATTATATTCTCTCTAACATCACGTGGGTTATCCTGTCTTGACATTATGTGTAATGCCTGGGCTCATAATTATGAAGATTTCTAAAGCTGACTTTCTTCATGAGTGTACATTTTCATATTTAACCATTTCTTTTATTTTATATATCTGATCAAATTCCCACAGTAACCCTGTGTATAGAGTTCTTTTTATAAGATAACAAAGACACAGGGAGGCTGAGCAACTTGCTGAGATCTTGTGGATGCTGCTCACGACTAGGGATTGGTGTCAAGAACCATTTCTGGGCGATAGAGTCAGGCCACTGGCTCCAAAGATCCTGCTTTTTACCATGCGAGGTAACGGCGCAATACGTCTTTAAACTCACACGCGGTTATGTGTTGCAGGTAAATGTGGCATGTATTTTGTGGAAGATAATGCTTCTGATACAGTTGAAAGTTCGGTGAGTAGACGCTTAAGTTTGCACTAATTGAGTTCACACACATTTCAGATATGTATAAATTCAGTATCACCAAAAAAGCAGGCAGAACTCTTAGAGCTCATTTATTGTGACGATATGTGTAGATTTATCTCAAATGAATGCATTTTATAAAAGACAGTTCTAAAAAGCAGTTTAAAACTTGATAGTTGAATTCTGCTGGCGCATGCTTAATGTTCTTTAACCTAAAACTGCTCTGAAAAATCAAGTCTATTAAAAAATCAAGTCTAGCCGGGACCGGTTTGGCTCAATGGATAGAGAGTCGGCTTGGGGACTGGAAGGCCCCGGGTTCGATTCCGGTCAAGGGCATGTACCTTGGTTGTGGGCATATCCCCAGTAGGGGGTGTGCAAGAGGCAGCTGATCGATGACTCTCTCTCATTGATGTTTCTAACTCTCTATCTCTCTTCCTCTCTGTACAAAATCAATAAAAATAAATTTTTTAAAAAATCAATTCTATTAGCTAAAAACAAGCCTAATTTTCATTCAGCGTTTTGAAGCGTGTGGTAGAGGATTTTCAGAGAATCTCATCTACCGTATTGCAGTTTGATATTTTTTAAGAATCGGAAGTTAAAATGATGATTGATATTTCATGCACAGCGGGTACTTTCCTCTCTGTCCTTTGCGCAGAGCCCTCAGGGAGAGCTGGAACCGGCGTCCTTCTCCTGGACGTACGAGGAAATCAAAGAAGTCCACAGGCGCTGGTGGCAGCTGCGGGACAACGCCCTGGAGATCTTCCTGACCAACGGCCGGACCCTGCTGCTGGCCCTGGACAGCACCAAGGTGGGTGGGCTGGACAGCACCACGGTGGGTGACTGCCCCGAGGCAAGTTCATGGCATCGGGTACCACTCAGCAGAGCGCTCGGGTTTAACTGATCTAAACCTTCACTCACTGTTTCTGAAATCAAATAAAAATCGCCTTATTTCTCAGTCCTAATTAAAGTAAACCCTAGGTTTTTGTACTCTAACACTATTAAATCCTCATTTCCAAAGGGACGGTATCTGTGATGAATGAATGAATGAATGAATGAATGGCCAGCCTGCAGTAGTAGGTTTCACCTCTGACCAGCCCTCCGTGGACCCCCGCAGCCTGCAGCCGCTGTGGCTGCTCTCGTGGACCAAAGGCCTCTGGGAGAGAGCCGGTGGGCTTGCCCGTCCAGGTCCTTCCGGTCCTCCCGGGTCCTCTTCCTCCTCACCCGCCACTCGCTCTGCTCAGCGCTGCTGGCCTTGTGCTCCCGCTCCATGTCCTCAGCAGCCGGGGCCGTCAGCAGCACGAGACCCGGCTGATGGGTCTCTTCCTCCTAAGAAGCAGCTTCCCCACCGGCCTGTCTGCTCTCCCCTGCGCGCAGGTTCGCGACGACGTGTACCACAGCATTCTGGCCAACGACCTCCCCAACCTGCTGGAGTACGGCAACATCAGCGCGCTGACCAACCTGTGGTACACGGGCCAGATCACCAACTTCGAGTACCTGACCCACCTGAACAAGCACGCCGGCCGGTCCTTCAACGACCTCATGCAGTACCCCGTGTTCCCCTTCGTCCTGGCCGACTACGGCAGCGAGACCCTCGACCTCGGGGACCCTGCCGTCTACAGGTAACCGGAGCGCCCCCTCTCTGCTCCCTCCATTAAAGCTTTAATCCGTTAAAGCTTCTGTCGTAACAGTGTTCCGTGGATCGCTTACGCACCCGAGGGTGCAGCCCTCTCGGCGGCTCGATCCTGGCAGCCTCAGGGTGCCGTCCCGTCCCACCCTCTCTCCTTCTAGAAACCTCTCCAAGCCCATCGCCGTGCAGTACAAGGAAAAGGAGGACCGCTACGTGGACACGTACAAGGTGGGTTCCGCGTTCCCGCGTTTCTGATGAACGAAAACCGGAGCTTTGTGTTTTTTGAAGGGTCGTGTTTAGGAATTTTAAACGCATAGTATTGACTCTTCTGGCTTTCGCGTGTTTGTACTTTGACAGACAGCTGGAAATCATTATATGATTTTATTTTTTTTTTTTTTTTATTTTTTAAAAATATATTTTATTGATTTTTTTTTTACAGAGTGGAAGGGAGAGGGATAGAGAGTTAGAAACATCGATGAGAGAGAATCATCCATCAGCTGCCTCTTGCACACCCTCCACTGGGGATGTGCCCGCAACCAAGGTCCATGCCCTTGAGGGAATCGAACCCAGGACCTTTCAGTCCGCAGACCGACGCTCTATCCACTGAGCCACACCGGTTTCAGCTCATTATGTGATTTTAAATATTAGTCTGTCTCAGTGCTCTGAACACATTTTCCCCAGGAAAAAGAAGTCCACTTATTAGAGTGGCATAGATTGGAAGCTAGTAATCCATTGTTATCCTGAAATATATAAATAACTGTATTCCTCATAAAAATCACAAACATTTCCAGGGACACTATCCCCTGGGCTTATTTCTAGAACAATATCATTGTATTTAGGGTGCCCCATAATCTCTCATTGTTCATAGTCAGCCGATTATGCATTGTTTTATTAACAGAAATGAGCAGGTTTTATTTAATTTTATCTTTTTTTGTTAACCCTCGTCCGAGAATATTTTCTCCATTGATTTTTAGAGAGAGTGGGAGGGAGGGAGGAAGGAAGGGAGGAAGGGGGAGAGGGTGCAGCCTGGGAGGTGCCTCCAGGTGGTCAGGCAGCAGCCGGGCACCCCGGGGGACGCCCCAGGCACTCAGGTGGCTGAGGTCGGAACATGGGGGGAGGGCGGGCGGCGTGGAGAGCACGCCCGGGGCGGGCAGTGGGGGGCTGTGACACCACGCGGGGGGCTCGGTGGCCATCGTGTCCGGTCCCCTGTGTCCTCAGTACCTGGAGGAGGAGTTCCGCAAAGGGGCCCGCGAGGACGACCCGCTGCCACCCGTGCAGCCCTACCACTACGGCTCCCACTACTCCAACAGCGGCACCGTGCTGCACTTCCTGGTCCGCATGCCGCCCTTCACCCGCATGTTCCTGGCCTACCAAGGTGAGCCTGGCCGCCAGAGGGCACGGGGCCGCCTCCTGGGCTTCTCCAGGCCAGTCAGACCACAGGAGAGGCGTTCTGAGGGAGAAGCTGGCACATCCCGGTAAAAGTGCCTTGCTTGATGCCGGGACTAGTCCCTGACCGTTTCCACATGAAACGTGCTCACTTTCAGCAAGTTCAGAGGCGGTTTAGAGGGACCGTAGGGCCCCTGAGGAGCGTCCAGGGCTGCCCTCAGCCTGGGGTGCAGCTCAGCGCTGGAGTGAGAAGTCTGCGCCAGGAAAACTTAGCGAGGAGGGAGTTAGAGCATCTAAAAAGTAGGAAGAAAAAGGAGTCCTAACAGTTAGAGGTAAAGGAGTAATTTTGCTTCCTAATGGGGAAAAGGGCATTTCATCCACTTGAACTTTTAATTTCACTTCCTTATTATTCACTCGTTCCATAAAACAAACGGTTACTGAGTACCGGGTACGTGCTAGGTATTGGTCATACCCCAGGGTCCTTGCTCTTATGGAACGTCCGTTCTACTTGGGTAGATAGTCATCAATTAAACAAATGCTAGAAATTCATCTAGTTTTCTATATTAGGAAAACGACACAGATTTTAAATCATACAATACGGTCTCAAATTATGTATAGAAATATTTCTTTTCAAGAGTAAATGAATAACTCTTAAATGATAGGTAAGCAAATGAACATCATTTTACTAGCTATCTTTTTGAAGTAGTGAAATAAATGATGGCAGGCTTCAAATGGAGTCGGTCTCTCGTCTTACTTCTTACTTCTGTTTCTTTACAGACCAAAGCTTTGACATCCCAGACAGAACCTTCCACTCCATGCACACGACCTGGCGTCTCTCCTCCTTTGAGTCCATGACTGACGTGAAAGAGCTCATCCCCGAGTTTTTTTACCTCCCGGAGTTCCTAGTCAACCGAGAAGGTAGTTTCTAGTTTATGTTTTTGGGGTTGTTTTTTTTTTTCAAATATATTTTATTGATTTTTTACAGAGAGAAAGGGAGAGAGATAGAAAGCTAGAAAAGTCGATGAGAGAGTAACATCGACCAGCTGCCTCTTGCAAACCCCCTACTGGGGATGTGCCCGCAACCAAGGTACATGCCCTGGACCGGGAATTGAACCCGGGATCTTTCAGTCCGCAGACCGACGCTCTATCCACTGAGCCAAACCGGTTTCGGCTCTAGTTTATGTTTTTGAGTATTTGTACTTATCCTATAATTTTCCAGAAATAAAAATAGCTGTTTTAAGTCCCCTAAAATTTGAGTCCATAAATAAGAGAAATACCTTTATTAAGTACATAATTTTATTCCCACGTCAGCTTGAGGATTTTAAGCATTTTATAGGACCACATATATCTGGAAAACAGTGACTTTGAACTATTAAAATTTTTTTTGTAAACATGTATTTTAATTTTGTTACGGAAATTATTTTTTTTCGGATTACCAAGGTAATTTCAGATTACAAGGTAATTTTAAAAACTGAATCACACATTTATTGAGAACACAATGTTAATTAGCCAGAATCTCAGTAATTTTTATGAGGAATGATAGTGTATAAGTAAAAGACTCTAACCAGAAACATATATATATATACACACACACACACACACACACACATATATATTTATATATTTATATATATGTGTGTGTATGTTATATATTTATATATATGTGTGTGTATGTGTGTGTGTGTGTATATATATATATATATATGTGTGTGTGTGTATATATAAAGTTAATATACAAAGTGTCCCCTAGGGAGTTCGACCAAGAGACCCAGAGTTCACTTGCTATGACGTGCGCTGACCACCAGGTGGCGGCGCGGAACAAAGGAAGGCCCCAGCCGGCAGCCCGAAGGGCCCCGTTTGGCCCTGATCACCAGCCAGGCCTAGGGACTCTACCCGTGCACGAATTCCCTGCTCCGCTAAGATGAGCCTCGTTTGCAGGTTTCGATTTCGGGGTGCGTCAGAACGGCGAGCGGGTGAACCACGTCAACCTGCCGCCCTGGGCGCGGAACGACCCACGCCTCTTCATCCTCATCCACCGCCAGGCGCTGGAGTCGGACCACGTGTCCCAGAACATCTGCCAGTGGGTGGACCTGGTGTTCGGGTACAAGCAGAAGGGGAAGGCGTCCGTCCACGCCATCAACGTGTTCCATCCCGCGGTGAGCGGTGGGGAGGAACCCGCACCTCCGTAGAGGAAGGCAGAGCCGAGCGCGCGGGGCTCAGCTGCTTTCCGTCCGGCGCCTAAGTTTATCAGACTTGGCAGAGACACTGAACCGTTAGAACCCAAGTAACCCTCTCGAACCTAACACTATCGCCTGTTAATGTCATTTCTGCGCTTCCCCACATCTCCCTTTTAACAAACGACTTTCTCGATAATCTAGCATTAGACGTCAAGTCTCTGGTCTTAAAGTGAAAATCGATTTTATAAGCATACCTGATCAGCATCCATCACTCAGGATGCAGCATTCCCGCCCACCCCTTCACAAACATCCGTTTCTAACCTCAGCGAGGCCAGCAATGATCGTGAACCCGATCAAAAGCGTCTCAGAGTCGTTTCCGTGGGAACAGGAGAGGGGCAGGCCCCGCGTGGCGAGCAGAGCTCGTGTTCGCGGCCCGCGGTGCTCCTGCCGCCCCGGCTCCACACAGACCCGCCCCCCTTCTCCCCCCGCAACCTTTCAGACGTATTTCGGGATGGACGTGTCTGCAGTGGAAGATCCGGTTCAGAGGCGAGCGCTGGAAACCATGATCAAGACGTATGGCCAGACGCCCCGCCAGCTCTTCCAGTCGGCCCACGTGAGCCGGCCGGGCCCCAAGCTCAGCCTCGAGGGAGAGCTGCCCGCGGCCGTGGGGCTGCTCGTGCAGCTGGCCTTCAGGGAGCCCCGGGAGCCGGCCAGAGAAGCCCCGCAGCCGGTAGGCCGTGTGTGAGGACAGTTACACGGAGCAGGGACCGCCTGTGCTCGGGCCTTCCCGCGCTGCGATGAGAACAAGCTGCCTCTTAGAGTAGGAAGTCGGCGCAATTTTTACTTTGAAATAGAAAATCAAAGCAAGAAAACTTAAAATAAGTCCTAATCGTCCCCAGGGGGTCCCCAGGGGGTGCCGAGGGGAATCCCAGAGGGTGAGGAGGGAGAGGTCGGGGGACCTCGGGGCTGGGAGCTGAGTTGCTCTCTCTCACTCGGTTTAGCATGTGGATTGGGAGTCCTCTCTGTATTTACCGCCTCTTTTGAAACCATGCTTTTTCTCCTCCGGCTCAGAGCCCTCTGTCGTGGGTAAAAGGCCTGAAGTGGGGCGAGTACGTGGGCTCCCCGAGCGCCCCGGTGCCCGTGGTCTGCTTTAGCCAGCCCCACGGGGAGGCGCTGGGCTCCCTGCAGGCGCTGCCCACCAGGGCCATCTGCGGCCTGTCCCGCAACTTCTGCCTCCTGATGACCTACAGCAAGGAGCAAGGTGAGGGTCTCCCTGCGGTGTGAGTGTTCCCAGGCCTCCGAGCTGCTGCTGTTCCGTCTCTCAGTTCTCTCAGTCCTGGGTGCACACCGATCCGATCGGGGGTGACTTAGTCCGAAGCAGGAGCTGAACCATACAACTCCATGGAACAAATGGGGGGTGGCTGCAGCGCCATCGGGAACGAGGGGGGAGTTTGAAGGCACAAGAATAAGCGGCTCAGCTCATAGATGGACACTTTATCGATCGATAATTTGATGAAAATATCCCCTTTGAGGCTCTTGAATCCCAGAATAGACACTTAGTGACCATCAAGTCTGAAGGTAAACAAACAGCAAAGCAAGGAGCCATCAGAGCCTTGAAAACGGGTTTAAAACCACCTGTGGCTACAAAGCCGTCCTCGCACCCTCAGGCGCCCACTCCCTCAGCCATGTGCTGGAGGGTGCTGGCAGGAGGCCCCTGCCTGTGCCCAAGTGTCCCCGAGGCACGGACAGCGCCATCACTGTCCTTTATAAAAACCCCGGGACCCAGCCGAGAAGGAACCGCGTAGCTTGAAGGAAGAGGATGAGCATAAACACGCTCCCCGGGCACGTGAGATTGCCCTTGCACAGGCGCTGTGTTTGTGTGAGCTCCAGCCGTGCCCTGTGCGTCGGGGCTGCGGGCACAGACCTGACCCTCCCCCTCCCCCTCCCCCTCCCCCTCCCCCTCCCCCTAGGCGTACGGAGCATGAACAGCACGGACATCCAGTGGTCGGCCATTCTGAGCTGGGGCTACGCCGACAACATCCTGAGGCTGAAGAGCAAGCAGAGCGAGCCTCCCGTCAACTTCATCCAGAGCTCCCCGCAGCACCAGGTGAGCGGCCGCGGTGCTCCGTGATAAAGATGGAACATGCTCCCAGGCCCGGCCATGGCGGTCAGCGACGTGTCCCGGCCAGAAGCTGGTGCCGCTGGGCGCCTGCTGGTCTCGGGGCTCCCATGGAGACGCGGGTCAACCCAGCTGTCGCCAGGGGCCCGGCGTGAGAACAGAATCAGCATGGCTTTCCCCTCCTAGCGCCCGCCTGCTTTGTTAGACATTTTTTTTTTTTTTTTTTTTTTTTTTTTTTTTTTTTTTTTAAATATATTTTATTGATTTTTTATTGAGAGGAAGGGAGAGAGATACAGAGTTAGATACATCGATGAGAGAGAGTCATCGATCAGCTGCCTCTTGCACACCCCCTACTGGGAATATGCCCGCAACCAAGGTACATGCCCTTGACCGGAATCGAACCCGGGACCCTTCAGTCCTCAAGCCGACGCTCTATCCATTGAGCCAAACCGGTCCCGGCTTTGTTAGACATTTTAATGAGCACGTAAGCACTGCAGAACCATTTCTGACATGCAAGCTTTGGCACACAGACGTCATTACCAATGCAGGAATACTCTCCTGAGGCCTGTCAGCAGAATGGGAGGCTCCAGACTCCCAGCTCGCGCTGTGTGATGAAGCACTCCAGCCAGTAACCAACTGGATGAGAGTGCTGTTTCCTTTCCGTCCTTAGAAACTGCTCACCCCTTAGCTCGTGAGAAAGTTCATTATTAGGATGTTACGTGAAGACTCACACACTGACCGTCTTCATCATCACCATCATCATCAGAGATGAGAATCCTGCTGTCCCTCTGTCTTCGTTTTCTGATTAATTAGGAACAAATGGCCTTGTGTGTGTGCGTGTGTGTCTGTGTGTGAGAGAGAGAGAGAGTGTGTGTGAGCGCGTAAGTGGATGTACACAGAAAAATGTAGATGCATAAACATTTTAATTTGGAAGCAGCTTTAGGCACCTGATTCAAATCGCAGAATACTCTCTCTTTATATCTCTGCACCACGCTAACCATGGCAAGTAAAATGTTTCCCCCAAGTTTTGTGATCTTATATTTTGAAAACAGTCGTCAGAAAGTAGCAGCATTTCCGATGCTTTTTTAAACGCGCTCATCTGCGATGTGTCCCTCCCCCAGGTGACCAGCTGCGCGTGGGTGTCCGACAGCTGCCAGCTGTTCACCGGGAGCCGCTGTGGCGTCATCACCGCCTACGCCAACAGGATGACGGGCGGCCCGGTGGGTCCGGGCAGCGCGGCGCGTCCGGCGGGCGTGTCTACTCTTGAGCGAAATGCTGGGACCCCCTTTGTCATTGCTTTTACCTGACGTTTTCCCTTCGTGTTGACCGTCAGCCCTCAGAGATAGAGATGGAGTCGCAGGTGCACCTCTACGGGCACACTGAGGAGGTCACCAGCCTGTGTGTCTGCAAACCCTACAGCATCCTCATCAGCGTGAGCCGCGACGGCACCTGCGTCATCTGGGACCTGAACAGGTACCGCGGGGCCCGGGCCGCCCGGCCGGCGAGGGTGCCAGTTCTCCCCGAGGGACATCCTAGAACTTCAGGCTGAATATAATTATGTTTCCTGTGCACATGCACATCCCTGGCTCTGGTCTTCCAGGCTGTGCTACGTGCAGACTCTGGCAGGACACAAAAGCCCCGTCACAGCCGTCTCGGCCAGCGAAACGACGGGCGACATCGCCACCGTGTGCGACTCAGGTGAGCCAGCCCGGGGCACAGGGACGCTGGCGGGTGCCGTTCCCGGTCCCTCCAGTCGCGTGCCCTGTGGACAGCTTGTGTGTGTATTAACGTGCAACCAGGTCGCCGGCCGGGGCGGCTCCGTGGCAGAGTGTCATGGGCATGCACCTGGGCTGCGGGTCCATTCCCCGGTCCCCGTTGGGGGAAACGGGGGCCCCCTGCAGTACTCCCAGCAATAAAAATAAAAGGTCTGGCTTTCCACTCGGGTATTCTGGAGTAACCCTGTTCTTCAGATGCTCTCAGCTCTCCGATCGGTCCTCTTCGATTCCGCCGTGGCTGGTCCGGGGCTGAAGCCTGAGTCAGCATTAACTTGCCTGCTGGGTGTTTGGGTGTTTGGGTGAACACGCAGAGCCCTGTGTGACTTGCAGGCAGGGCTCGCACCTGTCCGCCGGCAGCCAGGAGCGTCCTGTCGGCGCCAGCGCCAGCTCGGCCCCGGGACAGCTGGGCGGTGCCGCCTCGGTGACCGGCGCTGGTTGTGGTTCCAGCTGGCGGGGGCAGTGACCTCAGGCTCTGGACGGTGAACGGGGACCTGGTGGGACACGTGCACTGCAGGGAGGTCATCTGCTCCGTGGCCTTCTCCAACCAGCCGGAGGGCGTGTCCATCAACGTGATCGCAGGCGGCCTGGAAAACGGGACCGTGAGGTGAGGCGAGGGCGGGGGGGCCGCTTTTCTCCCCGAGGGCCACGGCGGTTTCCAAAAGAAGCTTTTAACATCTAGGCATCTAGCGTTTAGCCATTAGAAACGCAGAACGCTGCAGTCCTTTGTGTTTTATTTCTAAAAGACACGTTAGTGCAGTGTTGAAGGTCTGTGTTGTGAACCGTCGAAGATGAACAGTAGACCCAGTGGGTGTCCTCCCTCCATCCCGACCCCTCACTTCCCAGCAGTCACTGCTGCTGCTGGCGGTGCGTCCCTCGGGGTGGCTTTTAACCAACAAGCAGGCGGGCGGGCTTTCCTGGCGAAGCCACGTGGCTGGCATGACCGTGCGCCTTCCCCTCAGGCTGTGGAGCACGTGGGACCTGAAGCCCGTGCGGGAGATCGCCTTCCCCAAGTCCAGCAAGCCCATCGTCAGGTGAGCCTCCCCGCCTCACCCTGGCTCTGAGTGACGCGCACGGACCTCCGGAGGTCTGTGTTGGGAGCTGGTAAACAGCCAGCGCTTACCAGCCCTGGGCTCCCAGCCCCGGCGGCCAAAGGAGGCCTGGTCCGCATCTTTGAGGAGACTAAGTCCGAGTCAGGACCCACGTCTAACTGAGCAGCCCGCTGGCGGGCCAGGAAAGGCCTTCCGGTTGAAGAGATGGTCATGTGACCGACGGCCCAGGGCGTGCCAGACTGGACCCCTCAGCGGCCCTCCTCCGACTTTTAAAGCCCGATCAGACACAGGAGTGCAGATTTGCCCTGTTACATACATTCATTTTCAGTACGCTGAATTGTAAGTTTAATGACCCTGAGCTGATCGCTTATTTTTATATTTAAGCGAAGTTAAATATCTCCATCCGTCACTTATTTCTATAAAGAGAAAAGGTAGAACTGTTGCATTTTTAAAAAAATATATTTTATTGATATTTTACAGAGAGGAGGAAGGGAGAGAGATAGAGAACTAGAAACGTCGATGAGAGAGAAACATCGACCAGCTGCCTCTTGCACATCCTCCACCAGGGATGTACCCGCAACCAATGTACATGCCCTTGACCGGAATCGAACCTGGGACCCTTCAGTCCGCAGACCGACGCTCTATCCACTGAGCCAAACCGGTTTCGGCAGAACTGTCACATTTTTAAAGTTCCCTGCGCCCAAGTGATGGTGCGGAAGTCAGAAAGGATAGACAGGAAGGAGCAGGAAGGCGGGGAAGGAAGGGACGGGGCCGACACTGCTCCCTGCCGCCCGCTGGAGAGCCCACCTGCCAGTCAGCCGGCCGCGTGGCCACGGCAGGCACGCAGAGCGCGTCACTTGTGTACCCAGATAGGGACCTGGTGTGATCCCCGTGCGGAGACACGCGTGCAGATGGCTCTCTCTCCCACAGCCTCACGTTCTCCTGCGACGGCCACCACCTGTACACGGCCAACAGCGAGGGCACCGTGATCGCCTGGTGCCGCCGGGACCAGCAGCGCCTGAAGCACCCCATGTTTTACTCCTTCCTGAGCAGCTACGCGGCCGGCTGAGGGCTCCAGGTTAGGGGGCTGAACCTGAAGAATCGACGAGCAAACACCTTCCAGATAATTCCGTAACCTTCATCCCCACAGGGGCTGGGCGGAGGGGGTGACGGCAGGGGGTGAAACCTCATGTGCACATGTGTACACGCCCACGCGTGTGGCAGCAGGACTGGGAGGCAGGACTGGGGCCTCCGTGAGGGAGTCACATCCGTCCAGTTTCTCCTGAAGAGATAACTCCCTCCCTGCCCCCCCCCCCCCCCAAAAAAAAAGCAAAAAAAAGCAAAGGAAAGGGTCGAGAAGTCGGGACCTGACGACACCCAGGCGTTCACGGCTGGCCGCCTGCCGGAAACGGGCCTCTCAGGACTCCATGTTAGATGGCAGCTGCTGCCATGTTTGTTGACAGCCACACACCAGGACGGGGCGCTCTGATGTCAGACCCGTCCCCTGTCTCCACAAAAACCCTGCTTAAAACCCGTAACACTAGCCGCCGCCGCTGCCCTTAGCCGAGCCGCTGAGATGGAAGCCGGGGAGACGTCAGGCCCACGTGCAGGAGGCTCCCCCAGCGAGGCGACAGCTCGCTTTGTCTTAAAAAGGCCGCTGACCCTGCGGGACAGCCTCCACTCCGCTTCTGCTCCCTGCGCCTGAGGATTCCAGCGGCAGCGGACACGCCTCACTGCGCCCAGCACGCTGCCCGCGTCGGACCGGACCCCGAAGCTCCTGGAACGGCCTCCCCCCTGGCTGAGGCCTGTGTCCACCGTGAGCTGCTGCCTCGGCTGCGAAGACACTAAGAGCTGAGTGACACGTGACCACACGATACACACGTGTTCCCGCCTGAGAATACCGGCGCGTTTGTATGAAAGGTTGACTCCTACGGTGTTTACAGAACTACTTTTATAACTTCCAGACCTTCTAAAACATCCTGCGTGAAAACCCCACGGAACACGATTCCTGAGGCTCTGCGTGGGGGGATGCGAGAGGCCCCAGGGGCCGTGGCCGTGGCCGTGGCCGTGGCCGTGGCCCGGAGCCTGGACTAGAGCCGCACCCGTTGCCTCGCACAGACCTGGGGCTCCGAGGCCCCAGAGAGGGGACCTTCCTCCTGATCACGTGGCAGTGGCCTTCCTCCTGATCACGTGGCAGTGGCCTGCTTGTTTTAAAAAACTGCAGCTGCTGTCCGCTTTCACCTTTCTGCTGAGAGCGGTGACTGAGTCCCATTGGCAGAGGCTGCTCCTCGGTCCTTTATTTTTAAGGCTGAATTCCGTCATTTATCTAAAGAAATATGCAAGTGACTGATCTTGTAAAGAGTGCAATGTTCTATTTTTATGTAAAAAATAAACATGAATCGGGGGATTATTTATTCAGCATGAAACCTCATGTGCACATGTGTACACGCCCACGCGTGTGGCAGCAGACACCTCTGTCATGACGGCCCTTCCCCTGTGCCCACTGCGCTCAGCAGGAGGAAATCTCAGAAAACAGACGTGAAGGCGGCCCTCACCCCCAGCGCCAAGGGGACAGGACCCCCCTGCACCGAACCTCCCTCCCCGGGCCTGGGGGGCGCGCTGCCAGGGGGTCAGGGCGTCGGCAGGCGGGCGGGGAGCCTATGGGGAGACGGGGAGGGGGGTGAAGGGGAGAAAGGGACCTGGGCAGGGCTGGGGGTGGGGGCTGAGGGGCGGGAACCCGGGAGGGAGCCCCCTGTGACGCCCCGATGACGTGGGCGTGGGCGGGATTGCCTGCGAAGGAAGACGGGCTGGGCGGCTGCAGACCCAGGCTCCCGCCCCGCGCCCACGGGGGGCGATGCTGTGAGGCCGGGCTCCCCGCGCGGGAGACAAAGCCTGTACATGAGCCGCGGCGGGGCTGTGCGGACAGGCGGGCGGGGACGTCCCGGCTCCGGTGCCCGTGGAGCTGCGGCAGGAAGAGCTGGTCCCAACCCGAGGCAGGCACAGGAGCGCAGGCAGGAGCGCGGCTGCTCGCACCCGGGACCCTCCACCCAGCGCAGGTGCGTACAGACCGTGCGGGAGGCTGCGGGGACCCGTGTGCTTGTGGGTCCCGTTTGGGGTTTGGGGGCACTGCTCTCCTGGGGGTCGCCCTGGTCCCGGTGCACAGGACCGTCCTGGACCCGGGGGCTGGCCCGTTGGCCACGTTATTGGGGGGTGGAGAGTGGGGGGAGATGCGTTGGGGAGCACCAGCCCCAGTTCTGTTGCTCCCCAGCCCCTGGGACACCTGCCTCCCAGCAGTCCCGCCTGCTCCCCTCCCTGTGGCTCTGTCCCCGCTGCGGGTGCTGAAATGCGGGCGCTCGCCTGAGGGCTTCGGGGAGTGCAGGTCCGGTTTGTCTTAGAAATAATAATGGGGAGGGGGGCGAGGAGGGCTGGGGTGCAGCTGGAGAAGGGTCTTCATTGAGGAGGATTTGCTTGTCGTGTGCATCGTGGACTAAGGCAAGGGTCAGCAAATTCCTTAGTCCACAGATGTCAACAGGACCACGATGGAAATTTCTGTGGAGAGCCCAATTTTTTAAACGTAAACTTCTTCTAACGCCACTTCTTCAGGATAGACTCGCCCAGGCCGTGGTATTGTGTGGAAGAGCCACACTCAGGGGGCCAAAGAGCCACGTGTGGCTCTTGAGCTGCAGTTTGCCGACCACAGCCCTAGCCGGTTTGGCTCAGCAGACAGAGCATTGGCCTGTGGACTAAAGGGTTCCGGGTTCGATTCTGGTCAGGGGCACGTACCTTGGTTGCAGGCTTCTCCCTGGCTTGAGCCCTCGTTGGTGCGTGTGCAGGAGGCAGCTAATTGATGTGTTTCTCTGACACCCATGTTTCTCTCTGTCTTCTCTTCCACTCTCCCTAAAAAGAGAAATCAATGGAACAATATCCTTGGGTGAGGATTAACAAGAAAACAAACAAAAAACACACACATATTTTTATTGATTTCAGAGAGAAAGGGAGAGGAAGAGAGAGAAACATCCGTGATGAGAGAGAATCATTGATCGTCTGCCTCCTGCATCCCCCACCCTGGTTTTCCAGCCTGCAACCCGGGCCTGTGCCCTGACCGGGATCGAACCGTGACCTCCTGGTTCATGGGTTGATGCTCAACCACTGAGCCGCCAGCCAGGGTCCTGGTGGGTCCTTAGGAGTGATTGTGGGTAATGCTGCCTGACACACACACACACACACACACACACACAATCACACACACACTCACACACACACACACACACACACACAATCACACACACACAATCACACACACACTCACACACACACACATAATCACACACACAATCACACACACACACAATCACACACAATCACACACACACACACACACACACACACACACACACACACACTACTCCTTATAAGGAAGGTGGCCAAATGGCTGAGAAAAGATTGACGTGCAAAAGACACATCATCTCACTTATTTATAGCCACGTCTCACTACCACCTTTTTCCTTTTTTTATTCCTTGTCTCCTTGTTGTACCTGAGAAGGGGAGGGGCCTACAAGGCAGGCATGTTCTCGTCGCGGTACCTGGAAGCAGCGTCTTTTAGAAATCCCCCTGACGTGTCCTCACGCACCTTCCTGAGCGTGGGCCCGTCTGATCCCGTGGCGTTCCCTTTTCTCCCGGCATTTCCTTCACTCCGGACACACTCAGGCGGGAAGACACTCGCCACTCAGGGAGAGAGATTGTTTGGTTGCTGTCTGTGAACCAGAAACGGAAAGTTAGCTTTTAAAAAAAAAAAAAATTTAATATTTTATTGATTTTTTTACAGCGAGGAAGGGAGAGGGATAAAGAGCTAGAAACATCGATGAGAGAGAAACATCCATCAGCTGCCTCCTGCACGCCCCCCCTATTGGGAATGTGCCCACAACCAAGGTACATGTCCTTGGCCGGAATCGAACCTGGGCCCCTTCAGTCCACAGGCTGACCTCTATCCACTGAGCTAAACAGGGTAGGATGGAAACTTACCTTCTTTAATGCACCAAAAACACAACAAAATGTCCTTTCCACAGCAGCCAGTGGCAGGTGGTGGAGGGCCTGAGCTGAGGAGGCTCCACCTTGCCCTTGCCCTTGGGAAGCAGTGCCTGTGCCCTCTGCCCTCTCTCTCGGCCGCTCCAGGCCTCCAGGGCTGGGCAGGAAGGAGGGCATGTCCAGCAGCAGCACCACCAGCATCTCGCAGGCCCGCGAGGCCGTGGAGCAGCTCAAGATGGAAGCCTGCATGGACCGGGTGAAGGTGAGCAATGCCCGCTTCCCGCCCACTCCCCCTGCCCTCGGCCCACACCCGCCAGCAAGTTGCTTCAGCATTGCCACCGTGCCCTCCACAGTCAGGGGTCAGGGTCAGGTGACACCTGGGTGAGGAGTCTCCAGGTGTGTACGCTGGGCCCTCCGGGCTCTATTTAGCTCCATTGTCGTGCCAATAAGCAAGAAAGAGCTCAGCATGGAGCCCTCGCTGGTTAGGCACCTGCCCTGGTTGCAGCTGCATCCTCAGTGTGGGCCTGGTTAGAGCAAGCATGTCAAACTCGTGGCGGGCGGAGAGAGAGAAACATCAACGATGAGAAAGAATCATGCATCGGCTGCCTCCTGCATGCCCCTCCAGTGGGGATGGAGCCCGCAACCTGGGCCTGTGCCCTGACCGGGAATCGAACCCTGACCTCCTTGTTCATCCGTCGATGCTCAACCACTGAGCCACCCTGGCTGAGCAGAGCGAACACCGAGTTTGACCTTGTCCAAGACCCCATCACCGAGGGGGCTGCCGCTTGGCTGTGCTCCCCGCTCTAATCCTGCTTTGTTTTCGTGGGGGTGGAGGGCGGAGCCGGCAGAGACGTCAGAGAGGCTTGTAATGGATCCCGAGACCTATTGTGAGAGGCCGGGGTTGCTGGGAAATGGGTGTGAGGATGCGGAGAACAGATGCAGGCTGTCACCGCGGCATAGTAATTATGTCATCCCCTTGTCCTGGATGTGACTAGCAATTGCAACCTCTTCTCCCATCACCGAAACTTGTAATTACAGTGCAACCACGGGGACTGTGTGCTGACTTGGTGTGTCTGGATCACCTCTTTCCCTCGGAAATGCAACGGTAAAATCCCACAGCTGCGTCCAGGCTGCCGGTTCGTTTCTTTTAAACTGGGCACCTGGGCCCTAGCCGGTGTGGCTCAGCAGATAGAGCGTCAGCCTGGGGACTGAAGGGTCTCAGGTTCGATTCCAGGTCAAGGGCACATGCCCTGGTTAGAGGCTTGATCCCCAGAGGGGGCCGTGCAGGAGGCAGCCGATCCATGATTCTCTCTGATCATGGATGTTTCTATCTCTCCTTCCTCCTCCCTTCCTCTCTGACATCAACCAATCTATCAATCAACCAATCAACCAACTGGGCACTTGTGACCTCCTCAGGAATTGGTTCCTGGTACCCAGGACTCCACGCTCACGGAGAGGAGTGTGGCTAAGCAAATGCACCTGTGATCCTACAAGAACAGGAGTACAGGGGTTTTCGTGGGAGAGAAACTGGCATCCAGGGCAGTCCCACCTGTGGGGCGACAGAAACCTCCCTGGATTGGACTGGTCAGACCAGCAGGGCCAGGCACTGGGAGTAAGGTGTTAGGGTGATGCAGACACGGGGCTGCGAGGGACGCAGACACACGGATGTGAGACGGGAACGTGGTCCCAAGCCACCCTCCCCTCGCTGTCCCAGTTTTTGAGCCCCCGCCTGCAGTGCTTCTGCCCTGGCGCAGTGCCCCCAGGAAATTAAAGGAGTCACATCCACCTGCATAGATACAGGCATCTGCACTAGTCACCTGACCCAGGGCAAGGAAGAACAATTATATATATATATATATATATTATTGATTTTATACAGAGACGAAGGGAGAGAGAGAGTTAGAAACATCAATGAGAGAGAGTCATCGATCAGCTGCCTCTTGCACCCCCCCCCCACTGGGGATATGCCCATAACCAAGGTACATGCCCTTGACTGGAATCGAACCCGGGACCCTTCAGTCCCCAAGCCGACGCTCTATCCATTGAGCCAAACCAGTCCCGGCAAGGAAGAACAATTATAACGTAGCAAGTCAGCTTCAGGCCAGCGGAGGGTGCTGGTGAGCCATAAACAGAGGCACCCAAACATTTTGTTCTTCACACTAGAATATTTTTCAAGCGTTTACTAGGTGTTCCGTTAATAATGCGGACTGAAGGGTCCCGGGTTCGATTCCGGTCAAGGGCATGTGCCTTGGTTGTGGGCACATCCCCAGTAGGTGTGCAGGAGGCAGCTGATGGTTACTCTTTCATCAATGTTTCTCACTCTCTCTCTTTCCCTTCCTCTCTGTAAAAAAATCAATAAAATATATTTTTTTAAAAACATAGAAGTGGCCGAAGCCGGTTTGGCTCAGTGGTAGAGTGTCGGTCTGCGGACTGAAAGGTCCCGGGTTCGATTCCGGTCAGGAGCATGTACCTTGGTTGCCGGCACATCCCTGGTAGGAGGTGTGCAGGAGACAGCTGGTCGATGTTTCTCTCTCATTGACGTTTCTAGCTCTCTATCTCTTTCCCTTTCTCTCTCTGTTAAAAATCAATAAAATATATTTTTAAAAAAACACAGAGAAGTGGTAAATTGGGTCTCTGGGTGGTTTGCCTCAAAACAAGAAAAATTCTATTGGGACAGTACCCACAAATTATCTGAAAGATGGGGGGAATGTATAGCTAGTGATGGACATCAACTTTGAATAAAGCACTTTTGATGTTTCTCTTGAAATTATCCTGTTTTCTTTGATTACAAAATCCGCATTATTAACCAGTTAACCCTTAATTTGTATTCTTAACCGGCTAATAATTAATCCGCATTTTTAACCTGTTAGTAGTTAATCTACATTATTAACCTGGTTAATGCTCAATCCATATTATTTTTTATTTTAAAAAATATATATTTTATTGATTTTGTACAGAGAGGAAGGGAGAGAGATAGAGAGCCAGAAACATCGATGAGAGAGAAACATCCATCAGCTGCCTCCTGCACACCCCCTACTGGGGATATGCCCACAACCAAGGTACATGCCCTTGACCGGAATCGAACCCGGGTCCCTTCAGTCCCCAGGCCGACGCTCTATCCACTGAGCCACACTGGTTTCGGCTCAATGCATATTATTAACTGGTTAACGGTATTAACCGGTTAACGGTCACCTGCATTTTTAACCGCAATGCCTCCCGTTCCGCCAGGCGGTGGGTCTGGAGCAGCATCTGTCTCCTCAGAGGCAGGTGTCCAACCGTCTCCTCGGCTTTGCACCCAGCCTCCCCCCAGCCCCTCACCCCGGGCCCGTGCTGTGTCCCCGCAGGTGTCCCAGGCTGCCGCGGACCTGCTGGCCTACTGCGAGGCCCACGTCCGGGAAGACCGGCTCATCGTCCCCCTGCCGGCGTCGGAGAACCCGTTCCGGGAGAAGAAGTTTTTCTGCACCATCCTCTGACGCCCTCGGCGATGCAGCACCGCCTCCTCTGCCCCCCCCATCCCCCGGGGAACACGCATGCATGTAGCTTTGGGGACCCCCCTCTCCGCACCCTGCCTGTCCCTGCTCAGCCACCCTCAGGGGGGCCGGCCTCCTCTGACCCTTGGGTTTCTTGTATTTAACGATGGCACTTTCTCTTTTCATTTCCACGAAATACGTTTTTGTTTGTTTCAGAGAGGAAGGCATGGGGTGGGCAGCTGTCATTGTGTCCCCAGGTTGGCTGTCCGGCATCTGACCCTCCCCCCCTTCACCCCCTGCAAATCAGTTCAGTGGGACGCAGTGTCCCCACCCCGCCTGGTTGCTCAGAAGGGGAGGTCTTTCCTCTCCGGTGCACCCCTTCCTAGCACCCAGGGGCCAGTTTGTGGGAATTCTTCCAGCTGTTCCTGTTACACGCCAATATCAATAAAAAGCTGGTTCGGCGGCCAGCCGTCAAGGAGGCTACCGTTACTTTTTTTGTCTTTGCGGCACTTTGCTAAGCCTCCACTCCCGGGCATTGGAGGGTGTATCTGACACATCTTGAAACGGGAGGTGCTGACCATCCAAGGCCAGGCAGACAGTTCCCTGGGCAGGGGTGAGGGTGGGGCTGAGCCTAGGGATTGGGAGGGAGAAGGGGGAGAATGCCAGGCTGTGGAATTCATGTCTTTTGGGGAAAACAGTGGGGAATCCCACGAGTCAGAACCCGATATCCCATCCGGTTCTTATTGGGGTTCCCCACTTGGAGCAGCATCTCTGTAACGGAGGCAGGTGGCATCCTCCCGCCTCCTCCTGCCCTGGACCCTCAGGAATGGATGGGGGGGGGGGGTGGCTGCCACAAACCCCAACAGCACCTCCGGGTGAGGAGCCCCACCCAGGGCTCCAGCTGGCTGGGCGATGACGTGTCTTCAGGAAGCAGCCGGGTTCCCGGCCGCCCAGCCTGCAGACACCCCTTATTTGACGCTGTGCCCCGCCGGAGTCCTCGGGCTGACATTATGGAGTGGCAAAGAAGGTGTTAAAAAAAAAAAAAAGACGCGCATGCTCAGTGGAGGGCCTCGAGCGTCGCCTCCTCCGCGCGCTGCGAGTGACGCAAGCGAGAGCATGGGATTCTGGGAAATGTTGTTTCTGGGCCTCCGGACCCCTGGTGCGCCGCCCCTCCTGGGCCGGAAGCAGGACTTCAACTCCCGGCAGGCCGGCGGGGCGTGCGAGATAAGGGGCGGGGCCAGGGAGAGTGGAGAAGGCGGGGCCGGTGAGAGGGGCGTGGGGATGCCCGGCGAGGGGCGGGGCTCCGGCCGGGGAAGCTGAGCATCCGGGGAGCGCGACGACCGGAAACCGCAAGGCACCTGGCGGGCGGCGGGGGCCACCTGGGGCCGTCGCACCGGCATCGACCACCGCCCCCTCGGCAGGTCCCCTGCCCTCCGCCGCCGGGACGCGGGAGGGGGGCGTGAGGAGGGGCCGGCGGGGGCGGCCAATGCGAAACTGGCTGGTGCTGCTGGGCCCGTGCGTGCTCGGGGCGGCGCTGCACCTCTGGCTGCGGCTGCGCTCCCCGCCGCCCGCGGGCGCCTCCGCCGCGGCCCCCGCAGGTGAGGGCCGGGCCGCCGGGGTGGGGCGGACGCGGGGCGGGGGTCCGGGTTCGGGGGGAGGGGGGGGACGGGCCGCACCGGGGGCCTTTCCATCCGCGGGCGGGAAAGTAGGGGAACTTGGGGGCGATCTTGTCTGCGCTCGTGGGGCCGCTGTCACCGCCGAACCCCTGACCCCCGACCCCCGACCCCCCCCCCCCCGATTCCGACCCCGAGCCCTGCGGCCGCCCCAGGCCTGCCCGGCGCGGGGCCTCGCGCGCCCTTAGCCGCCAGCGGGTCCCTGCCTCCCGCCCCCCGAGGTGTGGGGTCTGGTTGGGTGCAGACTGGGCGCTGGGTGCCGCGGGCAGGTCCGCGCGGGGGGCTTTGCTGCGAGGAATAACGGACCGTCGTCTCCGGTCTTTGCAAACTTTGCGATCGCAGGCGGAGTCGGGGGTAAACTAATGTGGACGCGAGCGCCAGGCGGGCCACCGCCGAGCGGCCCCCGGGGGTGCGAGTGGCGGACTTCTCGCTAATGCAATGCACGTGGGATACCGCCGCCTGCCCCATCCCGGTCTCATCCCGGCCTCAAACCGGCCTCCTCCGGCCTCCTGAGCGGGGAACCGGCTCCAGCCTCATCCGCACAGTGCTTTGCCCCCGGCAGGTGCCCATTGGTGTGTGTGTGTGTGTGTGTGTGTGTGTGTGTGTGTAGGGGTCCCTACTTTTCCTTCTTTTCTTAAGGGCTCCCCCTAGGACCTTTAAAAACCCCTCGACGGCTTTTTTAAAGATGAGGTAATCGTCCTGCTATTTTGTTTGCTTGTTTTTTTTTTGTTTTATTTTTTAAAATATAACATTGATTTTTTAAAAACATATTTTATTGATTTTTTTACAGAGAGGAAGAGAGAGGGACAGAGAGTTAGAAACATCGATGAGAAAGAATCATCGACCAGCTGCCTCTTGCACACCCCCTACTGGGGATGTGCCCGCCACCAAGGTACATGCCCTTGACCGGAATCGAACCTGGGACCTTTCCGCAGGCCGTCGCTCTATTCATTGAGCCAAACTGGTTTCGGTTAATTTATTGACTTTTTAAAAATATATTGTATTGATTTTTTTTTTTTTTTTTTTACAGAGAGGGATAGAGCATTAGGAACATCGATGAGAGAGAAACATCCATCAGCTGCCTCCTGCACACCCTCCACTGGGAATCGAGCCAGCATGTGCCCTAAACTCAGAATCGTGACCTCCTGGTTCATAGACTGATGCTCAATCACTGAGCCACACCGGCCGGCTGGGCCACGCTCCCTGAATTTTAGAGAGAATGGTGGGACTGTGGCCGGTGCCTTTGCTAGGAAGGTGTTTGGGGAGGGCGTGCTGGTGGTGTGTATGATGACTGATCTCCGTAGATCTGTGATGAACTCGTATGGTTTCCCCATTTTTACCCGTGTTTCCCCGAAAATAAGACATCCCCTGAAAATAAGACCTAGCGCAACTTTGGGAGAAAAAAATTAACAATAAGACACTGTCTTATTTTCGGGGAAACAGTGTTAGATTCCTGCCTACTTGTGATAGGTGTCGTGAGAGGAATTCGTTTTAGTGCAAGACTCATGCTGGGTGAAGTAACAAGTATCTCTATTCCATTTAGAATGGAAGTTCCTCCAGGAAACATACCTGCTGTGGAAAACGGGTCTCTGCACAGACATTCCCGTGTTCCTATCGTGGTTACAACGTGCCCTTCGGGTTTCTCATTCTTTTCATTGGCCCTTTGCAGAAAAAGGCCCCAACATGCTTTTGTCTTTTGATCGAATACCTGGATCCTGTGGCATTCACAAACACTGCACTTACTGTAGGAAAGGTCGTTTATTTCTGGACACACTTTGGACCCGTTCCCACCATCGGAGGAAGAGCTGACATGGATCCTCCTCAGAGCTATTTATAAGCCTGTCGCTCTCAGGCTTTGAAACCGGGACAGAAACAGGGACAGAGTAATCTTTCCCTTCATTCTCCCTTGTACGGACACATTTTTAAAAATGTAATCCCGCCCGTCAGACCTTAGGACAGTAAAAAAAGGAGCCATTCACCGATTTGTCACTTGATTTTTTTTTTTTCTAGAAACATCGCTTCCCCGCCTTCATTCCCCACCATATGAGGTTTGCTGGCTGTGGGGCTTATTGGTGTTAATAAGGGTGCTTGTACTTCCTAAAATGGGACTTTCTCAGCTTCATTCCTCAAACCTACACACTAAATATTAAGCTGGGACTTCACCTTGAAAGCATATTTTTATTGTTTTAGTTGCAGTTGAGAGCTTACTGTTTGCCTGGTACCAAACCAGTACCTCTGTGCACATTCTCCTGTAATTTACAACTGCAGGAGAAGTAGAGGTATGCCCATTCATAGTTAGGGGAACGGAGGTTCAAGAAGTTAAATAAGTTTGTTGTTGTTAATCCTCACCCGAGGAAATCTTTCCATTGCTTTTTAGGGAGCGTGGAAGAGAGAGGGAAAGACAGAGAGAAACACAACCAGGGCCTGGGCCAGGGAGGAGCTTGCAGCGTGCCCTTGACTGGAATGGAGTCCAGGACCCTTTGGTTGCGGGCAGATGCTCTATCCACTGAGCCACACTGGTTAGGGCTTAAGTAGCTTTTTTTAAAAATTTAATATATTTTATTGATTTTTTACAGAGAGGAAAAGAGAGGGATAGAAAGCTAGAAACATCGATGAGAGAGAAACATCGATCAGCTGCCTCCTGCACACCCCCCACCGGGGATGTGCCTGCAACCAAGGTCCATGCCTTTGACCGGAATCGAAACCGGGACCCTTCAGTCTGCAGGCCGACGCTCTATCCACTGAGCCACCTTGGTTTCGGCAAGACATGGCATTTCTGATGTGTTGTTGCTTGTTTCTAGATCCACCAGCCTCGTTTCCTCCGGGGAAAGACAGCCACTATGACCTGGTAGTTGGTGTGTTGTCAGCCCGCCATAACCATGAACTTCGAGACGTGATCCGGAGCACCTGGCTGAGGCACTCCCGCCAGCACCCCGCCCTCAGCCAGCGGTAGGTCCCTCTGCGCTGGCACCTGCCGGCGTCCGGAGTGGGAGAGGCAGCCTCTCTTCCTGGAGGGAGGGCCAGTGTGCTCTGTTTTCCTCCGTATAGCTGAGCCCAAAGGCAATGTGACCAGGTTTTAAGCCAAAAGGTAGTTGGGGGAGAAGGGCCAGCCTTGAGCAAAACGAGCAGCCTCTGAAGTGGGGGACAGCACGCAGAGAAGACACGGGCTGGGTGTCAGGAACAGCAGGAGAGGCTGACTGCCTTTGCTTTTTATTTTATTTTTAAAATATATTTTACTGATTTTTTTTACAGAGAGGAAGGGAGAGGAATAGAGAGTTAAAAACATCGATGAGAGAGAAACATCCATCAGCTGCCTCCTGCACACCCCCCACCGGGGATGTGCCCGCAACCAAGGTACATGCCCTTGACCAGAATCGAACCCGGGGCCCTTCAGTCCGCAGGCCGACGCGCTATCCACTGAACCGCACCGGTCAGGGCGACTGCCTTTGCTTTTCAGCCGTGTGAGCTGTTTCTCCGTGTTCTCCCTTGCTCCCCTGACTGCAGGAGGCAGCGGAGTGCTGGCCGGGAGCCACTGGTGGCCAGCACCTTCGGGCTAGCTGTCTCGCTGGGGGGCCAGGAGAGTCCCACCGCTGAGGGGGGATGAGTACACGCAGGCGGGGCTCGGTGACCGTGCTCCCCCTCCTCCCCCCTGCAGGGTGCTGGTCAAGTTCATCATCGGCGCCCGGGGCTGCGAGGTGCCCGTGGAGGACCGGGAGGACCCCTTCTCCTGCCGGCTGCTCAACATCTCGGACCCCGGTGAGCCTCCTTGTGTGTACACGTGTGCCTATTAAAGGAGCTCTGATAAATAAATATTTTACTTAATCGTACTGAAAACTTGGCCGTTAAATTTTAGAATGATTTTTTCCCTGGGAGCAGCCGTGTTTCGGGAGCGTTTGGAAAGCTTTGCCGGTGGGAAGGGGTCCATGGCAGACGGTGACCTGACTGTCGTCCGGGGTCCCCCTGACTGCGGCCAGTGATGATGTCTCCTCCCCTCCCGCTCCCTCCCCAGTCCTGAACCAGGAGATCGAGGCCTTCACGTTCCCGGAGGACGCGCCCGCGGGCTCCTCCGAGGACCGCGTGGTGAGTGTGAGCTTCCGCGTGCTGCACCCCATCGTGATCACCAGCCTCGGGGTGCTGGGCGGCGCGGGCGCCGGGGGCTTCCAGAGGAACATCACCGTCCGGCTGTACCAGGCCGAGCAGGAGGTGAGCGCCCGTCTCCCGTCCCAGAGCGCGGCTGCCGCCTCCTGGCACCTCGCGGGCGGGCGGGAGACGTCGCCCCTCCCTGCCCGTCGGCACGTTAGGGTGCAGTGCACGGGGTCTCCGAGACCAGCCCCCACGGGGTCAGGAACGAACGGGTGTTAACGAAGGAAACGCACACAGTGCGCTCAGAGCGCCCTCCGCCCATTTATTCCTAGCCCTTCGCGGTTCAACACAGTCAGTTGTCTTAATGCCTCCCCCTTCCCCGCGTGCCTCTCATGTCAGGGAGGTGGTTTTAAGGTTTTGAAGATTATTCTTAGCATTCTTAGAAATTTGAGACGATTTTTGTGATCTTAGCCATCTTTACTTAATAGCCATGGTGGAATAGAGACCCCAAATGACAGCTAAACCACAGTGGGACCGCGCTAGTGACCAGGATGGGGCCACTGAGGACTTAGCTGGCCATGTGAGCTATGCAAATACCCTGTGAGGTATGCAAACACCCCGTGAGATCTGTGAGTATCCTGTCCCACAGGAAGTCTTCCTTCTTGTCTCCCTGTGCAGGAGGCCCTCTTTGTGGCGCGCTTCAGCCCCCCGAGCTGTGGGGTGCAGGTGAGCCGGCTGTGGTACAAGCCCGTGGAGCAGTTCGTCCTTCCCGAGGTACGGGGCACGGGGGCTTGGGGCACCCAGGCAGCCTTTGCACGCTGGGCCGGGCTTGGGTGTAATGTGATGATGCAGTGTATAGCGTGCACACAGAGGTGTATGTGATGATGCAGTGTATAGTGTGCACACAGAGGGGTGTAATGAGATGATGTAGTGTATAGTGTGCACACAGAGGGGTGTAATGTGATGATGCAGTGTATAGTGTGCACACAGAGGGGTGTAATGTGATGATGCAGTGTGTAGTGTGCACACAGAGGGGTGTAATGTGATGATGCAATGTATAGTGTGCACACAGAGGGTGTCATGTGATGATGTAGTGAATAGTGTGCACACAGAGGGTGTAATGTGATGATGCAGTGTATAGTGTGCACACAGAGGGGTGTAATGTGATGATGCAGTGTATAATGTGCACACAGAGGGGTGTAATGTGATGATGCAGTGTATAGTGTGCACACAGAGGGTGTCATGTGATGATGTAGTGAATAGTGTGCACACAGAGGGTGTAATGTGATGATGCAGTGTGTAGTGTGCACACAGAGGGGTGTAATGTGATGATGCAGTGTATAGTGTGCACACTGAGGGGTGTAGTGTGATGATGCAGTGTATAGTGTGCACACAGAGGTGTATGTGATGATGCAGTGTGTAGTGTGCACACAGAGGGGTGTAATGTGATGATGCAGTGTATAGTGTGCACACAGAGGGGTGTAGTGTGATGATGCAGTGTATAGTGTGCACACAGAGGGGTGTAATGTGATGATGCAGTGTATAGTGTGCACACAGAGGGGTGTAGTGTGATGATGCAGTGTGTAGTGTGCACACAGAGGGGTGTAGTGTGATGATGCAGTGTGTAGTGTGCACACAGAGGGGTGTAGTGTGATGATGCAGTGTGTAGTGTGCACACAGAGGGGTGTAGTGTGATGATGCAGTGTGTAGTGTGCACACAGAGGGTGTAATGTGATGATGCAGTGTGTAGTGTGCACACTGAGGGGTGTAGTGTGATGATGCAGTGTGTAGTGTGCACACAGAGGGGTGTAATGTGATGATGCAGTGTGTAGTGTGCACACAGAGGGGTGTAGTGTGATGATGCAGTGTGTAGTGTGCACACAGAGGGGTGTAATGTGATGATGCACTGTATAGTGTGCACACTGAGGGGTGTGCTCACTGTGGAATAGAAATGCTAACCAGGGTGTCTCAGGAAAAAATAAAAATTAAAAATAAAAAACCACAAACCCTCAATGACAACCGTAAAGAAGCCTCACCTTTTCTCTTTCACGAAGAGCTTTGAAGGCACCATCGTGTGGGAGAGCCAGGACCGGCAGGGGCTGGAGGCCAGAGCGCTCGGCAGCGTGGCAGTCCACGACGGGGGCGGCGTGCTCCGGGTCACCGCGGTACGTCCGGGGTCAAGGCTGCCGCGCCGGCAGCACCCTTACTGCCTTTTTACACCGGCCCAGACAGCATGGGGTAACCGCCTGTGGCTAGAATAGGTAGAAAATGGTGTGCAGTCTGCTGTTCTCTGGTTTTGTCACCACACACCGTGCATCCCACACCCGGAGCCGGGATTGAGAGCCTGGAGCTGGGAATGAGAGCTGCCTGCTGAGGGGTGTATAGCGTGCACATGTGAGGGTGTAACGTGATGATGCAGTGTATAGTGCACATGTGAGGGTGTCATGTGATGATGCAGTGTATAGCGTGCACACGTGAGGGTGTAACGTGATGATGCAGTGTATAGTGTGCACATGTGAGGGGTGTAATGTGATGATGCAGTGTATAGTGCACATGTGAGGGTGTCATGTGATGATGCAGTGTATAGCATGCACACGTGAGGGTATATGTGATGTAGTGTGTAGCGTGCACACATGATGACACACTGGCGCTTGCACTCGTGTCTTTCAGGCCGGGGAGGGTGCGTGGCCCCCGGAGCCCACGGAAGGAGTGGTGGGCGTAGCCGGCGGCTTCATCTACACGATTCAGGGTGAGTGCTGGCCGCGAGGCTCACGCTTTTCTCCGTTCTGCTACGGCCGTGCATCTCTAAAACATACTTTTGATTGGAACGTGTTGTACTTGGTATTTATGGCCTCATATTCCATCTATCAGTTAGCGACGTGTTCTTCCGGCATCATTTTTCTGGGCCGTTTCTCACAACACGCAAGGGCAGGCTGACTTTGAACCTGCCGTGTCCCCCCGTGACACCACGGCTTAGCCATTCCCGTTACACACGGCGCTGCAGTGAGCAACCACGTGACTCCGTGTGACACGCCTGCGGGGACTTGTCGCCCGGGGGGCACCCTCAGCCGCACCCCTGCTGCTTTGCTTCCCACGCAAGTGCGTCCAGTCACCCCGAGCGTCCGCTTCCCTCCTCCACGCTCCCACCGCCGCCCTGTCCCTGGCCCCGGGCACAGAGCGCAGGGCACAGCGGGGCGCGGTCCTGGCCCTGTGCGCATGGCAGTAGCGTGTGTCTCAGCTCTCGGCCTTCCCTTCCAGAAGGCGATGCTCTCCTCCGAAACCTCCGCTCGCGCCCCGGCCGCCGCGCCGAGCACCTGCGGAGCCTCCGCGCCGAGGACGCCTCGCTGCGGGCGGAGAGCGGCCGCCACGGCGACATTGTCTTCGTGGACGTGGTGGACACCTACCGGAACGTGCCCGCCAAGCTGCTCCGCTTCTACCAGTGGTGGGTGTCCCTGCCGCCGCCGCCGCCGCCTGCTCCAGGGCCTGTGGGTGCAGAAACGGTGTGTCCGACCCTCACACCACTGAGATTTCCTACTTTTTAAATAAATTCTTACTGATTTCAGACAGGAAGGGAGAGGGAGATAGAAACATCCATGAGGAGAGAGAATCATGGATCAGCTGCCTCCTGCACGCCCCACCCTGGGGATGTGCCACCAGTATCGAACCCGGGACCCTTCAGACCACAGGCCAATGAGCCAGACCAGCCAGGGTGACCACGGAGATTTTTTTTTTTTTTTTCCCCCAAATATATTTCTTCATTGATTTCAGAGAGGAAGAGGGAGGGAGAGATAGAAACATCAATGAATGATAAGAGAGAATCATTGATCGGCTGCCTCCTGCATGGCCCCTGCTGGACATGGAGCCACTGTAGCTCAGGCCACCCGTGGGCCTTGTGGTTGTGAGTGGGGCCCAGGCAGGGGTGGGGAGGGAGGGGTGCCGAGGGGCACGAAGGCCCAGGTGTGCGGGCCGAGGGGCAGTTTCGGTGAAACGCGAGCAGCGTCACCGCCTTCGGCTGCCGTCTCCTCGCACGGACGCCCTGACCCACGTCCCTCTCTCGCCGCCAGGACCGTGCGAGCCACCAGCTTCGATCTGCTGCTCAAGACGGACGACGATTGCTACATCGACCTGCAGGCCGTGCTCCGCAGGCTCGCCCGGGGCTCGCTGCGGGGCCCGAGCCTCTGGTGGGGCAAGTGAGTCCGGCCGCTCGCCCGGGGCGCCCTGTGCCCGCGCACCGCCGTCCACGCAGCACGGACTGGGCTTCTCTTCCTAAGGAAACCGGCTGAGACTGGGGTGTCCTCACTTATTAATCTGTGATTAGAGGAAATACTTTTTTTTTTTTTTAATATATTTTGTTGATTTTTTTTTAATATATTTTGTTGATTTTTCACAGAGAGGAAGAGAGAGGGATAGAGAGTTAGAAACATCGATGAGAGAGAATCATCCATCAGCTGCCTCCTGCACACCCCCTCCTGGGGATGTGCCCGCAACCAAGGCACATGCCCTTGCCCGGAATCGAACCCGGGACCTTTCAGTCCGCAGGCCGACGCTCTATCCACTGAGCCACACCGGCACTGGCTAGAGGAAACACTTTTAAAGTGAAAAACCTCCAGCTACTGAACGGAGGCGAGACAGTGTCTTGGCTTAACCCTCCTGCCTCGAAGTAAGTGGCTCTCAGATCAGCAGCTGCCGCAGTTAGATGTTAGGACGTCCCCTTCCGGAAGCTTCCCTCCGCAGGGATACACTGCGGGCCAGCGGATTTCTTAAGAAAAACATGCACAAGATGATCTGGTACTTCCCGTTCAGAAACTACGCACGCTACTTTGAGAGAACTTACATGTTTCGGTTTCATCTAAAATAATCCCACAGAAGTCACTCCCCTCTCAGACTAAAGGAGGCGCTCATGCTGCCCCCCTCGCTCTGTTCCCCGCGGTGGCGGGACCTGTGAGCCGAGCAGGACGGGGTGGGACGTGTGTCAGGCGCACAGAAGCGGCCGCTCACTCCCTGTCCATCTCAGTTTCAGGCTCAACTGGGCCGTGGACCGGACGGGGAAGTGGCAGGAGCTGGAGTACCCCAGCCCCGCGTACCCCGCCTTCGCCTGCGGCTCGGGGTACGTGGTCTCCCGGGACATTGTGCACTGGCTGGCCGGCAACGCGGACCGGCTGAAGACCTACCAGGTGGGCAGGGCCGGCTGAAGGCCTGCCAGGTGGGCAGGGAGGGCTCCTGCCTGAGGGGCGCCGCCCAGCCAGCTTCCCGGCCCCGCCTCCCGAGGGAAGAACATGTGCTTTCTGTAAGGACCCTCATTAGGGACACTCCGCCCCCCACCCGTGGCTCTGAGTTCTGTTCCTGGCGCTTTGGTTGCCTCACTGTGGTTCCCGCCTGTTCACTGGCCCCTGGAGGAGGGAAGACTTGAGCTCTGCTTCCCTGGGGGGTGGCATGGTGGCCGTGCCAGAGCCCTCAGCGCCGCCCAGCGGCCGGTCCAGCGTGTTGCGTGCCATCAGTGCCGGAGCGCTGGGTCCCTTGTAGGACGCGCTGTTTCACCAAACAGCCACCGGCTGTCACGCTGTGTCCGCGTTCACACTGCCAGGGGTTCGTGTGAGATGACCAAACAGAGGCAGAGGGTAACTTTTTAACCCGCTGAACAGGGCGTGGCGCTGGCTGGGCAGACGCGGAGCGTTTAACCCTTCCCATGCCTGTCCAGGGTGAAGATGTGAGCATGGGCATATGGATGGCGGCCATCGGACCTAAGAGATACCAGGTAAGCGGCGTCAGGGGCTGGGGAGCCAGGGACGGGGGCTGTGTCGCACCTCGGGCGGGAGCCGCGGAGAGAAGGTCTGGCGCTGTCGCCGTGCTCATGACTGGATTCGCTGTAACCCACCCGGCTCCCAGGCGACATGACATGCCTGGCTGTGTCCTCACTTCATCCCCGTCGGCGCTGTCTCCCCAGGACAGCCTGTGGCTGTGCGAGAAGACCTGCGAGACGGGCATGCTGTCCTCCCCGCAGCACTCCCCGCGGGAGCTCGCCCACCTGTGGAGGCTGAAGGAGCGGTGCGGGGACCCTTGTCAGTGTGAGGCCGGGTGAAGGGGGCCCTGGGCGGGGAGCCCCGGAGAGCAGGCGCGGCTCCCGGCTCCATGCGGACCCCCGCGGACCCCGCTGGGTGGCTTCGTGTTCGCAGTTTCCTCTTAAGAATCAACCCGGATGCTGTAGCATAACAGCTTTATTTTTATAGCGGGAGATCTGAAAAATACCAAATAGTTGTACATCCTGATGCGCCATTCTAGTTAGCTTCACTGGCTACCGTTTTTGGTTGAAAGGCGGCTTGTTCGGAAATCTTGAGGGACTGAGAGTTGGACTTTCGGCCTGGATTGCAGACTAGCTTCGTATAGCACCGTTAGGACACTGACACGAGACGAAAAACCAACTCTCAGAGCTGCTGCTGTGTGATGCTGTGGTCACGTGTACCAAAGCGCGGGTTTCCAGAAATGACGTCACTCTCTGCGGGTGTCTGAGCAAAGGGGGCAGCTAGACCTGGGAGAGAACCCGTTGAATTCTCGGTCTGGACCTTGGTTTTAAAGTTCGTTTATTATTAATGGACTAATGCACGCGTTCTTTTGCCATTTCACACAAATCCTGGGAGTCACCGTTTAGTGCTCCTACTAAAAAGGCGACATTTTAGTGACTATAAGTAAAGTCAAATACTCTCAGGGCGTTAGTGCCAGAGGGAAGGCTATTTTTAAATAGCGGACGCTTTGAAAGAATCACGCTTGCCTGCTGTCACTGCCAAGTTTACCTGGTATGAGTGGGTTTTTGTCAGGGGGGGGGATCACTGACAGAGAATAGGCTTCTGTAGGTTAACTGCAGAGAAAGCATGTAACATACAAGCGACCGTAGCTTCTCTGCTGTACACAGCGGAGGGTGTGCCCCTAAGCGCAAGGGACATTTCCCTAAATGACGAACCAGATCACTGTAGTCGCTTTTTAAACCAGTAATATCAACAGAGGATTCTGTTACACTGGTCTTATGACAAACATAAGCTGTGTTCAGACCTTATTAGACTAGCTATGTTCTACTTAGTATTGGGATCTTCACACAATGAAATGCAATCACGAACTATAAACGTGAAATAGAAGCGGAAAACCGTTAGTCGGCACAAAGCCTTTATTGTCGCTATTATGTACAAGCCTGGAAACAGTCTCTCTCCCACCGAAAAGGACAGCCTCGGAGAGAACTGCTCCCGAGGTCATTTCTTGCCCGGGATCCGCAGTCCGCCTCGGGCTGCATCAGCTGTGTCACCATCGCACTAGCAGACGGTCTCCGCTTTCCACAGAGTAGAACTGCAAGGACTGCTGGTCGTTCTCCAGCTCAATCTCTCTGCCCGGCATCTGGGGTCGGAACAAAGTGTGGGGGGCGGATTCAGACATCAGAGCTTAGGACACGCCCTGTCCCCCAGATGGGAGAGTTGGTCACGGAGACGCAGGCACAGCCACCACTGCTGTGGGCTGGCTGAGGGCTCCGGCTGCTCACCTTGGGGCTTTCGTAGGCCAGCAGCAGGTCCGACACGGGGACCTTGAGGAGGCGGGACAGCAGCCCTTTCACCTTCTGAACCGTCATGGAATCTGTCAGAGAGGAAACACAGTGCGCTCAGTGACAGCCGCCTGTCACAGGAGCTCAGGGCAGGTCCGCAGGTGCAGGGACAGCTGACCTGTCACCTCAGCGTCGTCCACCCCAGTGACCATTGAGGCCCAGGCCCGGGGAGCAGACTGGCCTTGGCTCTCAGAGCCAGTGCTTGGCCCGTGCCCTTGTCAGCGACTTTTCAGTCCTCAGTGGCACCTCCCTTATCCCTGTCACCAGAAGTCATAGCCTCTGCAGAGGAGTGAATGTGAGAAAAGTCTAACTTCTCCTTTTAAGTCTGTGGTTATGAAGGCCTAACGAGACCACTGCAGGCCTCTGAAGCGGGGGCCGCCCCTGCAGGCGGTCGGCAGTTATGCGGGTCCCTGTGCTGGACACGCCCAGGGACCACAGGCCCGCACTGCGGCCCAAGGAGAAATGCGTCCGTTTGTCAGAAAGCGCTATGTATGAACCCTCTCCAAAGACAGTTGTGGTAACAGTGGCTATTTTGATTATGAGAAACGCAGTCTCTCTGAAGCTTTAGCCGGAGGTGCAGCAATAGTTAGGACCAGCGTTCCTACAAATGTCACAGGGATTCCCATATTTTTCTATCAGAGACCATTTTTGTAAAGGCTGTCTGTGTTTTTATGCAACTTGTGATAATAAATGTTCTTTATTTTAGAAAAAAAACGCCTTCTCAGTGTGTGTATTGAGTAGCCAGCAGACACTTAGCATTTCGATCAGCGTGAGCTGCTCAGGTAGGTGGGTCCTTTCGGAAAACCTGGGTGACCAGCCGCGGGGAGGCCCTGGGGCTGCACACAGGCTGTGCCTTTGCTAACGTGAGCACACGCAGGGCTCCTCCCGGTTAGCGTTCGGGGGTGAGGCAGCTCGGCCGCTTGCCTCAGGGCAGGAAGAGCCGGTGACAACCGGTGACAACCAGTAAGCTCCGCTGACTGGACGCCGGGAGCAGAGGGGCAGCTGTCTTACCTGGCAGCTGTCTCTCCAGGGCGCTGTGGTTGGGACGGTCAGGACAGCTGATCTTCAGCGCTGGGAGGAAACGGGAAAGGCTGGCTGAGACCTGCTCCCTGCGGGCTCCCAGGGCACCTGAACGTTAGGGGTTTTACCAAATGGCGCAGGTGCAACCTGGCTCCGACCAGTTGGCCGAGCTGCAGTTTGACAGTCCCGTGAATACTTCACCCGAATTCGGTTACTGACAGCCCAGGGGCTGGGCGACATCCTACTGCTTTCCCTTCCCTTAAGGTAAGGTGGCCGGACGTCCCGCTTTTAGCAGGACAGTCCTGACTTTTAACAATTTGTCCCGCGTCCCACGGCGTAAGGGACTTTAGCACGCCGTGGGACGCAGGATAGATAGTTAAAAATCGGGGCTGTCCCGCCAAAAGCGGGACGTCTGGTCACCTTACCTTAAGGGCGTCCTCCCTGACAAGTTCACGAGGTTTTCACGTTAAGTCATACGTTTCCAAATCACAATTCAGTTCCCTGTTCGAGCCCTCCCCGCATCTGCAGCGCCATTAAATGGGCCGAAAGCAAAGGATTGCTAACATGTTCAATACAGGAATTTGCAAGGGATTGAGAACTGATCGTTTCTTTTAAAAAAGCCCACGTACTCGGGCACGTGAGAGAAACCTTCTCTCTTAGGCTGCCGCCCTGTTGCGGCATCTAAGGACTCGAACACAGAGCAGCTGGCTTTGGGTTTGGGGTTCTTACTTAGCAGCTGGTTTTTGAGCAAAAATGGTTGCTGTGTTTTGAGCTCCCCATCTTCAGGCGCGCCGTATTCTATTTAGGAAATAAAAAACGATGAATGGCAATCCACAGGCCGCTGGAAGGGAACAAGTGGCAGGTAAGTGTCCACTCGGGACCAGCCCAGCAGCAGCTGGTCCTAACCTGGTCCACTTCCTGTGGGACCCCCCCCCCTCCCTCCCTTCTTTCCTCCCTCCGTGTGACATCACTGTCCTCAGAGACAGGCAGTCCTGACAGACCAGCCGCTGAGGCTGTGCGTCCACACACTTGAAGCGTCACCGCTGCTAACACTTCCCTTTCGTTCTGAACCTGAGAGAGGAACCTCGAGCAATTTGGGACACAACTCACACCTTCACCCAGTTCCAGCCAGATTCAGCCACGCAGGGCGGGCTCGGAACCACCCCGCCAACCAGGTCCCTGGAAACGCAGCTGCAGTCTGGCATGGGGTGTAGGGACAGCAGCACGGACGCTCCCACTTGTGCCGGGCCGCTCAGCACCTCCTCTCCCTCCCCCACGTGACCGAGTTCACGGAAAGCAGCCAGGAAAGTGTGCCAGCGAAGGGAGTCACGTGACAGCCTTCCTCTCAGAAGGACCAGCCCGGAGCGATGCAGCGACCTCCCATCGGGAAATGTGAGAGAGAGGAAGTCACATGGAAGTGACATTGGAATGGTCATGAAGGCCGATCAAAGCGGAGAGGAGTCGGGGACAGAGGCCTGAGGGGGCAGCTGCAGGCTGGAGTGAGGGAGCACCTGGCACAGAGCCCTGGAGACCGAGGGGAGCTGGCACAGGTGCCAGCGCCTACATCCACCTTCAGCCGCTCCGCATCTTACATCCCCCGGGGAGCCGGCCACCGGCCCTGGGTCGGAGCGGACCTACATGATCCCAGGTCCCTCCTGCCGTCTGTCCTCTGAGGACAGTTAGGATCTGCTCCCATCTTGCCGAAGTCGCCCCGGGAGAGTGCCCAGCGCCTGGGAGAGCAGAGCAGCCCAGCCGGGCCGCTGCCAGGGAAGGGCATGGGTACGCACTGCGGCAGAGGGCCTGGTAGCGGGGGTGGGCGGCCAGGAACGCCGCGCTGGGCCTGTCCTGGTCGGGGTCCTGGTGCCCGCCCGCCTCCTTCCACTCCTTCCCGAACGCCTTGCGGTAGTCCAGCTCGGCCCCGCGCCGCTCCTCGGGGCGGATCTGGGGGAGAAGAGCACAGGGGTCCATGAGACAGTTCTCTGTGAGCTGTGGCACCCCGCCTTCCTCACGCCCGCCCCGAGGCCCTCACACTGACAGGAACCAGGTAACCATTACATTTTTACCCTATTCCAAAAGGAAATTCTGTTTCCTCCTTTTCTTCCTGAGAGCATTGGCCCACGGGCTGGCTTCCGGACCATGCCAGGGGCCTGAGGGCCCGAGGCGTGGGGATGCCCCCTGGAGGAGCTCACCGGGGAGGGCACATGCCCAGCCAGCGGCTCCAAAGGCTCTGCCTCCTGTTTACAAGAAGGGGAGGGTCCACAGGCTCCTGGTTCTGTCTTTTTTCTGCCTCCATCGCCCCCCCCTTCCAGCCCCCCAAAGAGGGGGAGGAAGAACCCCGTGTCCCTCCCTCTCCTCGGGTGACAACGAATCGACCGGGGGACAGGTCACTGCTCAGTGCAGTTCCACTGTCACTGACACGCCCAGGAGGCCACTGTGCCGCTTCAGGGAAACCACGTCTGACCCCTCCGCGATATTCACAGCGTCTCCTGCGCTTCCCGTCCCTCGTTCTCTGGGCTGTGCCCACCTCGCATCGGTTGAGGGTCCGCAGCTGGCCGATCTTGGCGATGATGAACTGCAGGCTGGTCCTGGCCGCGCTGCCCACGGTCAGGGGGTTCCTGAGGCACGACAGCGAGTGCAGGCTCCGCAGCTTGTCCAGCTCGTTGATGAAGGACCACTGACGCCCAGGAGGAGGGAAGCAGGTGTCAGGCCCACGTTTCAGAGGATGTGAGTGTGTGTGGGTTTATCTGAGGAATTTCACTCCGAGGAAGCGTTTCTCAGAAAACGTAAAATGTTTTTCCATCAAAGGAACCCAAAAGGGGGCGTGAGGGAGGAGAGGGGCACCCGGAAGAGGCTTACTTGCGATATCCGATTGTCGTCCAGGACCAGAGACTGCAAGGCCGGGAACATTGCTGTTTTGGACCCTGGAGGAAGGAGAGCGAGGTTACCCAGCGGAAGTGAGAGCGGCAGCTGAAGCATGGAGCACAGGGGAGGGGAATGTTAGAATCTCACGCACCAGCCTCGGCATCCGGGAAATGGAGAGAAGAAATCCCGACGTCGCTAAGGATGAGTCGTTCTAACCTGGAGTCACAAATGTTCAGTGTGATCGCACGAGACAATGCCAAATGCTGAGGGCTCTCAGCCAGACTAGGTCTGTAAATTTTTTGCTAGACTTTAGGTTTTCATCCCAGAAAAAATGCTTAGAGACTGTGAAGTCCAACTCGGGGCGTGTACATATGTCCTCCTGGCTCCACAGCCATCTAACAGTCCTGTGTCTACTGCTGTGCCAGGAGCCACGTGGGTCTCGGGACGGACGCCATCTTCCCAAAGGTTATTGAGTGAAGACTAACTACTTTAGCACCAGGGCCAACTCATCCATTCTTCACTCACCTAGTCCCTGCACAGCAGCTTGTATTGTATGTGGTTCACAAGTAAGCTCTCTGAGTTCAGGTAAAAATTTGCCAGAGAAGGAGCCCATTTGGAAACTCCATCATCGTTACTGTATTCCCACTGCGAGTGCAGATGGCATGGGACCGCTGACTGCACGTTCACTGGGCACCAGTGTAACCGGCGTCCGAGGAGCCATTACCTGGGCAGATACGCGATGAGAAACAGCTGGTTTTCATCAATGGCCTGGTTAGAGGAAAGGTCTAGTGTCCTGAGCAACTGGAGGACGTCAGCAGGCCTGTAGGGAAAGGACAATTTTTTCAACACGAATTTAATACATTAGTTGTTTTCAAACACATAACCTTATAATACCTACATGTGCTATTAAGGAAGGTTGGGGGCAACATAGTAATTCAGGGCTTTCCCCTTAATGGGGTTTTCCTCAATTAGGGGTGAAGTGCGAGCTGACATGCTAATTTGTGAAGGCAGTGAAGGAACGTTTTTCGAATTCTTATTGGCAAATCCCTCTGGAAAGGAACATGTCTTTGAGGTCATTTATTCGGCGTGAGAGATGGCGGCAGACGGTGACGTAAACCCGTTACCTTTCTGAGATGGAAATGCCGTTGGACTTGAGGTACAGCTCCTCAAGGGCCGGCCAGTCCTGGGCACAGTGGAGCACCTGGGAGGGAACGCAGGTGAGGCGGAGCGCCCTTTGCTGGGCGTTTTCCCGTGTTTGTCACTAAGACCTGCACATGAATCCCCCTTAGTTTTAGAAATAAAGTGCTTACGAGACATGTCATAGAAGGCTGGTTCAGGCCGGATGGCATGTTAATGGCCGTGTTGTAAAGGCAGGGACACGTCTTTCGGCACTGAACCAGCCAGTGAGGTATCAGTGTGTCCCGCGGGCATACCTGGATGTGGACTGAGGCACCTACTACGTGCACTGACTCGGCACATCGTTACCTGCTTCCCCAAAGGAAGGAAACGGATGGAAACACCTCTCCTCAGTTATGGATGCCAATCGGAGTTTGCAGAGAATAGGCTGATCAGTCAAAATTTCTCCTGACTGCTCCCAGATGTTCTCACTTGAACCTCCTGCCCTCCCCCCACTGGCATTTCTAGAAAACAAGGGAGGTGCCTTGGTGGCATTCACCGGTGCACGCACTGGGGTGTCCTTCTCTGCCCGTGTGTGACAATGGGCTGTTCTGGATGTGTGAAGGCAGCTGACCCGACAGGAAACAGCGGTGCCAAGTGCTTGGCGGGTGGCCCTGGAGCCGTCCCAGCGATGCCCAATGACCAGCCATCCTAGAGCTGAGCCAGAAGGGCCGTGAGGACTGCCAGCCGCGGTCCCACCTGAGCTCACCGGGCTGCAAGCTCAGCCAGCAGCCACCCGAAGCTCTGAAAGCTGAGTGCACGCTCACTGCACGCTCTGCGCAGCGGCGGTTCAGACCCCAGGAGGCGTCGGAAGGAGCCAGGGACTCCGAGACAGGAAGTCCTACCTCCCCACCATGACTGAGGCGCCTACAGATCCTACCACGTGAGTAACTGGGTGATTAAAACCGTCCTCTATTAAACCAGTCAGTAAAAGGGCTTCCTATGGGTAACAAGCCAAAGCCAAAGACACAGGCTTACCTCGGCCCACGTGACGCCCGTGCTGTTGAGGACTAGGACCTTCAGTGCGGAGAACGAGCCGGTGGTAGGGGCGGGCGAGGCCGGGGGGAACCGCAGCTTGTTGTCACTGTGGAGGCAGGAGATGCTGCACAGGGGCCGGCACGGCACTGACGGCAGCCATGTGGGACTTAACAAGAGATCCCTGGATTACGCCACCCTCACAGTCACATCACAAACCGGCTCAGTGACCTACGGACCAGGAGGTCACGGTTCGATTCCCAATCACAGGCACAGGCCCGGGATGCGGGCTCGATCCCCAGATCGGGAGGCAGTCGGTCAGTGATTCTCTCTCGTCATTCACGTTTCCAGCTCTCCCCCCCTCCCTTCCTCTCTGACATCAATAAGAATGTATTAAAAAGTGACAACAAACCAGCTCCTACCTGAGATCAAGGACCTCTAGGTGTCTGAGCTGCTCAGCGATGGCGGTGACTTCCTCCCACGCTGACAGCAGGTTCTGTGACAAGTTGACGACGCTGATGTCTGGAAGCGTGTTAAGAGCAGTAACACCGAGAGTCACAAAAGACCCGACAGCGGTTCCCCCGGAGCTCTGAGCACAGCACCTGCCCCCCTCTGTGCCCTGTTCTGCGGAGGATTTTACCTTTTTAAACCGTCCGACTGTCCATCTGTCCGTTCAGAAACTAAAAGCTGTCATGTACCGCCCACGAGGCACTAACGTCTACAGTCCACGTCACTGCCGCGCCATCTCGCATTGCTGAACAGGGAAAAGCCGTGATGGCGCTTCCGGTTTATCAGGCCCTGCGTGTCCCCAGGGCCCAGCCGGGGTGCCCGTCGGGAGATGGACCCGGTGGCCCACAGCGGTGTCCACACCGGTCAGAGCAGCGCTGAAAGGATACTGGGACACGCGCTGGCAATGTCTCCTTTGTCACCAGCACAGCTCACGGCGCAGCCCCTCAGGGAGATGTCGCGTAGCTTGCTCAGCTGACTGCAGGAAAGCAGAGTTCGCGTGGACCCGCGCCCACGGGCCTTTAAAAATTACCCGGCAGCTCAGACCACGACAAGGGACGAGAGTTAACAAATATCGGGACCCGCCTCCCAACTTGAGAACTAAAGCATCACTGAAAAGAAGAGTAAAGCATTGCACACATCGCAAAGACAGATCACCTGCCCTGTCCCTTTCCATTACATCCCAACCCCCACCCGGGGGCCGGCGCTACCTTTGGGTTTAATCTTAAGCCTATCTGAGGTTTCAGTATATATTCCCATATCCCTAAACAGTTAGCCTATTGTGGTGTACCATGAGACTTGATGTAAATGGAACCCTACTGTGTATATCCCCCTGCAAATAGCTCTTTCCATCCACAGTGTTGCTCAGCAACGATACAGCTTAGCACATGGACTAGAACATTCATTTTCACTTCCCACAGCAGCCACCAGGGGGCACTACTAGGACACATCCCGGGGCCAGGCCAAACCACAGCGCTGACCAGGGCTAACAGGCATCATTTCCTGCCCTGCAGATGCTACAGGATAATTGGGGAACTTAAAGGGGCAGCGCAGGGAATTCTGACTCCGGGGGTCTGGATGGGACCCAGGTGACAGGGTGTGCACTACATGGCACAGGGAACTGTGCACACTTCCGACTCCATGTCCGGTATCAACCAGCGAGAAATGTCACCACGAAATAGAAAGGACCAAGCGTCCACCTTCGTTACTGAATAGGTAGCACCAGATAGCAGAGCATGAAAGTTAATAATCGGCAAAGCCATCTTTCCATCCCGATCTGGAGAAGCCCAACAACCCTGAGCTTGGGAAGGATTTTACATCTCTGAACCCTGACCCGTGGACTCCTGCGGTTCCCAGTGGCCGTTTGTGCAGGAAGCACAGGGGGGTTGGGGTCAGGTTCTGAGTACAGGCGGGGTCAGGTGAACTCGCTCCTGAACCTGACGGGATGCTCGGTCAGCTCCTCCGGCGCCGGCGACGTGGGCTGACGGCCAACAGGCAGGAGGCTGCTCTCCCGTTCTCAATCCCACTCACCTCTGCTTTCTTATGACGGAGCCGAAGCCGATGGTTTCCACGGGGATGTTCCCGATGGTGACAATCTGCTTTTTCACATCCTCCTCCGGCTCGTCTTCGTAGCGGTCCCTGAGCGCGGTGAGGAAGTCCACTCCGAAGTTGGCTTTGTGAGGGCGGATGAAGGAGCCTCCTGTCGGGTGGCTGGAGGGGGGAGAGATGGAGCCCAGTGGCCACCCACGGAGACACTGAGAGGAGATGGCACACGCAGAATCCCTCAGGGCTGTCCCTGCCACCAATGGAAACACCTGGTTTCCATTTACAAATACGTTGGCCAATACAAGCCATTACAGGCAGCCCTCGGCTTACGTCGGACTCGATTAACCACTTAATGAACCATTTTGATTAGCCACTAAAATATTATCCCAAGTCGCCATGCCAAATCACAACGGGAAGTCACCTGCATCTGAAATACACAGTCCCCTCGTGGCTCCCGTCGTGCTTGCCTCTCGCGGGATTGTCCCATTCCACTCCCAGCCAGAGTCCTAGCAGAACAAGAAACACTGAATGAGCAGCAGTGACAGAGGTCCCACTTGGTAATTGCTCTGTTTTTCTGCAAGCAAACATAGCTTGCAAACAGTTTATTTAAACCTATGCATGATCCTAGCTCAGAAAATTAAATGTCCAACCAAAAGTAGTCATTTGCCAAACATTAGGACTGTTGTGTTTCTTCCTAAAGTAACTTTTGCATGTTTATTTACAATAACAGCTATCACACTTGCACCAGTAACTGGTCCAAGTGCTTTAAACATCTTAACTCAGTGGTCGGCAAACTGCGGCTTGCAAGCCACATGCGGCTCTTTGGCCCCTTGAGCGTGGCTCTTCCACAAAACACCACGGCCTGGGCTAGTCTATTAATATTTTGAAGAAGTGGCGTTAGAAGTTTATGTTTAAAAAATGTGCTCTCCAAGGAAATTTCAATCGTCGTGCTGTTGATATTTGGCTCTGTGGACGAATGAGTTTGCCGACCACTACCTTAAACTCATTTAGCTGTCACAGCAATCCTATAGCAACGTTCAGTGCAGTAACTACTAAATCTGTGTTCAATTGCTCTGTCTTTGTACCAATTCCTTCAGATGACCTCTAAACGAACCCAAAAGCAGTACCAACTGAAGTAAGCAATGGAGAGAATGCCCCTCACAATGAGATAATAAAGGGTAAGTATATATCAGCTCCCTCTACAGAATTGTAATTTTCGGGGAGTGGGGGGACGCCTCACAGCACACATATAAAGAACGTGTCAAACTCAGAGGCAACTGAATCAATGAAAGGAATAGGTACCGCCTCCTATTCGCTAAACTACCATTAAGTTCCTCCACCTGCTTTCCTGTATTTGCGCTACATCACTCCACTGTGCCAGGAGGAACTGGGCTTATTTCCCCCAGCTGCCAGGAGTACTGGCGTTTGTAGGTTAGCACCTTGCCAGGGGCACACCCCCTTCTCAGGGCCAACCCTATGATAAATCACTACAGAGGGGTAAATGCCCAGCTGAGGATGCCTGGCTGGCATGGCTCAGTGGTCACCTCAGGAGGTCACGGTTCGATTCCCGGTCAGGGCACATGCCCAAGTTGTAGACTCGATCCCCAGGGTGGGGCATATAGGAGGCAGCCAATCAATGATTCTCGCCCATCATTGATGTTTCTCTCTTTCTTTCTCTCTCCTTTCCTCTCTGAAACCAAAACCTATATTTAAAAAAAAAAAAAAAAGACTGAAGGCCATCCTAGCTTCAGAGTGCCCCTTGGGGTCAGATGAAACCTTTGATCAGATCCTATACAGTCCAACTTCTCCCTCTACCCAATCCAACTCCCTTCCCATTAATTAGTACTGATCCCAAGAACACTCCTAATAAACTTAATGAACACTAAATTATGAAAGAGTATAAGTAAGTATAACCATAGACACCACCAGATATGGTCATCAAATAAAATTGTATACGGGAGGCATCTCTGAATTGGTTATTAATTTCCTCAAAATTGGTTTACTGTAGCACTATGGATAAACCTACAAAGAACTACAAGTACATACTTATGCACACACGCAAAGTCATACGTTACCAGCCACAGGAGGGACGGCGCCATGGAAACGGACCGTGGCACATTCTCCGTTGACGGAAACTCGGCGACCAACGACATCTGAGGTCAACGTGTCATTCATTGTCATGCAAACTGCGAGATCTGGGGAGAAAGGTACAAGCTTGATGAGAACTTAATAAAACCCTTTTAGACTTCATGTGGATATTCGTGAGGTCCATGCTGCTGAACAGCTCAGTCTTCATATTCTGGTGAGAACCGAGTGGTTTTATGTATTACCTTATTCTGATCATTTCATTTCACCGTCTAACTATATTTGGATAATCTAATGTATTTGTCAAATCTTGTCTGACTCCAGTTAGTTCACATCAGATGACTTGTCTATCCTGTCATTTCCTGAAGGGGCTGGGAAAGGGATGAAGTGATGGAGCAAAGGACAGTTCCCTCCCCCCCACCCCCTTGGTAGTAAGCACCACGCAAAATTATTAAATGTTCTCCACCCACTTCCCATGATTTCTCCTCCACCACAAATAGTAAAAGTCTAGAGCCTGGTGCACGAATTTGTGCACAGATGGTGTGCAAGCAGGCCGGCCCCCATTGGTACCCATCTAGCTGATGGGTACAGATCCAGCAGGCGGGCCCTATCCCCTGGCTGAACTTCCGGTCAAGTGGACAATTTGCATATTGGTGTCTTATTCTATAGGATTCTATAGGATTTGGAAGGAGAGGCTGTTTCTCTTAACGTGACACCACATCCCCGGTCCCAGGGACCAACGTCACGTCCTCCAAAGTGACGAGACCATAGGCTTCTGCCTGACGTGCAGGGCGGCCCGGCCCACCCCGTCCCCCGCAGGGCCCCGCCCGCACCCCCCCCGCACACACCCCCGCACCCGCATCCCCACATCAGCACACAGGTTCCCCCGCGGGGAGCAGGCGGCGCCGGCCTCGGGCAACCTGGCGAGTTTCTAGAACAGGAAGGAAAGACCCAAAGCGCGGCAGGATGATCGACTGGCCCCGGGGCCGCCAGGAACGCTGGCACCTGCGGCGCCTCCAGCCGCTCCGCCGCTCACCTGCCCGCGGCCGCCCCTGCTGAGGGGCAGCTTCCGGTTCTGGCCGGAAGTTCCGCGTCGGGACACCGGAAGTCCCGCCTCCGCAGCGACGAACGGCCGCCGCGGTTTGAGGCCGGACCGCCCGGAGGAAAGCGGAGGCGCCGGGTCTCCGGTGAGGTCCGGCTCCGGGTCGGAGGGTCTGCCCGGCAGGAAGCAGGGGGGGGGGATGGATGGTCGCCGAGGACGGAGTGAGGAGCAGCCCCCCCGGAATGGCGGGGGCCGCCCGCCAGCCCCGGAGGCGGAACGGAAGGCCGGCCGGTGCGGAGGGAGGACCCGGTTCCGTCGTCCGGTTCCTTTCTCGGCGCCGGATCCTCGCCTGTGAGTTCCGCCGTGGTTCGCCGGCCAGGGTCCGAGGAGCAGAGGACGCCGAAGGGGACGGGAGGGAACGGGTAGCGGCGGGTCCGGTTCGCGGTCCGAGCAGCCGAGGCCGATGGTGCCCGGACGAGAGAGGCCTTTCCCGCCGCCCGAGGGGCCCCTGAGGCCCCCGCACCGGCGACGTGGCTTTCGTGATGAGTTTTACATGTGGACGTCGACACGGATGCCCGCGGTGACGGTAAAAAAAAAAGGCTTTTTTTGGTTTAGCGAAAGGGACGTAGGCGGAGCAGCCTCGTCCCCTAAAACTTCCAGCAGCTCTGGTCCCGGCCGTTTCATATGACTATGGGGTCCTCCTGACACGTTTCCGTCCGGGGTAGAGAGCCCTGCAGCTCTCACACCCCGTGTTTCTTTCCTTTTTCTTTGTTTCTTTTTGTAAAAAATATATTTGATTGATTTTTTTCACAGAGAGGAAGAGAGAGGAATAGAGAGTTAGAAAGATCGATGAGAGAGAATCATCGATCAGCTGCCTTCTGCACACCCCCCATTGGGGATGTGCCCGCCACCAAGGTACATGCCCTCGACCGGAATCGAACCTGGGATCTTTCAGTCCGCAGGCCGACGCTCTATCCACTGAGCCACACCGGTTTCGGCCCGTGTTTGTTTTCGCTTTGTAGTTGCCAAGGATACGAGGCCTTGGAGCCTGCTTCGTTCTTACGGGCACTCCTGCCATTCTGTGCTTCCCATTCTCGCGCTCTCTGACTCCCCAGGTCCACACAAGAGGGGTATATGTGGCTGCCCTGTTTCAGCAAGTGAATAGACCTGAGTTTGTTAGATTGTGGGTTTGTTTCTGATGGGCTCTATCAGACAGGGGTTATCTCTGTTTATTTTGGCCAGCCCTCCTGCACACCTTTAGCTCCATCTTAGGAGAAAACTGAAGCAGAATAATGTTAATTTATTAATATCCATCTATGCCCTGAAAAGGGCAGGAGGCTTTTTATTTTAAAAAATATATATTTTATTGATTTTTTTACAGAGAGGAAGAGAGAGGGATAGAGAGAAACATCGATGAGAGAGAATCATCGATCAGCTGCCTCTTGCACACATCCTACTGGGGATGTGCCCGCAACCAAGGTCTATGCCCTTGACCAGAATCGAACCTGGGACCTTTCAGTCCACAGGCCCACGCTCTATCCACTGAGCCAAACTGGTTGGGAGGACTAAATGGATATAAGAGGCAAGGGTAAGAAATAAATCCAAGACACACTCCTGGGTTATTTAAAGAGTAAAGATGGTGCTTTAAAAAAAGGCCAGGGTAAAAGTGATTTTATCCCAGTATTTAGGTTGGTAGAGGGACATGAAGAAAGAATGACCTGGTTTTTTCAGGTAAAGAAGCACATACAGGGCCTGACTTTGAGGTCAGGCTTTTGATATTATGGTAATTATAAAAAAAAAAAACACACAGAGCCATTTTAATTTCTCTGTATAGTTAGCATTATGTCTTTCTGAATAATAATGCTCTCTTTCTTCTTTTTAAGTTATGGATTCATAACCCCAAAACTCAAATTCCCATAATGTAACACAAATACTCATGATTTTAAGAGGTTCCCTTATATCAATTAAAATGGGAGATTCAAATTTTCATAAAAGTTAAAAGACAGTACCCAACTTAAAAAAGAAACATCTTTATTGTTGAAAATCTTACCGAGGCGTCCTCCAACTTATTGAAAAGGTGTGAGTGCTTTGGTGGGAAGGTCTCATGCCAGTACAGGTGCTGGTGATTGGATCTGAGACAACAGCCTATAGAACCAATCAAGCCAGAACCGGTTTAGCTCAGTGGATAGAGCGTCAGCCTGTGGACTGAAAGGTCCCGGGTTCGATTCCAGTCAAGGGCATGTACCTTGGTTGCGGGCATATCCCCAGAGGGGGGTGTGCAGGAGGCAGCTGATCGATCTTTCTCTCTCATTGATGTTTCTAACTCTCTATCCCTCTCCCTCTTTGTAAAAAATCAATAAAATATATATTAAAAGAAAAAAAAAAGAACCAATAAAGCCGAACGCCAACGCACCGTTTCTGAGAAACGCAACTTTCATTTCGGAATGTCAGCATCACTTCTAAGTCACCGAGGTCTCTATTCCTCCCTCTTGGCCACAGATGGCTCCAGGGGTTTGGGTGGGAATCACACCAGAGGGAGCTAGGGTTGAGGCACCGGGCAGCTCATTAGTGCCGGATGGTAGTGTGGTGACTTAGCAGGCAGGCCCCAGGCCTCAGGTTAACACACTCTCCTTTCATCGGAGATTAAAGAGGCCTGCAGCTCCCTTTCCATTCAAGCACCAGCTGCCTTCTAGCCCTTTGTGGGTGGGAAGGAAAAGGCCATTTCCTTCTGAAGTGAGCTAGCTGCTCTTTTGTGATTTTTACTACTAACCCTGGGAAAACAGGTTTAAAGGCCCCTTCTTAAACTACTTCTCCATGTACTTCTCTCTTTCCAAACGGACAGCCTTGGTTGTACCCCGATACTGATCAGTTTGGGGCACCAGTTACTGATAACCACCACCTTGGCATGTCCAAAGAGACTTCTTGATGCTGTTTGTCACGTCAGCCTCCTCAGGGAAGACATCCGTGGGAATTTCCAGGGAGGAGACTGACACTCAGGCAGCCACTCTCAGGAAGAGGGGTCCCCATAGTCCATGGGCCAGCGAGCCATAGAAACTGGTCCCCAGTAGCCACTGGCTTGCAACTGGGGCAGATGAATTGGGAATTGCCCATACATTATAGCTGGAAGTATCGATATTCCTGGAAGCTTCTTTTTATTATTATTATTATTATTATTACTGTCTTCCCTCTGTCATACCCTGAGCCAGCCACTTTCCCCAGGTGCGTGGGGAGGTACAGAAAGGAACATCCAGGGCAGACCAGACCCGGGAGGAAGGGAATGAGGTGGAGGCAGCAAGCAGAGACCCCTCACAGCCAGGGTGCTCCCGAAGGAGGAGGGGTGGAGACCAACTAGGCACAGGCGGATGGACACGTTCAGGGGAAGAGAGAGCTGCTCCCAGTGATGAAAGACGGAAGTCAAATTCTTTATTGACAGAATCAAACACTCATGGCAGAGTCGGCCACAAGGACCCAGCACAGCACACTGCGACATTCACCTCACACCCATTTCACTGTGACTCCTCCCGGCTCTCCCATCGTGTACAATGACCAGAGAGAGTGGTTCTCCATGGAAACCACTCACCCACATCACCCTGTCCGCTCAGTTTTCAGAGACAAACAGCTTGCTCCAAATTTATAAAGATAAGCTAAAACACAAAAAAATAGCTAAAGTAAGCTGTCAGGCCTAATCAAGAATGGCTTACTTAATACCACTAATTCTCTTCTTTGAACATTTTACTTAGATGCGTTATCAGAGCTACTAGTTCAGGGTTGCCACCGAGCGCGTCAATTTGTTTGTAGGCTTTCGACTCGAGCTCTCTCAGAGTATTCCGAGTGTATTCAAAAGACCCCACGCTCTCCAGATAGTGCACGCAGTACTTTTTAATGTCCGTGTTCTCCGTTCTCTGGCGCAAGATGTTCTGCACCTGCGTGCTCTCCGGCTTCAGCCAGATGGCATGGATCGTCGGGAACGAGAACTTTCCCTCCGTGAGGTCTTCACAGAAGCTTTTGTTTTCGCTGTATTCTTTGGAGTGTAGATTAGCATAATCATCTCGAATTTGGAAAAAGAGCCCCAGCGTATCAAGCAGTGACTTCAGATCTTCTTTGTAATCGGAGAACAGCTGCATGAGACCCACTGCCAGCCCGAACAGCCCGCCCGTCTTCTGCTGCACCATGGCTTTATATTCTTCCTCCGTGGGACACGTGTAGCTGTCCCGCCAGTAAATGTCCAGGCCTTGGCCCTGGTGGAGTTCCAAGAGCTGGCGCGTGAAGAGCTTAACCGCATCCGGGTGATCCAGAGTTAAGACCTTCTCGAGGCCGAGAAAATACACGTAGTTGGCAGAATTGATGACGGACGGGATCCCGTAGATGCTGTGCGCCACGGGGAAGCCACGTCGGAGTTTCGAGTTGTCTTCGATATCATCGATGAGCAGACTGGCGTTGTGCAACATCTCCGTCACTTCGATGATGATCTAACAAAAAGACAATCGAAACGCTCGTGTTTTTCCTATTTGAAATAGATACTACATGAACAGATTATGATGGTCTCAGATGCCTTGGTTTTGAAAAGGAGTAATTATTTAGCAACCTCAATATGAAAACAGTAGGTTGCATGAGCATTAAAGAAAATAAGAGGTAGGAGTATTTTTACGTGATGACATACATTTCTTGGGGATGAAGAATGAGGTTAGAGGCCTGGCTAGGTAGCCTAGTTTGTTAGGGCATCGTCTGGATACACGATCCCAGCCTGGGTGCAAACAAGAAACCAACCAATGGATGCATAAAATATACAAAACAAGAAATCAATCTTTCTCGCTTGCTCTCTACCCAAAGCAAAAAAAAAAAAAAAAAAAAAAAAAAAGGATTGGAACTGCCTAGATACCTGAAGCTTGTCGTCTGGAACTTTTAGCCAGTGATTAAATGCCTGGGAAAGTTTGGTTCTCACTTGCTTACCTGCAATTAAAGAATAAAATTTGGCAATCAAGTTAACACTTTAATTATAAAACACATTTCAGAAATTTACTCAAAACGGATCAGACTTGATAAATCCAACCCCATCAACCCATTGCCCGCTGGAGAGCTACAGTGCTGGGCCCCTCCTGGCCCCTCCTGGCCCAATTCACATTCTACACCCCCAGCCTTAAAACCAGGGCAGGCAAAGAGGTTCTAAATCCTTCAGCAGCCCACCATTTTCATCTGAACTTGTATCAACAATTTTGGAATGGAATCGGGGTTTAGGAATTATGATCTCAATCATTCATTCCCTTTGAAAGGATGCCAGCTTAGTTAGTGGCAGCTCATCACTGTCAATTTCACAGAACATGTTAGAGAACATAGACTTCTTTTTTTTGAGAAAAGGATTTCCAGCGAAATGTACGTTGCTATTGAATTACCTCATTAAGGTTACCTCTTAAAATTATCCTTTAAATTAAGCTTTAGGGAATGGATAGCTCTGCCGCTTTCCTACAAAAAAATAACGACCATAGCCTGACGTATTCCCCTTTAAATGAGAAAAGAGTATTTCAGGTTCCAAGAAACTGGTGTGTAAGTGATTTTTATTCTAAGAACTCACACTCGTTGTAATGTGATTCAGCTGCATTAGTTTGGCTGTTCAAGGAAGCAGCAGTGTAAGAAATGGAGCGCCTGTGACGGTGGAAACATGAGCATGGCAGTAACGGAAGCTTTTTGTTGTTGCACAAACTGGCATAGCGTTCCTTAATCTAGTGGGAACAGGGGAGTGTGGCATCCATAAGCAATAAAACTTCCAGAAAGGTATCGAATGTTTTAAGTATTTTTAATTTTTAGGTAAGTTATATACTTGCATATTTTTTAAGAGTACCTCAAGAATGTCCCTTTTAATAACCAATAATCACTTTTCTCCTATGCATGACCTTATTAAATATAAGAATCTCAAGAGCTGGCAAACCTAACTTTTCTGAATGCTAACATTCGAATGACCACTCTGCAAAAACAACTCTGTTGATGTGGGTGGCAACAGGTGTTTCTCTCTCACCCTCTCCCTTCCTCTCTTTTTAAAAATCAATAAAAAAATATTTAAGAATTGAAAAGTGTGTTCTTTGTAGTATACTCTTGAGTATGTAGATGAAAGAAAAAAAAATAGCACACCAGGCCATGGCTCTATAATTTAGTTTTAGGCTGATGAATACTACAGAATGCCTATGTGAGTCTGAAGGCTACCGTGAATGACCACACTATGTAAAACCTACCTGGCAGCTGAAGCAAGTACTTGTAGGGTTCTAGAAGAATCCTTTCCACTTTTTCATGCGTCTTCTCCATTGTCGTTGAATTTCAAAGATCGTCTGTTAAAAGAGAGAACCATAAATATGAACTCATTAATTAAATTATCACTGAGTGTCAAACTGCAAAGGAATTTGTAAATCCAGACTTTGTTTCATTTTAAAAGAAAATTCTATGGGTATGAAACCTTGAGAACATTATGCTAAGTGAAAGAAGCCAATCACAAAAAACTACATATTGTATTATTCCACTTACACGAACTGTTCAAAACAGGCAAATCTGTAGAAACAAAGTAGGTTAATAATTGCCTAGGTAACCTTAGGGTAGGGGGGCTAGGGAGTGACCACTAATGAGTATGCTGTTTCCTTTGGGGGCCATCAGAATGTCCAAAAGCTAGATTGTGGTGGTGGTTGTACAGATCTGTGAGTACACTAAAATCCACCTAACTGTATACCTTAAACGGGTGGACTATGATATAAATTACATAGCATTAAAAAAAAGGGAAGTTTTCATTCAAGTGATTGGTCAGTGTTCACCTGGATTTTAAGGAACAAAACTTATATTAAGCCTTTTATATTTACTGAACCATGAAAGGGTTATATGGTTGTGTCAAATCAATGTTAAATCCACAGATTTCGATCATTCTATATATAATTGATTATACAAATTAGTAAACATACTTGTTTTCTATGAATATGAAAATGTTTTATAAACTATATATAATTTAAGGGGAGACTCCTCTCCTGTATTTCCACTACCATCAATCCATTTTAGAGGTTCTGATTTGAGGTAAGACATGAATTATTAAAAATATTCCCTCCCTTTATTCTTAAATTTATATTTACCTTGTTATTTCCTACAATATCATTCATGGTCTTCCTCCTTCACTATTGAATCTCTGTTCTCCCACTCTGTAAAAATCTATTTTTATTTGTCCTCACATTAAAAAATTTTAATATATATATGTATTTATTATTGATTTCCTTATAGAGAGAAAGGGAGAGGGATAGAGAGCTAGAAACATCAATGGGAGAGAAACATCGATCAGCTGCCTCCTGCACACCTCCTACTGGGGATGTGCCCGCAACCAAGGTACATGCCCTTGACCGGAATGGAACCTGGGACCCCTGCGTTCTATCCGCTGAGCCAAACCGATCAGGACACATTAGAAGTTTTGTAATTGCTCTGACATCTTTGACACATGTCAGGCTTTCCCCCTTTATCTGCTTGCTTTTGCCTCTTTGGACAGTGACTTTGTTTTTAGAATTATGAATTTAAAGAAGTGAGAAGTGCATGCCTGACTCCCCTGCAGCTTTGAATCCTGAGCAGGGCACATGCCCAGGTTGCAGACTCCATCAGCTGTGGGAGTGGGGTGAGGGGCAACAGATGTTTCTCTCTCTCACCCTCTCACTTCCCCTTTCTAAAAATCAACAACAATAATAAAAACATTTAAGAATTGAAAAGTGCGGGTGTTTTTGTAGTCTACTCTTGTAGGTAAAACAATAAAAAAAAATTAGCGCACCAAGCCATAGCTCTATTAATTTATTTTTAGGTTGATGAATACTACAGAATGTCCGTGTGAGTCAGAAACAACTCACTTTCAAAACGCAAACTGCTTTTAAATTTATTCCAACAATGGACTGTGACAGACACAAAAACATATTCTCTCCTCCCTGTGACTACAGCAGTAACTTCCTAGCTGGGCCCCTGCCTTAGCTAGTGATCTTTGTAAAACTGGAGTCTTCAAAGGGAAGTCTAATCTCTCTGCCCACCGGGGGGGAAAACACACACACACACACACACACACACACACACACACACACACCCAAAACTAACTGTGTAAGGATCTGGGTCTCTGCTCCTCCAACCTCAGCTCCCCGCATTCCCAAAGCTCCCGTTTGACAGAAGGCTTTCCAACGTGCTGTTCTTTAGGTCTGAAAAGTTCTTTCCTTAGTTACCTCTCCCCTCCTCTCCCAGGCCAACCTCCCTGGCTGCGTAAAGCCCTCCCTTAGGTCTCTAACCCCCGCTCTATCCCAGCTCCCCTGCACCGGCCACCGTGCAGCCCTCCCACCCCGGCCGGTGTGCGCTCACTGCCACCGCCCTCCGCAGGCTCAGTCTCCTGGGGCGGGAGCCGGGCCGGTTCCTCTGCCCGGTCGGCAGGCTCGGCAAGTTCGCGGACGGAGCCAGCGAACGGAAACCGCATTCTAACGCTTAGTTCCAGGGGGAAACCGGGGCGCACTCGGTTGCGCATGGGAAGATCGAGGGCGGGGTCCGGTGTCAGAGCGGCTCCAGAGAGACCTACAAATGGAAGCGCAGCTCGGAGGCGCAGGAAACCTCCCGGCCGGAGGTCTGAACACCTCCGGGGCCGGCTTTCCACCGCGGCGGGGCCGGGAGCCTCCGGCATCCGCTGCTCCCACCGCGAGGCTCCGCTTCCTCTCCGCTCCGAAGCCCCTTTCCGCCGCGATCCGGCCCCTCCGGTTCTTCCCTCTCGCCCGCGAGGGGACGCAGAACACTGGGACCCAATCGGGTTCAGCATCCGGGGCCTCGCCATCCTCCTTTCTTTCCCCCAGACCCCGCCCTCCCTCCTCTCCCCTACCCTCCCAGCCGCCGCCGCCGCCGCTCACGGTTCAGCGATGAGATCACAGCTTCCGCGCCACCGGTCCGGGAGCCGCAGGGCCCCGTGTCAACTTCCCACTTCAGAGCTCACACCCGGGCTCCTCCCGACGCCTCCATCAGTCCCTCCCCCTACTTCATGGAGGAACTCTCCGCCCTCCTCGGCCGCCGGCGACGCCGCATTATTCTGTGCAAGAAAATGCGCCATCCCGGTGCCACTGCGCAGGCGCCGCCGCCACCTCCCTGCACTGTCGCCCCGCCCCTTCCCCCGCCCACACTTCCCCCGCCGTCTCACGCAGGCGCGGGGCGTTGCGGATCTTGCAGTTCTCGCGGGCGAGGGCTCGCACTCGGGCACCCCCCGGGTCGGACTACATTTCCCGGCAGGCTCCGGGGCGTCACTTTCTGTTTCCATAGAACTGGTGGGAAAATGGCGTCGTTGTTTGTATCCCAAGGACCAATGACAGCGACGTGTGGGCGGGCTCTAAAGCGCCCTGGCCAATCCGCGGCCGTCTCAGAGGCCATCCGGGGAAGAGGTAGGGGCGGGGAGACAGCTTAGGGGAGTGGAGAGGGGAGGGAAAAGCGGGGAGGGGGGGTGCTCGGGCTGTGAGGCGCGGGCGGGGGGGGAGCGATGTTTGCCCGTCAGTCGAGTCCGGAGTGAGGAGCTTGGGCGCCGGAGCGGAGGAGTCTCTGAAGCTTCGCTCGGCCGCCGCCACGGCCGCCGCCTGGACCTCTCCCCGGAGCGAGCCGCAGAGGGGACTGTGGCCGCCGTCCTCCGGGGGGCGCCGCGCGCCGGGGGCCCGGGCTCCCCGTCCGGGAGGGTTTTTTTCTCGTCGTCCCCCTCCCCCCAGCGAGGGAACCCGAGCGGCCGCCAAACAAAGGTACCAGCCGCCGCCGCGGGAGGAGGAGGAGCCGGAGCCTCAGCCTCGGCCCCGCTGGCCGCGCCGCGCGGCTCCCCATCTCTCCCCCGGGCCTGCTGGTTTTGGGGGGGAGCCGGGGAGGGGACCCCGGACGCGCTGGCCTCCCACGAAGGTAGGGCATTTCGGAGGCGTCCGCGGGCTCGTCGGGGCCGGGGGGCCGGGGGGGTGTCCTTCGGGGAGTCCCCGGGCCCGGCCGGGCGCCCGAATCCTTGGCCTCCGCTTTGCGGAGCTCCGGCCCCTCCTCCGCCCCCCCCTTCCCCGCGGCCGCCCCGGGCCTGGTGGCCGCGCGTCCCGGGGTCGGCGAGGGCCCCGGTGCGGCCCGGCGGGCGCGGAGGCTGAGCCGCCTCCGGCCCCTCCTCCCGGCGCCCTGTCCCCGCGGCCGGCCCCCGGGGCCCGCTCGTCCTGCCGGTCGGCCGGTCGGCCGGTCCCCCGGGCTCGGGACGGGCCGTGGGGGCAGCGGGGAGCGCAGAGGCCCCGGCCCGGCCGCCCGGCCGGCCGGCCGGCCGGCTTGTTGTGAGTTTCTTCTTTGACAGAAATGGCGTCATGGTCGGAGCCGGGGGAAACTCTGGCGGGTCCCGACCGCGGGGGACGCCGAGCTGCCGTCGAGCCGCCGAGCCGGGCGGGCGGGCGGCGGGGTGCGCGGTGGCGGCGAGGCCGGGCGAGCCCCGCAGCGGCCTCCGGGCCTCCCTCCGCCCGCGCAGGGGGGTCGCCGGGGCAGGAGGTGCTCGCGGGGGTGACGGTGCCTTTTGTCTCCTTCCCCTCCAGGGGCAGGTGAACCCGGTGTTTCCGAGGGCGCCGCGGGCCTGGCATCACCATGAAGGTAAGATCGCTGCTGCGGGGAAAGGGACATCCAGGAAGCGAGGGGTGTCGGTCGGATCGAGGGCGAGTTCGGGCCCTCGGAGCGCCCCGGGGTGCGATCCCTTTTTCCAGGGGCGGGGGGGGGGGGAACCAGAGTTAGTGGGGTGCGCAGGGCCGAGGAGTTGGGGGCCAGTTTTGGAATCTCGCCCCGAGGATGGCTGTCCCGGGCACAGAGCGCCTCTCTCTGCCGGAAACGAGAGGCGATCATTGCACGCACGAGAGTGTTGTGTTTTTTTTTTGTTGTTTTGTTTTGTTTTTTTCTTTTTCTAAAGCTTCAAAACAGAAGAGAAGCAGGTCAGGTAACCCGACTCTAGAACCCGAACTGTATTGGGGTTCGATCGCTTCCACGGATGTAAGAAAACCCCCGCCGTGCGAGTGTTTAGGCAGACCTACCTGCTGGATCAGCCGCCAGCAGAATCTTAGCCGCAGCGATTTTTTTTTTAATTTTTTTTTTTTTTTAAAGAGGATTTGGATGATCTTGGCGCACCTCGGAGCTGGCAGTTGTATTCCTCGTCTTTCCAGGGTTTTAGGATGATGGCGTGGGGTATGTGTGTCTGTCGAGCTGCACACGGTCTGGGGATCGTCAGGGTGTAGTGTTGCTTTTGCGATGAAAAGGGCGGTCAGGTTCCTCTTCAGGGTAAACGTGTTCGCCGAAGGAGTCTATTGTCCAAGAAGTAGAATTTGCTTAGAAATCGGTGGAAGAAATGACAGCGGCAGAAGTACAGGCTGTTTGTTCCCTGCAGAGGCGGTGTGATTGAGAGCCATGATGTCTCAAAAGCAGGCTAGGAGAAAAAAGCCTTAGGCACCTGCATGTCTGGATTCAACTGGTGGCACTTGGAGGCCACAGACATTGCCATCCACGTTCAGGAGTCAGAGTGTGTGCACAGGGGCAGAAATGCAACAGATGGGCTGTCAGAATGCAAATGCAGTCCACTTTTGACAGTTCCTTGAACTATTTTTAAACGCATTTGCTTCACTTTTCTCCCGAGTGCAGAGTGCTTTTAAAATGTGCAATGCTTGTGTTTATGGCCTAAAGGAAAAGCTGTGGCCACTTAAATGTTTATCAAGCTGAACAAAGTGATTGTGTTCAGTCTGGTAATTCTTTAGGGTTTTTCTTCTTGAGTTTGAGGTGCTTTAAATGTGTGTGTGTGCTGAATTCCTATCTCACCTTCATGTAAACAAAAAAAAAAGAAACACAAGAAAACCATCAGTGATGTTTCATAAATGAATCCCTTTTGTTAGTCCCAGCTGTGACTAGTGTGACCTGTGTAAAACAGTGACAAGTGAGTTTATCAGAGAAATGTTTGCCTTGCTTGTTGTTGGCAAAAATTTCCAACAAGAAAAAAGCTGGGTTGAATAATATGTAATAGATTCAGATGCTGAATAGCACAGGTTTTCATTTGGAATAAATGTTGTAATTTGTCACAATTCTCAAAGTAGTGCCTGGCCTGTTAGGAACTCTGTTAATCTTTGGTTAAAAGAAATGTAGTGAGTTGAAGGTCTTTTGATTTAAATCTGCTTTTCCTTTCCTTTCTTTCATTTCCTTTTTCTTCTTTCTCTTTTTTTTTTTTTCAATGTGTGTTTTAAAAAAAAAAAGAAAGAAAGTACGTTGGAAACTTTACCCCTAAAAGTTTCATGCTAAGTGTTAGGCAAATGCAAATTTTGGGGTATCCTTTTAAAACTACTAATTTTAAATGCTCAGCTTTCCATTATTCCTCCCTTAAAGAAAAAGGGTTATTAAAATACACTTATGATTTTATACAAGACAACTTCTTGTTACTGTATAGTAAGTTTCCTCTTAGGAACTAGTAATCAGTGGTACTAAAAACATAGCAAATTTCTTACGACTTAATCTCTTGTGTAATGAAAGTTGAGAGGCTGCCCATGATTGGTATTTTGCTTTAAAAAAAAAAATTGCAATTCAAAAAGTATTTAGTATTGATTATTTTGGACTTACATTTTTTCCAGGCTCCCAATTTCCATATTTAATGACAACAGGGCTATAGGGGCTTTTATGCCATTTATTAGCTCTTACTGAACATATTTATACTTGATGTGAGGAGTGGAGTGTCTGATGTGGATGGAAGAAGAGCTGAGGTGGTGAACACACAATAGTGTATAGATGTTGTGGAATTGTGCACCTGTACCCTGTATAATTTTAAGAACCAGTGTCGCCCCCCCCCCCAATAAATTAAATAAAAAAGGGGAAATCACTGTAGTTCTGCTTCTGACAGTACAGTTTAAGTCATGATGCTTAGCCCCGGCTGGTGTGCCTCAGTGGTTAGAGCAGCAAACCAAAGCGTTACAGGTGTGATTACTGGACAAAGGCATGTACCTGGGTTTGGGGTTCGCTGCCTGGCCCTATTAGGTCACGGGGTCATTGGTCCGGGTGCTTGCAGGAGGCAACCAGTGGATGTGTCTCTCACATCCTCCTCCTCTTCACTCTCTCAATGGGAAAAATATCCTCAGGTGAGAGTTAACAACTACAAAAAGTAATGATGCTTAAAATTTTCACTGATTTTTAAAGCATAATAATTTTTTAAAATTTTATTGTGGCATTGTTTTGAGGTTAAAGTGCTCTTTTGGTTGTTGCTTGAAATCCCAAAATAAATACAATGTGTATGTTAAGTATTATATGTTTGAGAAGGAATTTTCTTGCAGTGATATCTTCAAGATTGGTTTACTCTGTCTTTTGATATTTTTGTCCAGTGTGTTTTTGAGAAAGCTGATCAACACACTTTTGGGCTTTTAACATAGATCGTGACGTAGGTGTTATGTTGTATTTATTCTTCATACTTTTGATAGCCCTTTCTACACCAGTGATAGCACATTATCAAGAAATGATAGACTGTTAAAGTTTCTAAGTTATTCTAAGACCTAATTATATCAGATTCATTTCCTACTTGTTTTTCCTGCATCTATATTGTTTACATTACACTGTGGTAAAATTAATTTTATTTATTTATTGTTATTTTAGAGAACGAGAAGAAGGCGGGGGAGAGAGAGAGAAATATCGATTTGTTCCACGTATTTATTGATTCTTGTATGTGCCTGACCTGGGATTGAACCCACAATGCTCTTGTATCAGGGAGGTGCTCTAACCTACTGAGCTACCCAGCCAGGGCCCTTGTGGTAAAATTTCAAGTGAAATGGGAAGGCTAGACATTTCAGAATCTCTAGGGACTAAGAACTAGGGAGATGGATTTTTCGAATGTATCAGTTTCTCTTCAGTAATCACTGGCTTCGATCACATACAAATAATGGGTTCATTACAAATGCCTTTTTAAACGCTCACAGTTTAGAAGAAGACAGAAAACAAAACAGTGCATATGGAGTTATAAGAGCATTGATTTGTATGGTAATTATAAATCCTGTGGGCGGAAGCTAAGCCACAGAGACCCCCCCTGGAACTGACATGTAAGTGGAAGTTAAAACTTTCACTGGGCAAAGGGGTAGAAAGGAGTGTTTCCGACCGAGAGGAACCAACCTGTGGAAAATAAAGGAAAGAGCAAGGTGATGCGTTTGGAAACTAAGGAGTTCCCTGTGGCTGGCTCATCTTCCAGCAGGTGTGCTGGAGGTGGGAACAGGGCGGCGATGGGGATGAGGCTAAGTGAAGGAGGTGAAAGTAGGCTTGAAAGGTCCACGAAACCACTGGAGGTTTCTAAGAAGCGGTAAAAATGCTGGGTTTGTGTGGCAGAGCGATCACGTCCGCAGTACTGTACTGAATACACCCAGCGGGAGCTCTGCATGGAAGGGAGATCCCAGGTGGGGACCCCACTGAGGAGTGACTGAGCCTAACGCACAGGCAGAGCGGCAGCGGGGATGGTCTGAGATACTAGGGAGTAGAGCTTAGGACCAGGAACTCACCGGGGCCTGAGATGGATGTTTTGTCATTTGAAGCATGCTGTCATTAACGCTGAGTAGGGTTTTGAGTATTTAAAGGACCTGTAAGAGGTCCACATCCATATGGATCTCCTTATTAAGCTGTAGGTTCAGAGAGCAGTGTGATGGAGAGCAGTCAGTCTTGATTATCAGCGTGAATGCTAATATTGAACAACAATATTCAAATGGATTTAGGGCCATAACATGACAGATGTATTTTGTCCTATAAACTTGTGGCCTTTTCGGTGAAAGGCAATTTTGTAAAATACCGACTTGTTTTCTGTCCAAAGTGCTCTTTGCTTACTATGATTTTAAAAAGTATAGCAGATGAGTGTGTGTGTGTGTATATGTATATATATATATATATTTTTTTTTGCTAACTCAGCCTATAAATGCAGTCATTGAAGAGATCTTGTGAACTTTCCTGGTAGCAGCCATGGTTTTGGTGTTGAAGTTACATCAGTGAACAAGCGTTGACTCCCTTGTGGTGTTTACTTCCTGTTAGGGTAGACAGACACCAAACAAAATTAAAAAAAAAAAAATGTGGTAAGTGCTGTGAAGAGAAGTAAAGCAGATTCAGGTTAAGAGGTCAGAGGGACAGAGGGTGTTAATTATTTATTTACTCATTCATTCATTTGTTGTCAGGAAGGGCCTGTTTGAGGCGATGCATTCAGCATCGAGTGAGACAGATGATAGAGTGAGCCGCTCACTTACCTGGGGAAGAGCATTCCAGAAGAAGCTGCAGGTGCAGAGACCCTGTGGGATGGCCCGCTTGATCTCGGCATGTTGAGAAACAGGAAGAGGCTGCAGGGCCCGCATGGTGGGAGCTGAGGCTGGAGAGGTCACAGGGCCAGGCGGTGGAGGGCCTTGCAGTCCGTGGTATGGATTCACAGGTGAAATCTGAGTGCGCCAGGAAGTCATTGAAGGGTTGGAGCAAGAGAAGGAAGTGCCCTGACAGGCATTTTCAGAAAGCACAGTGGCTGCGGTGTATTAGCAGACTGCAGGGAGAAGAGGGAGAGGGGGAGAGGAGTCTGAGGCGCCCACGTTAGTTCAGAGCGAGGTGGTGGACCAAGGTGGGCA